TTTTTTTCTGAATAATTGATTGAAATAATTTGAGTTGAATGGTGATCACAATGATAAATAACTTATTTTTTGTACTATAAAATTACAAGACTAATTTTGTATTTAAAACTTTTATAATGCTATTTATATTTTATTATAAATTTATACATTATAAATATAAACTCGTGTAATATATAATTAAATTTTGTATAATATAAAAATTATATAAATATTACTTTACAGTATATTAGAATTTCATAAATAATAAATATTAAATTTTGATACAAATTAATTTTAATAGAAATTTATATTTTTAGAAAAATAACTTAAATAAATTATTATGTATTTTTATGTTATTTACATGTATAAATACAGGTTATATATTTGACAATTATTTAGCAAAAAATAGCAAAGATTATTATTTTGTTTTTTATGTTATGACATAAAATATAGATTTAAGAATTCTTTACAACAAATAAATATTTAACAATAAATATATGTTTTTCAAATTTTCTATTATTAAAATTTTATCTATAATAATAAATTGCTTAATAGTTTTTTGTGAACAATTTATGTTTTTGTAAACAGTTATTGTATATATATATCAATCATTTAATTTATATTTAATTTATTTAACAATCCTAATGTCGAAATATTAGAATAATTATATATTAAATAAATCAAATAATTATATTATTTGTAATATAATAATATTTTATTAAAATACACTATTTGATAAAATTTTTTACTATTTAGGTTATTATATTGATTAAATAATTTGTTTAATATAGTACAAATGACAGTATATTTAAGTTTTTAATGTAAAATAAAAAGTAATAAATAAATTGTATTATAATTTGTTAAATATAATTTTAAGTATTATAAACTTTAATAATTTAGAAAATATTATTATATTAGTTATATTAAGACTTATACAAGTATTGGAAAATTATATTAAATAATAATGAATAGTTTAAATAATTGTATAAATACTAAAACAATAATATATGCGTTATGTTTATGTGGATGTTTTGTGCACATTATATATACAGTTATGGCCAAAATTATAGCGCCCGGTAAAAATGACCGATATTTTCGGTTTTAATTTACAATTAAAATTTTTAATTAATTTTTTAAATTATTAAATAAATAAATAAAACAAATTTAATTTTAAAAAAATATTTATTAATCATTAAATTAAAAAAAATACAAAAAAATAAATAATTAAATAAAATTAAGACATTTTTATAGAGTCCCGAAATTAATTGACAATTTCCGGTCAATAATGAGTAGACCCTCCACGGGCGAGGATAGTCTCCGCCATCCTTCGGGGCATTGACTCGATTAGGCTCTGGAGGAGTACTATCGGGACCCGATCCCAGGCCTGAAGGATAGCTTCCTTCAGCTGAGGTACGGTCGCGAACTGTCGGCCATTTGCGTAGACCATGCGGACCAACCAACCCCAAAGGTTCTCGATGGGGTTGAGGTCCGGGCTACGACTCGCCCAGTCCATCACGACCACCTCATTGGCTTCAAACCAGCTGACCGTGCTGTACGAGGTGTGGATGGGAGCACGGTCCTGCTGAAAAATCCACTCTCCTTCGGTGATGAGTGGAGCGTGAGGCAGTAGGTTAGAGGCCAATATGTCTTGATAGACATCGGAATTGGAGCGGCGCGGAAGGAAAGCGATTGGAGTCTTCCCAAGCCATCCAAATCCGGCCCAAACCATAACTGACCCGCCACCCAAAGCTCTCCTGGAGAGGACAGCAGGTTCGGTACGGAGGTCATGCCAGTAACGGTGTATTCCGTCAGGGCCGTCAAGGTTAAACTTTTTCTCGTCCGAAAAAACAACCTGACGCCACTGAGCGGCCCACGTTACCCTCTCCAGCGCAAACCTCAGCCGAGCTGCCTTATGGAGGTTGGTTAGCGGGGGTTTGCTGACCAGCTTCACCCATCCAGCCTTGGGCTCCTGATGCAGCACCCGGCGAACTGTTCTTGGGCTGCAGTTTAGCTTAAGGGTGGAGGTGATGGCAGGGCTGGAGAGATGGCTTGGTCCGGTGGCGGCCCGAAAAATGTGGCGACGGCTCCGTTCCGAGAGTAGTGAAGGCCGTCCAGACCGTATCTTCAGCCCATATTCTTCTGGGTTTCGAAGAAATCGGTTGATTGTGGCCTTACTTCTCTTCGGGATCAAGCTGACCCCGATCATTTGGCCAGTCCAGTCGGGGTGAAGCCTCTTCAGAAGTTTGATTTGGGCCCTCTCTTCGCTGGTAAGTTGAGGTTTTCGGGGCATTGTTGGTCACTGAATGGCGTCAACACGTGTTTGTTTGAATGAAAAACCAGTGAATTAAACTGTTTTTCAATCAAACAAAATTGTGTTTTGGCTGTTCAGTGACCAAAATTCCCGGAATCTAAACTTTTGTCAGTTATCTTTATAAGAGGATTATAGTGATAACCTCTTATTGCAATAACTGACACACCAGCGAAGAGACCCAAATCTGATTTCTAGGCATATCCCTACTGGCCATCATCTAGCCATCACCCACTACAACAACCCCACAATTAACCATATTTATTGGTCATTTTTACCGGGCGCTATAATTTTGGCCGTAACTGTATAAGTATATTATATTTTTCATACGAAACTACTACTGATATTACATTTTATAATGAATATCCGATTTATTTGCCGGCAATTAAATTGTGTTCACCGAAAACTAGTTTTATTAAACCACAATTTTTAAACAAATATAACTTAACAAATAATACTAGATTAGGACGAAGACAATTGTTTCACATATTTAATAAACTAACATTTAATGAACAAACAAAATGGTTGTTTTCAAGTTCAGAAATATCAAGTTTTATCAAATGTCAGTCACGTTATGTGAACGCACTTATCGGTAATTCAACAATAGATGCACACAATTGTAGTCAAGTATCGCCAATACGTGTATCGATAAGCAGAGAACACTATTGTATTAATTTATTTGAACAATTAAATGGTGAATACAGTGATAGATATAGAGTCGATGACAATGTTATGCAAACAACTATGAGATTAATTGTCAATTTGAATATATCTATTGATTACGAATATATGGTACTCGCTCTGCATAATAGACTGGAAAAATGTCTACTTATTAGTAAACGATCAATGGTTATATTGTCACGAAAACGATTGACCACTATTATCTATTATGACAAATTGAAAATTATCAATTACCAAGGTACAACAATCAAAATGTGTAAAGATTATACAAAATACGGTTATGTTTCGCACGAGGATTGCATAATCAGATGCGAAACCAATATGTATTTGAAAAAATATAATTATTTAATTAGTAAGCATGATAAATCTATTAATAACTATGAAAATGGAAATTATACTTTTGATTGTGATCCGGATCAAGAAAATAAATTTTTTACAATACGAAATAGTTGTCTAAATTATTGTGGAAATTACACTGATTGTAAATATGAATTAATCAATTTGAAACAAATCAATGCTTACAATCAATTTGATAGTAACAATACTTATATAATGCTAACGTTGCCTATTAGGCCTACAATTGAGTTCAAACAAAAATTAAAAATATTATTTGAAGAGTATATCTGTTTCATCGCTAGTATTGTTAGCCTATGGTTTGGTCTGTCTTTAGTAATGATCATTGATTTAGTCAAATATGTATTAATTGTTTCGCAAAAATTCTATACTAACTATTTTGTTAGACAACAACATGTGACTAATGTTAAAATTAAATTCAATGATAGAGTTTATCATTAAATATACAGTGAATATATTTTAGTATAGTGATTAAAATAACTTAGATTGTTTATTAAATTAATAATAATAATATTTATTGTTGTTTAATACAATTATTTCTAATTACATATTGACAGATTATAATTACACAATTTACATTTCACAATTTGCATTTAATTTATTTAAAATAATAATTTTTATAAATATTATTTTGATTAATAAAAGCAGTTTAAAAATTAATTTATTAGAATCAAATAATGTTTATATATTAATATTAACAAAAATGTACAAATTTAAATATAAAATATTATTTTTATTTTAATCTTAGGTACCAGATTTAATTTTAAAAAATAATTTATTTTATACTAATGATAGTATAATTTTTTTATTTGTTATAAAAAATAATAATATAAAAATATATTCCATTTCTATTAATAATAAATTATTTTATTTCTAATAATAAATGTAATTTTATAAATTAAAAATAGATAGTATTAATATTTATGTTAGTATTAATATTAAAAACCTAGTAATTTAGATAATGAAAATGTGTTTAAAATAAATTGTAAAATATATTAATATAAAATGAATTATTTAATTAATGTGTTTTAGAGGATTTTAATTGATATTATAAATAAATGTCAGTTTTTCATATGAAACTACAACTAATATAACATTTGATTACAAAAACAAGTAATATTATTTGTAATAATATAAAATAATACATGTTAAATTTATATTCAATTATTTACTTATTATGTTTAAGTTGATGTTTTGTCCATATTATGAATATAAATCAAATATATTTATCTTTTAAAACAACAACTGATATAACATTTGATTAAGAAATACAAATTTATTTGTCGACAATAAAACTTTGTTCATCAAAAGTGAATTTATTAAACCAGAAGCTATTAGTAGATTAAAATTTCAATATAATATTAAAAATAATAAAACTTTAAAATTTTTATCGATTGTTAATACGAGTTATTTAAATTAACACAAAGACAAGCGTTTAGTGATAATAATAATAATAATAATAATAATAATACTATTGTAATCTTTACACTTTTATAGCAAGCATTGTTAACCTTAGGTTTGGTTTAGACTAAATATGTTACGTTCAAATTATCATTAAAATGTAATTATCATTTAATAAATTTAAAAAAAAAATTATCAACTTTTATTATTTTAAAAATTATTATTGGGATGTATTAAAAATAACATCAATATTTTTATTTTGCATAAAAGTAATTAATTATAAGTTAAGATCACTAAGAAATTGTGAGTCGAGACCATATTTGAGTCCTCCGTCGACCACCAGATTGTGTCCCGTTATGAACGAGGCATCGGTTGACGACAAAAATATTACGGCTTTGGCGATATCTGCTGACTGACCCACTCGTCCAAGTGGTGTATGACTAACGGTCTTATTATACAATCCCTGATCCAATGGATGCGATTCAATAATACCAGGACTTAACCATTACATAATATAACAAAAATAATTGCTTTAAATTATATTCATTATTATGCCATATAATACAGTTTCATATGAATTATATCAATATAACCTACCTGACCGCATTAACCCGTATCCCTAAAATGCCCAGTTCAATAGCCAAAACTTGAGTGGCCATATCGGCCGATGATTTGGCAATTTGATAGCCGAGATAGTCTTTTTGCTATAAATATGTAATATTATTTTTTCAAATATTAATTATTTTTTCTGTTGTTCTACAAACCGGTCGATTAATCTGTACGTCCGATAAATTGATAACAGTGCCCTTTGTCTTTTGTAGGTAAGGCACCGATAGGTGTATCAGTTGTAGATTAGCTCTGATATCAATGGCAATAGATCTGTCTAATGTCTCCAAAAATTTTGGATCAGTTATGTTTCCCTTTTGATATATACCGGCATTGTTGACCAGTATATCAATTTTACTGTAAGTTTTGATAGTTTCAGTCAACAAGTTCTCCAATTCATCACTTTTTGTCAGATCTGCTGTTATTTCCAATGGCTGTTCACAAGTAATTAATGTAATATTTTAATAAAGTTTAGAAAATTGATTTACTTTTAAATGTTTTGGTGACAACTGTTGAACTATAAGTGCTGTTTTGTGTACGTCATCGGCTTTACGACCGGTAACGACAACACTGGCTCCGAGAGCTGAATACAGTTGGATAATTTCAGCACCGATACCAGTGGCCGAACCGGTAACCAGAGCTACCTTTCCGGTAAAGTTTCGCGAGTTTTTCACTTCATCGTAAAGATCATAGCGTTGACTGTTTGCAAATGCAAACAATGTCATAAATAATAATAAAATTGACATTTTTTAAATAAAAAATAACAAAATTTTAATATTGCAAGTGTTATGAAATGTATTACAAGTAATAGTAATATATATATATTATACTAAAACAGTTTATTTATAAAAAACAATAAAATGTGTTTAAATTCACATAATTGTTTAACATTAAGTCTTATGATAAGTTAAAATAATTATCTATATATGATATCAAGATATTAGTCACATTTTTTTGATAATATTGTACAAAATAAATTATATTTTGCTCTCATTTATGTATTATTTAATAAATACATTTTATAATTTATTTTTATTATAATTTTTTTTTTAAAAGAAGATAAAAAATATTTATATTACAATTAATCCTCTATTTTTAAGCACATGTATTATTAAAAAATATTGATAGACCCAACCGCACACATATTCAAAAAACTGGTAGTTATTCATAGGGGACACATCATAACACCAGAAGCCGATATGAGATTCAGATAAATGTTCGACAAATGAAAGTAATTTAAGTTTCAAATCAATTGGCAAATCATTTGTTACAAACACTTTGTAAAACATTTTGCGCGACTTATGGGCGGCTGAAGTGACCGATGCGCACATGTAGTTGACTACACATATAACTGTAAAGATTGCAATAAATATTATTAGTGCCGAAAATCGTATTATACCCGTAGAGTTAGGTGCAGTCGATACATATACAAGCAAATTGAGTGTTGGTTTAGCAAAATAATACAATAATAATATTAAATATTTTAGAATTTTATTTATTTTATTAACATATAATGAACATTGATTATGTTTTTTAAATAAATTAATGACCAAGTTAAAATCATAGTTCTCTAATATTTTAGTTAATTGTCTATTTAATTGATTAAATTGTAATTGTAAATATAATAAGGACAGATACCATAGATAACAGGTGCCTAACACTACTACATAAAAATCAATTATCCATATAATTGTTACGATAGACCATATGATAATCAACACTATTGAGTATTGTATTCTCTGGTAGTCATAAATGTATGCCACAAATGGCGGCGCCAGAAATATAACTGAGGCATTGACTGACAAAATAGCCACCAATTTGTTTGTTAAATGTTTTCCAATAAAATTTAATTGTTTGTAAAACTTTTTCCTAAATTTATGCTTCAATTTATTGCTAATCATATTGTTTTTGATTTCATATAAATATTGAATTAGATATAGATTTTTATTAATCTCTAAATATTGTACACTAATACCGATGATAACATCGGCTATAAGTGATCCACCAGTAGCTATGAGTGACACAATTAAATGATTGCCTAATATATAGTTGGCATTACTGGTTAACCATAATATCTGTTGTGTGTTGAATAGTGACGATATACCGAATCTAAACACCGTAATCAATGTCATCAGTTTAATTAGTTGACAAACAATGATCCTACGTTTGTATAACTGTCCCATCATATAGTGTTCAAATGATAGAGATATGAGATAATATGTTTTTGACATAAATTTTTCTAAACGCTGAAAATATAACCGTTGTTTGAGTTTCTGGTGTCTAATGTTTTCAGTTATAAAATGATCAACAAATATATTCACATTTAATTGCATTATAGATTGTCGTCGTTTTTGCATTTTTAATATTATAGTTTATTTTAAAGTTTTCAATTAAGTTTGTAATCTGAAATAAAATTACACTAATAAATTAAAAAGTTGAAGAAAATATATTATTAATATTTATTGATATATCGTATACTATAAATCACAGAATTAATAAAATATTGATTGTGTATTTTATTTATAGTTTTTAAGCTTATTATTACAATTCACTAGAAATTAAAGTAAAAAATCCATATATAGTATAATTGTTAAATATAATAACAAATAAACATAATTTATTAATAGTAAATAAACACGAATGATAATTTTTCAGTAAATAATATAGTTTTTATAGTCTATATAATATATAAAATTATATTTTAAAAATTATTTAATAACTATTTATTTTTTATATTATTCTAATTATAACAACTTAATATACTTATTTTAATAAAAATATTTACAATGTAAACATAATTAGGTTTCTTAATTAACTTATCTTTAAGTCATTGAAACAATAATTGTGATAATTACAATATTAATGTACTTTAATACTAATATTTGTTAATTATCTAAAGTAATGTATATAAATATAAATAAAATAAAAATCATTATCAAACTAAAAAAACTAATAATAATAAAGTAGAAAAATCATACATTTCTACAAAATACAGTTGCTATATTTGTAAAATAAATTCAAGTTTAAAAAGCATTTAAAATATTTTTTTTCAATAAAAATTAAATGTTTTATATTAAAACTATAGATTTATTAGAGTAATTGTTAAAATATATATCATAATAAGATTATTATAAAATAATTATATACTGTATATGGCTATCGATGTAATTGATTGTCAATGAATGACATACGGCTGAACACAAGTCGAGATCAGTCGATAGTTGTTGACAATCATTGTATTGATGTTTGACTGATAAAATTAAAAGTATCTAAAAGATTAAACAAGTATTATATGATATCATAAAAATATTAAGATAACAATAACGTAGGTCTGAGTGACAATTATGTAAAATATAACTTTTATATTAATTTATAATTATTGCTCTGTTTCGAAGCACATGTATTATTAGAAAGTACTGATAGACCCAACCGCACACATAATCAAAGAACTGGTAGTTATTCATTGGAAACATATCATAACACCAGAAGCCGACGTGAGATTCAGATAAATGTTCGACAAATGAAAAAAATTTAAATTTCAAAACAATCGGCAAATCATTTGTTATAAACACTTTGTAAAACATTTTGCGCGACTTATGGGCGGCTGAAGTGACCGATGCGCACATGTAGTTCACTACACATATAAGTGTAAAGATTGCAATAAATATTATTAGTGCCGAAAATCGTATTATACCCGTAGAGTTAGGTGCAGTCGATACATATACAAGCAAATTGAGTGTTGGTTTAGCAAAATAATACAATAATAATATTAAATATTTTAGAATTATATTAATTTTAATAGCATATAATGAACATTGATTATGTTTTTTAAATAAATTAATGACCAAGTTAAAATCATGATTTTCTATGATTCTAACTAATTGTCTATTTAATTGATTAAATTGTAATCGTAAATATAATAAGCACAGATACCATAGATAACAGGTGCCTAACACTACTACATAAAAATCAATTATCCATATAATTGTTACGATAGACCATATGATAATCAACACTATTGAGTATTGTATTCTCTGGTAATCATAAATGTATGCCACAAATGGCGGCGCCAGAAATATGACTGAGGCATTGACTGACAAAATAGCCACCAATTTGTTTGTTAAATATTTTCCAATAAAATTTAATTGTTTGTAAAAATTTTTCCTAAATTTATGCTTCAATTTATTTCTAATTCTATTGTTTTTAATTTCATATAAATATTGAATTAGATACAGTTTTTTATTAATCTCCAAATATTGTACACTATTACCGATGATAACATCAGCTAACAGAGCACCACCAGTGGCTATAAGTGACACAATTAAATGATTGCCTAATATATAGTTGGCATTATTGGTCAACCATAATATCTGTTGTGTGTTGAATAGTGACGATATACCGAATCTAAACACTGTAATCAATGTCATCAATTTAATTAGTTGACAAACAATGATCCTATGTTTGTATAACTGTCCCATCATATAGTGTTCAAATGATAGAGATATGAGATAATATGTTTTTGACATAAATTTTTCTAAACGCTGAAAATATAACCGTTGTTTGAGTTTCTGGTGTCTAATGTTATCAGTTATAAAATAATCAACAAATTTATTCACATTTAATTGCATTATAGATTGTTGTAAATTTGACATTTTTAATATTAAATAATTTACTCTATTTTTTGATCACAAATTTAGATATTCTACTAAATAAAAGTTTATATAAAATAACTTATTAACAATTACTGCATTACATTATAATAAAGTTGTGTATTATCGATAGTTTATTTGTACAATATATTAAAAATTATATTAAAAATTTTATGCATGACAAGCAATAAATATTTATATTATTTATTTATAGAAAATAAACACGATAGCAAATATTCTATAAATAATTTTTTTAGTTTTGTATTTTCTATATTATTTTTTAATAATTAAAACAATTAAACCAAGCTATTGTAATTATTGTATGTTTATCTGAAATCGAAAAACTCAAATTTAATTAAAATTTAATATTAAACTTAAAAAGTAATAATAACCAAAATAAATAACAGTAACTTTAATAAAATTATTAATATAACACAACATGTGCCACATGTTTGCAAATGTTATTGACTTTTCAATATAAAACCAATTATAAAGCAAGCAATAAAAATTTGTTAATTACAAAAAAAAATAAAGTTATAAAATTTTTTTTACTTATAGTAATACATTATATGGTTATCGGGGTAATTGATCATCAATGGCGGCCAAAGCATACGAAGTGGCCGCCCATACGGCTGTACATAAGTCGAGATCACGCGAGTTCTCCAATGTCATTGTATCGCCGGATGTGTGATGAAAGTAAAAGTATTTATCGTTATGATTGGTCAGACCGGCCACCGGAACCCCTTTATTCTGTAAAACAAATATATCGGACACCTCGGCGTTAACCGAAAAGTTGGTGGCATTGATTGATTTGAATGACTTGAGTATCTCACTAATGATACACTGAGCCATCGGGTTTTGTCCCGAATAGCCGATACCTTTAGGTGTGAAAGTCCCGCTGTCCGACTCCATAGCTATACTGATATTATTCAACTCATTTATATGTTGCTGCAGTATATTAAGTATATCGAATAGGTATGTATTAGATTAGCTTATGTATGTATTATAGTTCATCTACTCTACCTTAACATAGGCCTCAACACCAATAAATCCCATTTCTTCTCCGGTCCATAAAACCGATCGCATCGTTCGTTTTGGTCTTAGCCCTAACTTTTTGATGACAGACAGTGCACGCCACGAGATAAAAGCACCACCACCGTCATCCATAGCTCCCTGTCCCACATCCCACGAGTCCAAATGTCCAGATATGATAACTATCTATTTGTCATAAATTAAAATTATACTAAAATTTATTGTTTTGTTTTTATAGAAAACTGTTTGATTAACTTACCTCTTCTGGTTTGACTGTTCCAGTGATTTCACTAATGGTATTCCTGGACAGACCATCCTTTTCCATATGAGCCTCCATATAGAGGCTAACCGTAACATTTAAGCCTCTAGCCGTTAATCTTTCAAACAGCTCCGCGTCCTCTATCGTAATACTTACGGCCGGTATTTTAGGTACATTTATGTCATTTACTATTAAAATAATAATCTATTATTAATATAATTTATAGCTTATTAATGTTGAATATGACTTACATGGCTTTCCTGCACCAGCATGTGGTGTCTCTATTGAAAACGGAGTAATTGATTTAATCTATTTAATATTTAATGAAAATTTTATTATAATTAATTTTATTAAAAATATGTTTAATATTACCAGAGCACCAATAGCTCCATACTGTGCCGCATATTTGGCTCCTAGACCTCTATATTTAGTTGAATGTTCGTAACCCATGTAATCAAAATTATAGACAACAAACTTTCCATTTGCTTCATTGGATCGACGGTCGAGTTCATCAAACGTCTTAACAATCATTACATCGCCTGTAACTACCGATCCGTTTGTTCCCACACTGTATCCCAAACCTAATATGTTTAATGGTTTGATTCTGGGACTTATCATTTGTGCCCATTCCTTGTCACGAATCTATAGTGTTTTTGTGCATAATTTTAATATATTAATAACAAATAAATATTATAAAATTAAGTTATTTTCAATTGATAGGTATGTATACCCAAACAGGAACAGTAAGATTTTCTGTATACACTTTGTCGTGTTGTTCACTCGTTAACAGATCTACCATATAGTCGATAGAGTCCTCAAGATTTTTGGTGCCCACAAATCTGGGACCGAACTGATCGACAAACTTTGCCAATTCATTATATGTGACACCACTGTCTGTGCCATTGACTACAAAATCAATTATTTTTTGTATATCACCGGAGATATCAGCTATTTGTTGTCTAACAGTGTCATTGAATTTAGGTAATGATTCACATATTTGTGAATCAAAGTCTACTAAGACAACACAAATCACTTGAAATGTTAATATTAGTACTAAGCTATGAATAATACAATTAGTTATCATTTTTATAGTATTTTGTATTATTTTTTTTAAAAAGTCTATGTTTTATAAAAAAATGTGTAAATATAAAAAATAGTAATAGGAAAATATTATGTTTTAAAAAAGACAGATTTTTTTATAAAACAAATTACTTTTTATTAATTTAGTAAAAAGGTATTATTGGAAAAATTATTATAAAATAATAAAAAATACTATAAAAAGTATATTACAATGAAACTTATTGCATTTATGCATTTATTGTGATAAATATTGCACAATATTAATATTTTTTATTGTATCTAAAATTGCTAAATAATAGTAAACTTAAAGAGGTTTCTCTCAATAATAATTTATTGTTCATCAATAGACTAAACCTAAATACATAAAATTCAATTTTTTTTTTAAATAACATATTTGAAACATATTTCAAGAAATATAACAAATATAGCAATTAAAATAAAATAATAATTTGAAAATATAATTAAAAAAAATTCAATAGCAACATTTTTGTTAATTTAATATTTATTTCATTTTTTGTTTCATATATAATATTTATCCAATAGTTTATTAAACCACTGTTAGTTAGTCGTGATATTATTTAAAAATAAATAGTTAAAAAATGAATTTTAAGTCATTAATATAAAAATACAGTAAATATCTTTAAACTTACATTTTATTAAATATAATTTTATATGAAAAACAATAGTATTCGTTGTTAGCAATAGAGGGAAGAACCGAAACGGTTTTGGTTTTTGTGTTTCGGTTTCGGTTCGGTTGCGGTTCAATTGCGGTTCGGTTGCGGTTCAATTGCGGTTCGGTTGCGGTTCAATTGCGGTTCGGTTGCGGTTCAATTGCGGTTCGGTTGCGGTTTTTTAAAAACTCCAGTTCCTCTCTCTCTAGTTAACAACAGTTAGTCTTCATCATTGTATTTCAATAATTGATGTTTAGTTATATTAAATGACTTTAAATAATACAATAAACGTTTTGTAAAGTATAACTCCTTGTACTATATGTCATATTTTTTAAAAAATATTTAGTCGATTTGACTAATCTGAGAATATTAGTGTTTTTGTGAGATAATTAATTATATATAAATTACAAGATTTTATTATTATTTAATACATATCTAATTTACAAATATAATTGACCCTAATATATATATATATAATTATATTATAATTATAATAATACAATATATTTGTATATATTATATTATTAATTATGTATTTAAGGTTTTTTTGATTTTATTATATGATTACAAATAATCAAAAACTATAATTGTTATATTATAGAATAATTAGCATTATAATTAAATTAGATAGTAAAATGATTGTTTGATTTTTAAAAATTTTGCACATAAAACATGTTATAAACAAAATATTTAATATTAATAATTTTCCATTTATTATAAAATGTGAATTATCGACAATATATTTTATAGTATATTAATAATTCTAATGTAAATATTAAGATGCATAATAAAATCATATAAATAAATAGTTTGAAAATAAATAAAAAATTCTCAATGACTAATTTATTATTATTTTCAATAATAATTTTGTAATTAATTTTATGATCATTATAGTACCAAAATTGGATAAAACCAGAACATGTTAATCGAGACAATCTATTAATTATATTTAATTAAAATTAAATAAAACAATTAACATTTTTGATATAAATAAAGTTAACGGTTAAATGACTTACATTTTATTAAATAATGTTTTGTACGGAAAGTTTTTGTTCAAAACAATTGTATCAAAAACTAACGATATAGACGACTGATCTCTATTATCGGGAACAATATGTTTGGTTATATTTTTCAATATTAATTCATTTATAAGATCTCTACGGTGACCAATATATGATATTTTATTTGTTTTATTAAATTGAAAATATTCACTATAATTAATTGACTCAACATAATTAGCTAGCTCATTCAATACTGATGAACTTCTAGCCTTTAATATAGAATTTAAATTAATATCTTATAATATATTACAATATTATTATTATAATACCTTTGATAATGATAATAATGACAATACATTAGAGCCAACATTAACAATAACACGATGTTGATTATATTTAACATGAAAGACAAGTTTATCAATAGTATCTATCATGCACATTTTTGGCTGTGAAATATGTGAATAAATAGTACCAGAATAAGCCGTACCTAATACTATACACGCTAACATCCAGGTGCTCATTAATAATTTTATTGAAAATAATTTAACATATTTAAGATTACATGATTGATAAAATCCTATTGTCATAATCATCCACAATATAGTAGTTTTACATTTAAAGTTAAATAATGATATTGATAATTTTAAGCATAATAAAATACATAGTATAGATATAAATAATAATGTCCAAACACTTGGACTAATTAATCCTAAAATATTTACTGAATGACAATATGTAGGTATGTGTGATGTAAATGATATGGTATCCACTAAATATGGATAGACATAATCAACTACATGAGCTCTATCGTAATTAATAGTAACAGTACTAATTCCTATATCAGCTTGCTAAAATATAATATAATATAATAATTTTATTTTTATTGAAAATTATTCTAATTAAATAAACGTAAATCTAATTACAGTATATATTAATTGAAAATAAAACTTACATTATTATGAATGGCACCAATAATTCCGGACCAATTATTATATTGCAATTTACTTCCATATATTAAATTGCAATTTATTATATCATATGTAAAATTTAAGAATTGTTGTAAAATTTGCAGTATTTTAAAATCTGGTCCATTAATTATATTAATTTTATTTGTAGATGAATTATATGCTAGAAAAGTATAATAGGTTACCTAAAAATGTAAATATTAGTTATTTATATTTTAACAAATAATTAAATATATTAAATTTTTAAAAATAAATATTTTACATTATTTGCAGCAATTAAAATATGAGTATTATTATTTATCATTATTTAAAATGAAAATTAAAAAATAATTTATTAAATCATAATTTGTATATGTTATAACACTTGCTATTTGATTAATAGAAAATAAGAAAATTAGCAAACGAGTAAATTATAATAATTTAACCTAGTATATAATTAAATAAATCAATATTTAAAGTACAATAAATTAGATTTTTATTACATGAATATTTAATTTATTTGCTACTAAAATTATTATATCTTTACATAACTAAAAAAATAAAATAAATGCTTGTTTTTAACAATTTTATTTATAAATCTACTAGATTTTGATATTTAGCCATTTTTTATAAAAGAAACAATCTCTATTATAATATAACAATAATTAAATAATAAAAAATAAAACACATAATAGCATTATCTAAATAAATAATTTGAAAATAAACAAAAAATTAGCAATATACAATTTACTGTTATTATTATTATTGTAAATGTTGTCTTTGTAAATGTTGAGTTGATAAATATTACAACATAACATATATTTAGCCGATATATGTGTTATACAAGCGCTGCGCTGAACTCGGGTTAGCGGCTTTTGAATGCTGCACCGGCCGTCCAACTGGTCATTAAGGTAGAGCACTCGCCAATCGCGTCCAGTTGTTGAAACCAATGATCGGCCGATTTGGCCGATCCAGTCGGTGGTAGCGTTTCGTGCGCCACCCACTCACCAGCACCAGTATAGTTGTATGAATTGTTTATTAAAGCACAATTAAATTGTATAATAATATAAACTTTATTGTTGATTATTAATATTAGTTAACAAATGTAAAACACTAAGTAGAATACATGTTGAGTAAAAGAGAATCCTCAGTCTAAGAGACTGGGCTCAGGGAACTCATATATAAACTAAGTATATATAACCCAAATGTCAGAGTAAATCTAAGTGACACATAAAAACCAAGAGACCAAATAGGGTTCGGTTGACTCTTATATAAACCTTTAGAGGGGTGTGGTATGGCCATCATGGGCTGTCCTGTACTAACCAATTATATAATATAAACTACAAAACTATAATATATATGCAATATATATTATTATGTTTTATCCCCCCACAGTTAAATAAAAGCCAACCGTTACAATAAAAATATAAAATTTTAAAACAATCATAATAATATGAAAATTGATTATATATAATTAACATTAATTTTTTTACAATCAATGTAATTAATTCCACTATAATTAATAGGGGAAAACCTTTAATTACAATTATAAACTTATAATTTAGGTGAAAAACCTATTACATAAATTGGGTGAAGTGGGCACACTATGTCCACACAAAAACTAACATTTTATCAAATTTGGCCAATTTGGTCAAATCGATCAATTTGGTCAATTTTGTATGACAATCACTTAATATAAAATTTGTATATTAAATGCCAATTTAGTCCATAAATTAAAAATTTAAAAATAAAATTATTATAAATATTAAATTACATAATTATAATGTATATACTAATTTTAATTAGTACGAAAAACAATTTTTTGATTTATAGTTATCATTAGTTATATATTTTTAGTTTATTATATATTGATATATAGTTGTAAATTAACAAATAGATGAATAACGTTATACCAAACTTATGATGCACTCGATTACTTGTAGTAAGTCTGTGGTTAACCAAATGATTTATAACGGTATGGTCAACACAATGGCTAACAACTTAATGGCTGAATATGTGGCCAATGAAGATAATAATGATTCGATGCATATCTTGTCAGTGATATAAGTCTTGATAATAATAAATGGTATGTCGAAAATTATTCATACGAAAGATCAATTTTGTAGATATTGACGCCAACCGTAACATTGAGGTTAATAATAGTCTCAATAATACCAACAATGACTTCTTGAAACAAATGGATACTAACGTCGAGTAGATGACTATTATACTTTTTTAATGATAAAATACTCAATATTTATAAATAAAATATCATTAACATTTGAATTTAACTTTTATAAACGTTTTCATATATATATATATTTAAAAAATTAATTATTAGTAAAACATTTAATAAAATTAAAATTATTTATATTCATAGTGTAATGTGTAGATACATTTTTAAAAATTAGTTATTTCTTATTAAAAAACAGAATAAGTATTTCTTAATTCTTAAAATATTTTTAAAAAACTGATTTATGATATAAAAATACTAAATTATTGTTTAAGTTTAATTATATTTTAATTTTAATATTTTTTTTTATATAATTGAAACTTAAATTGTAAAATTAAACAATTTAATAATATGGCCAATTTGGGCAATTTGGCCATTTTTTCAATAATAAGCTATAAGTTTTTATATTATACGATAATATTTTCTGTAATTTGTATTATATTATATAATTTTTAAATAAATTTAAATAATTTCTTTTAATTATTGTAAAATAACCGTTGTTAAATTATTTCCTTTTATAAATTTAATATTTATTAATTATTTGTATATTTTGAATAAATTTTATTTTATACTAGATAAGATTATTTTATACTTATTTAATTTATTTTTTCCTTAAAATTAGTTGAAATCTTCATAATAATTACTACTATTACTAATTCAAAATTATTACTAAAATGATAGAAATAATAATTATTACATAATATAATATTAGAATTAATAACTACTTTATTTAAAATATTTATTTTTGTGTAGTTATATTTATTTATATATGATTTTTGTATTCTATATAATTACTTTGTGGTTCTTAAATATATTTAATATTATTGTTAAATAAGTATTATTATGAGAATTATTTTTGCTTAATTTAATAAATGAAAATTTATATCAATTTATAATTTTATTTTATTTTACTTAATATAATATCCGATAATAAGTTTTAAAAATTGTTAAGTAATTAATTTTTTAATGTTTTAACTTAATTATTTTACTTTTTCATTAGTATATTTAATTTATATTATAGAATACTGTTTTATATATATTTATTCTAAGTAAATATTATTCAATATTTACTCTAATTCAAAATTAAACCGACTATTTATGTTAGGGCTATTTACGACAATTTGATCAAATTGGCCGATCTGATAAAATTGACCCAAATGTCCATTAGGCATAAACTATCTTGTAAAACTTTAAATTATAATTGCCTATTTGTATTTTTTTTAAATACAATCATTTATATTTATTCAAACCTTTTTTTATTTAACTTGATTAGCCGAACACAAATGCGCATATTTAAATTTGTATTTTCATTTATACTTTTTCATTTTTATCTATTTATTATTGATTAATCATTTTTACATTCATTCAATCTTATACATATAATTTTTATTATAAATTATATCTTAGCTAATCTATTATTCTTTATTACAAAATATTTTTAATCATTTTAACATTATTTTTACTTTATTTTGCATGCAATTATTTTATTTCCTATATTGTGCAGACTATAGCGCTAAATGTCTCACAAATAGTATTAGGCAATATTTATATTTTTATCATTCAAAATTTCTAAAATTGTTTATTAAACTACAGTACCTATAAAATTAAATTACTTTTCTAATCTAAACTTGTTTTTTTTACTTTTTATAAATTACCTGTTTTTATATTTATTTTTAACTTTTTATGACAGATTTGGCCGTTTTGGCCAATTTGACAAATCATTCACATTTTTATAAAATAGAAGTACAATTAAACTTGTTTAATATTTAAATAATTAAATATTGGTTACAAATTTAATATAAATGTCAATTAGAATTCTGTAAAAAGCAAAGTATCAGAATTTTTTATTAAAAATAATTATAAGTGATAAAGCATTATATATAGATCAAGTTATATTATTTAATTAGCCGTCCAAAGTTAAGTTTGTTATTAATAGTGATAATAACGGCGGCATTAGTGATGACCGTAGCCTCACTAGTTAACATAATTTCTATTATGATTTTGTGTGAAAATTACAAAATAATTGCAGTTTGAAAGCAATAAACCCATTAAATTTTAGAAGCATTTGAATTTTTTAGCAAATAAAAGAATTTTCGTATTTTAGACAATAAAACATATGTTATATTTTAAACTATTTTTAAAAAATTTTTTATAATTATCGAGATTTTTAATATTATAGGACTTTTAAAACACTAATACTAACACTTATATATAAAATAGAATTTTTTCGCAATTAATAGTAAACATATAAAAAATAGGGATCAGTTGATACCTAATTTCATTAATAAAATAATTAATAAAAGATAAATTAATAATGTATACCAGTCCATGATGTATAGTATTACGAGAGTACTTTTAAAATCGATACCACTGCGATCTCCACCAAATACAACATAACATATATTTAGCCGATATATGTGTTATACAAGCGCTGCGCTGAACTCGGGTTAGCGGCTTTTGAATGCTGCACCGGCCGTCCAACTGGTCATTAAGGTAGAGCACTCGCCAATCGCGTCCAGTTGTTGAAACCAATGATCGGCCGATTTGGCCGATCCAGTCGGTGGTAGCGTTTCGTGCGCCACCCACTCACCAGCACCAGTATAGTTGTATGAATTGTTTATTAAAGCACAATTAAATTGTATAATAATATAAACTTTATTGTTGATTATTAATATTAGTTAACAAATGTAAAACACTAAGTAGAATACATGTTGAGTAAAAGAGAATCCTCAGTCTAAGAGACTGGGCTCAGGGAACTCATATATAAACTAAGTATATATAACCCAAATGTCAGAGTAAATCTAAGTGACACATAAAAACCAAGAGACCAAATAGGGTTCGGTTGACTCTTATATAAACCTTTAGAGGGGTGTGGTATGGCCATCATGGGCTGTCCTGTACTAACCAATTATATAATATAAACTACAAAACTATAATATATATGCAATATATATTATTATGTTTTAATATTTTTGTTATTTTTATTGCACAAAAAATCAATAAAACCATAATTTGTAAAGCATGATAAGCTAAAATATACTTATTTTTAAATAACAGTTTAATACATATTTTATTTAATATTTATTCAATTTTTTTAAAATAGCACCTTTGATAGTGATAGTGATAATAATAATGACAGTTTATTAGAACCTAGATTAGCTAATTTTTTTATTTAGTTTGAAAAATAATTTAATTAAGATATTATTGCTTTTTAAGTGTATAAGAAATTATAAACTATGAACGTAACAAATCAGAAAATATAAAATTAATCATTTATTTATTTATATAATTAAATTAATTAATATTTTTTTGCATAATAAACATGGCATTTGAAAACAGGAATATAATTTAATATATTTTAAATTATTTCTATATACTGTTTATTTTACTTAAAATACAGTATAAGTATAGATAATATATATTACTAAATTATAAATGCATATCATTAATATTTTCTATTTTTGTTCATTTAATTAATAATAATTTGATGAATAAAATATGACATAAATAGATTATATAATATATATAGTAATATTTATCAAATTGAATTTTCGTAAATTAATTTATGATAATTATATTATATTATTAAAATTATGTATTATTTTCATAATTAATAACTTAAAAGTGCATTAATAATAAAGTTTATAATAATCTTATACAAGTGTAAAATAATAAGAACTAATCAATAAAAATCTATAAAATATTTATAATAAACATATTTTTTTGACAAAATTATATACAATACAATGTGTTTCTTTCAAAATAACATTTTATTATGAAATAAATTAATATTTTGCAATTTGTTTATTGTATACAATGTTACGAAAATTCTGTGTAATTTTCCAACAAATTGTTTTTTTAAAATAATATTAATTATTAATGTAAAATTAAGATAAATTTAAACTGACCTTCAATTCAAATGTTTATAACACAATATTTTGATTAAACAAATTGTCAAAAATTACTATAATTGTCTATTAATCCCATAAATGAATAGACCTTTAATCAATTAGATTACTAATTTTAAAAGTATTTATAAAAAATATTTTTGTTTATTTAAATAAAATGATAACATTTTTATTTCTATAAACAACACAAATATATTTATGAATAAATGATTTCATATTTAAGGCAATCATTTTTTATAGTAATTTTTGTCAAAAAAAATATTATTAACTTTAAATAAAAAAAATAATACTTTATAAATTTATATCATAACTTATGATTCATGAAATATAAAAATTAGTTTATAAATGACATTAAATGAAAAATATTAATTTTAAAAAAATTACTCAACTGTAAAAAACAATGTTAAAAAATATTAAACAAATACTTTTGTTAACTGTATTTATCGGTCAATGGCTTAATTGTTGGACATTTCGTTGCGAAAGTAACAGTAAGTTTAATCAGATTAAGTAATTATAATAACTGAAAATATAATGATTGAAATTGATTGTTGAAACCCATTAGGCGATGGCTTTTATGCCGATCCTACCGATTGTTCAAAGTTTTACAGGTGTGTGACGGGTACCACCTATTCATTTAATTGCGGTCCGGGAACTCATTTTAATCCCAGTTGTGATTGTTGTGACTGGCCTTATAATGCCAATTGTCAATCTCAAACACAGACATCAGCACCGGTATATTCGGCCAATGGTTATAGTGGTCAACAGCAACAGTCTGGCTATAATAGCAATCAGCAAACTGTAGATCAATCGGGTTATAATTATCGGCAATACGGACAACAACCTGGTGGTCAACCGGTAACGCAAGGATATGCTTACACTGCGGGACAGTCGTATGATCAATACCAACAACAACAATATGGACAACAAACTGGTGCACAAAGTGGTCAATCATATCCAGATTATAGTCAAACTCAATCGGGACAACAATTGCCTCAAACTTATGGCCAATCATATCGACAACAGCCAGTCAATCGTCAATACGGTGAGTACGGGCAAAACAGGCAGACAAGTATAAGTGGTCATCATCAGCATCGACATCAAAATCAACGACTGCCTGAAGAGTCGCAACAAATAGATTTCAGTCAACAGAAGTCAGATGATAGCGACGATAACGATGATCAATATCAGAGAAGACAACGACCGCAACAACAACAAGACCGACGTGTTTATCAAAAAACTGATCGCAGAGGAGAAGCACCGGTGGATGACTTTTCGGAGACATCAAGAGTACGACCAAAGCCAAGACCTAAGCCACGTATCAATGAAACTCCAGATAACCAATTAATTGATGAAAAGGACGACGATTTCGATCATAATTTTGATGAACCAATTGAAGAGAAACGTCCGGTAAGACCCACACCTAAACCAAAATCACGTCAACCGATTGGTCAACGAAAGCGTCCGACAAAACAACCCGAACCTGAGGACAATAGTGACGAAAGTGACGAATATGAGGTGATAAAGACAACCTCTACTAGACGTCCAAAAGTTCCGACTCGTAAATACCGGATTAAAACGACAACTATGGCTGCAATTGATGATAATGAAGATCAAGATGAGGACAACGAGTTTTCTAAGTTTGGCGACAATGAGATTAAGACTGATAATGAAGATCCAGGAAGTGTTGACACAAATAAATGGTTAATATTCGATGACAGCCAAGAAGTGACTACAACTACAACTGAGGATCCGTTTGTAACGGCACTCAAAGGGAAAGTACCGCCAAATGTTCCACAAAAGTCTAATAGATCTCGAATTGATGGCTCACGAAGCTATGGTCGACGTTATAGTACAACCACTGAACCAATTATAACAACAAGTATGACAGATACCACAACAATTGATCCGTTTGACGAGGAATGGGCTGATTTTATAGCCGGCAAACCACCAGTTGATGATTACAGTTATCGGACGACACCAAAACCAGACACTAAATTTTTGACACCGAATAATAGGACAGATCCTAATACCAGATCTAGAGATCAGAAACCAAAAGATGATGGCATCCGATATTTTAATTGCACGGAAGCGGGAAAACCGTGTGATATCTGCGAGAACTTGGATTGGATTAAGTACTCTAATATTGGTGTGAAATCCAATCCTTATCGAAGTTTGAAATTTTTGCCGATTATAGCATCTAAACAGTGCTATAAAGCTTGCAGTGAATCGCAACAGTGTCTGGCCTTTAGCTATAACTTAGACACAGGTATGTGTCATATCTACGATCAATTAGATATAAATGATGTCTTGAGTGAAGATAAGACCAATTTAGTTGTCAAGAACCCGAAGAATGTTTTAATAAATGACGAATGGATTCATACAAACAATGGTATGGTTTCTGGTCTGGAGTTATACACGACAAAAGTTGACAACGTTTGGGACTGTCTTCACGAGTGCATCAAAGATATGGCCAATTGTCAGGCCGTCGATTATGATCCCATTGAGTCCATGTGTCGGGTGTTTGACGCACAAGAGGGCTATGGTGTCAATGCTGTCAAAGCCAATTCAAATAGTTTGCAACACTTATCGATGTTTGCGGACAATAATAAATGGAGATTTGATGACATCGGCTACAAGACAATGGCTAACAATAGACCAATTGATAGCATACCAGTGCGCGAAATAGAGGAATGTTTCTATGAATGTATTGAACAGAAAGATAATAATTGCAGTTATGTTACGATTGAAGATAAATCCGTTCAAAACGAAACACGAGTTAAGGATAACAGTGTTGATAGTGATAGCACTGATAAAAGAGAAAAGATATGCCATTTGTTTGCTTTTACATCAACACCCAAATGGATCCGATCGAAGAACAGATCTAACCATAGTTTTGTGATTTCGGTGCCGAAAAATCATTCACTGATACAGGAATTTCCCGGCTATACATATGTAGGCAATCCTGTAGTCATTAAAGAAGGTCTAACCGTTGATCAGTGCCGAGAGTACGCCGAAAATGAGTGTAAATTTTGCCGAAAGTTTACGGCCATTGAAGAGACCGGTGAGTGCGCCCTATTCTCTGACAGTGCTTTACTGTCTCCGGCCATCAAAGAGGCCAACTATACTGAAAGATCGGGACTATTAATGGTTCCTAAAGACTACGAATATCTGGCTTTCGAGCGAATCCCGTGGAAAATGTTTACTTCAGACGTAACGCCTTATGAATTGAAAGGCGAAATCGATGGACTCAAATGTCTGCAATTTTGTCTTCAGCAACAGCTATGTGTGGCCACAGCACTGGTATACGACACACAGGAATCGTCAATGTTTTGCTACTTTTTCAAAGAGTCGGACCTGAAGACAGCAAATGTCACTGAATATGAAAACGTAGACTTATTTATTAAGATTATGTCAGATAATGAGATACCTGGACATCGAGTAATGACAAACCAGTCAAATGATTGCAGTGATGGTAAACCATTGCAATTTGAAGATGAAAATAAAAATGTTGATAAAGTTAGTGATAATAGAAGAAAAGGATCAAAAGCTAACAATGCTTTTAGTGTGTATTCGCCATATGATTATGACTTTTATAACGGACAGCCTAATGTAGATGACAACCGCGAGTCGGAACAGTTAAATGCCGGCCGTATGTCGGGTTCGACAAAACAGCGCAGTGTTAGATCGGTTGATGGAATCAATAGAGATAGAGCTGATAGTGATGGAGACAATAACCGGTCGATTGGACTTACATTTATTGATTCTGTCCGACAAAATGCCCGAAAAGAGTCAGTTTTAGAGACAATACCGACTTTCGCGTCTCAGCTTAAAAAACGAGTGGAAATGATCCGAAATGTTACACAATTGATGCCAAATAATTCATTACCCCTACAAGTATTAAATCCAAATCATAATTATACTATTCTATCGGCGGGAAAGGTATTGAAGTCGTTGAGACACTATTTATCTGATAAATTGTGTGCCAATGGACAAGAATTGGATAATAATTACCAATGCCGAGACATATCTAATACGTGTCATGAAATACCTGATATAATTTATGCCGACCCGATAGGGATGTCCCGATGCAATGTTACACTTGTTGGTGCGTACTGTCCAGTTGTTTGTCGCACGGGTTACGAGCCGACTCTCCCAAGAATTCAGTGCCAGAGTACTGGTCACAGAAATGTCTGGAAAAATGCAAGAGATGTCAAGTGCCGACCTATTGACGGTCAATGCGAACTGATTGATGCAAGAAATAAATCATTGTTACGGATCAAGTCTGTGACCCGATTTCCAGATGAAAAGCTTCACTTTATATCAAGGTTTGACAGTCGTAAACGATTGCCACAGTTTGCGGCCTATGTTCACACACGAGACAATAATATTAATGACAATCAGACACTAGATGTTAATAATAGTGATGTAGAGGAACGGTATGTTGCGAATAGATGTAAACTATTGGATGATAAACAATGGACAATCAACGACTATAACCGAAGCGACTATAATATGCAACCAATATTACCGACAAATGCTTTCCGATATTCACCCGAAGCCCAGAGTTTGGTCCACACGATGACTGTCATCGCACCACAGGATCCGTTCACAGCACGTGGTCCGTGGCGTACACTTGAAAATCATACACTCGAAATGTTGCGGACGCGACCAGGTATTGTACTATCAGGTGTTTGTCCCGATACTATACCGCAAACAGCGGCAACACCTCGAAAGGCTATGAATATACCGAAATGTTTTTGGCGTATAATATGTGTGCCACTCAGCGATACCGAAATAACTGCTGGCGTTTTCTATACTGAAAACACACACCCGATCTCACAGCTAGAGAAGCAGTCACGCGTGGAACAGATACGACAATATCGGGACCAACGGTTTATTGCAAAACTTTTGGGTACCGATGGTTATCGTAACATATGGACGGAAACATACAATGCGTTCAAAAATGTGAACAAAGGCATCAAAAGTTTCATACATAAGTGCGCCGAAACACATAAAAATAGTGCCGATGCTGTCAACTTTTGGGAACGGGTGGTCAATGGTACGGCAGGACAGGTAGAGACATGGCCTGCAAGCTATAAGTATGGATTGGAAAAAAGTGATTTAAAGATTAATACAAAAGAGGATTGGGAGCAGAGATCAGCAAAAATTAGACGATTCACAACAAAATTAGAGGACAGAGATGATAATAATTGATAATTATTTGATTAACTGAATTTGATTTATTTTAAAATCAAAATCATTATTTTTGTTTACCATATTATATTATAAAAATCATATTAACATTTAATTTGTCAATTCATTTTATCTCAATTTGATATTAAATATTATTATAACATGTTATTAATTTTTTAGAAAACTTATAATATTATAATATTTAAATGAAAAAAAAACTTTGAATAAAAATGCATTTTTTATTTTTACATATTTTTGTTGATTGTATATTATATTGAATATTTTCAATACTATGACAAATATCAGTACACTTTATGATTATTATAAATCACTGAATAATTTATAATCAATTTCAGGCAATGAATTGCAATCAACCCATGAATTTCTAAGGGATGGCTGAATGAAAACATTTTTCTGTACTTTATGTATAATTCGTTGAGTTTTGCATATAATACTTCCCAAAGTTGTTACTTTGCGTATATTATTGAGTTGATCTAGTAATACAAATTAAATATTAGTAATTAATCAAATGTTTTAATTTGTATATTTAAAAAAAATCAATACCTTTATTAAATGATCCAGATTGACTATCATGCTCATAGTAGAATCGATCGCCAAACTTTAGTTTATTAAATTGAATACCATTTAGGCAACTGTAAGTGGGACCCATGTGTGAGCCCCATAGGTTTGACTCGTGCATTGCACCCACATGTAGGTCAATATCTGTCCAGTGACTATAATAAAAATAATTAATACTTAATATTTTTAAAAATTTTATTCAAATTAATACTTGTAAAATTTTTTAATGTTATCAACATTATTAGCAGTGATGAGCAGGGTCAAATCATTCCATGATGTAATATTAATTCTAAATAAAAATAAATAAAACAAATGGTAAAATCATCCATATATAGTAATTAATGTATAATATTGTTTAGACAAACCCATAGCATAGTCCTAAAAAGTTTGTATAACTGGGTATTCCGTGATCCCGGTTACGCATGATATCGGTAGCGGCCAAATCAATTGCACCTTTAGTATCGTGTCGTTGACCAAAATAGTTATCAATATCTACACTATGATATTGATCGACTGTTCCGGCCTTATCCTGTAACAGTCCAGCTATTATACTACCAGCCTAATTAAAATACACAAAAAAATAGTTAAAATAGATTTCAAAAAATGTTTTATTTATTTCAAATACTTTTCCTTGTGTTATAAGTGTTGGATCGTAATAGTTATTACGCAACATTTCTTTTGCCCGCTTGAATGGACATCCATTAGCCTCCAAATTGATCGGTCCATTGATCTGCGAGTGTCCAAAACGGGCTGATCCTACAGCAAACTCGTTGACTGTAATGAAATTGATTTCCGGATCATATTGTGTATAACCAGTGGTCAAACTTTTCAGATTAAATATTTTTGTAAGTATTGGTCCCAAAGATGCCGGTAAGTACTCATTATATATAATGTGTTGGTGTTCAGCAATAGATATCCGTCTAATAATATAATTTATATAATAGTTTTAAAGACAGTATTTATTAATTCAATTAGTACTGTATAATAAAAAATAGTAGTTATTAAATGAAATATAATTTTTACTGATACCTGGCCTCGTGGAAAATTTGGTCGTCATCCCAGTGTGGGTTCAATTTAAGTAATGCCAGTGCGTGTTGGTTATGCCGTCTGAGAAATGTCACCTGAAATGATTGCAACAATGGATGCATATTTCCCCGATCAGAGTCACCCGTGTGAAAGCACTTGTAGTTATCGGGTGCCGCGCGTGGATTACATGATGGAAAGTCAGCGGGAGGTGGAATAAACTCACCTTTTGTGGTGTCAACAGCAACACGTAACTGACCTAATGATTAAATAATCATAAATATATTATATAAGTACTAACTGTGCACTTGTGGTAGTTTTCAATGTTAATCTAACTGACCTTTGCTGTCTGATCTTAATTCTTGCGATTCCTTATCATTTTGGCCGTAAACATGTGATAAGTCAATAGCAGGTGTTTCATCGTTGATTTGTTCGCGAGCACCTGTAGTACATTATTACATTATCATTAATTATTTTGACTACAAAAAAACTGATAACTAATAAATTTACAACAAAATTATGATAAAATTATTAAATTATTAATTATATATATTTTTATTTATAGTGAAATTATCTAATTTGTGTTATGATATGAATTTGCACATATAGAATATACTGTATCAAATAAATGTAAGTATTTTTCCTATAATTGTTATCAAAAAATTATACATACCTTTAGCACAGGGAGTACAATAGAAGTCACGTGACACAACCATACAAGTTTGGTTCCATTGTTTAGTCATATAATCATCGGGACTTAATATATCAATTGATAGACATTCGGGATCCCGTTTGGATGGCGGTCCGCAGCACGTGTCTCCTGGTTGTCCTCTGGCACGCGATGCGTCGTGAACTACAAACTGTCCGTAGCCGACAACTATACCGGTCAGTTTGGTGTCGTAGACCGATTTGTCGGGCATAAGTGCATTAGTTATGCTACGGGTGTTTGGCAGGGGTTGCTTATTGTGTGCCAACCGGAGCGACTTTATACCGTCTCCATAGGCCGGTCCCAAAATACGTGAAAAACATGCGCTTGATTTGCCCCAAAAAGGATTTTTAGCATTATTGCACGTGCCATCCAATGTACGATATTTTGATATTAAATTACATTTAATATGACCGCTTTCGTAGCAAATATTGTGATCATATTTTATGGCAACCAATTTTTCGACATTCAATTTGTTTAATAAATCTAATTATTAAATAATTTTTATGATAACTTTTTATATTATATATATATATATATTATTTTTCTAAATATTACCATTTGATGTATTCAATGATTTTACAGACAATATAGTTATAATTAAAATAGTTAATATAATTTTAGCAATTAACTGCTGATTATCCATTTTATTAAATTAAATAACTTTTTCTGTTAAACTTTCAATTATCACTGTTTAGTAAATTAAAATGAAGTATTAAGAATATTTTTATTCCTATAATTTATTGTATTTTTATATATTTACTTTTTTAAATATTAATATTATCTATTAATACTACAAAAATATGGTTTTAAGTATGTAATGACCTTAAAAAAAATTGAGAGTTAAGTCCTTTTTTAATCTTAATTTTAAAACTAAGATAATAGAAATTAACAATTAAATTGTTTTAGATTATCTGGATGTAATATTTGCTATTTGTGCATAAATAAAAAAATTTCTAAATAACAATTATTTATATTTTTTAAATACTTTTGCAGGTAATTAATGTACTGATATCATTATATATTTTTTGAAAATTATCCAAGTTTTGTAAAAATTAATGATTGTAATATATGATAGTAATATACCGGTACTATTCAATTGAGTTTATACTATGTTTGATAAAATTTAGTTAATTATACAAAATTATAACAATATGAATATATTTCTTAATAGATTAATACAATATATTACACATGAAATAATTTATTAATGCAAAAATATAATAAATCAATTAAAGATTTTTATTTTAATTATATTTTTAAAAAATTATATTTTATCATACAAATCAACAACATGTTTATTATGTTTATCAAAATCTAATATTTGTTTAAATTTTTTGATTTTATAAAGTAATAACAAAAATATTAAAATACTTATTACTGTACAGAATAGCATTGTTAATAAATATATGTTTGGCATAACTTCAATATAAGTACCCAAAAGGCCCGGTAGTACAAGATTAAGGCTATTGGCACTGAGCAACATAACAGTGTTAAGACTGTTAGTAAATTCAAGATAACGGCCCATAAATGCAAATACCGACGCATAGACAGGACTGTAGCCGAAACTCATCATCATTACGGACAGCCATAACAGGGGTAGTGAATTGGTGGCAAAAAACAACATAAACATAGAGACTATTAGTATGGATAGGAATATAGCTATGATTTGTTGCGGTGAAGTCCTAATGGCCAATAGTATGGCCACACCACGGCTTACGGTAAACGTCAAGGCTATCATCGATACGAGTTGTGCTGCACTACCGGCGCTCAATTTAAGCGGAATATACTGAAAGTATGTGGCACTGAATGCAAAAAATATACTTTCGCCGGCACTGAAAAAAGCTAACAGTGCTGCCAGCATAATGATCATGGTGATTTTCTGGGATGGTAGGGTCTCAAATAGCTTTTTTCGAACCTTTTCGTTTGAGGTAACGGAGCCGTTAGTTTTTGCTGTATTATTAGCTATTATTTGAAAACTATTTTGATCATCACTTTCATCCTTAATATTGCTATTGTTGTCAGTGTTGGCGCTAATGGTGTTACTGTTGTTGTTGCCACTGATGCTAACATTGCGTGACCGACTCGGGCCGCGTGTCCTAAATATTATAGTCAATAGTATGGGACCTGAAATAATAAATAAATATTAAATATTTTGTTTGTTTTATTCAAAATATGACATATTTTTTGACATACTTATGATATGAAATAAACCGCAAATAAGGAAAGGAGTGACTAGTTTTTGTCGTCTCACTTCAGGCAACCCTACTTCAAGCATATGCTCCTCGAGTGCCGTTAAGTTGTTTTTGTGAAGAAGTCCATGTTTTTCATGAAAATCGTTGAGCACTTCACCTGTAAGATATGATTTCTCAATAAGCGGACCTAATGTATGTCCGATGCCGAACATAAAACCGGCCAAATGTAGTATCGGTGCACTAAACTCTTGCCACATATCTATTAGCCACACATACTTGACATTAACATACACTCCGCTACCGAAGCCAAACAACCAGAAAAATAAATAAAGTTGTTGTAAATGTTGTGAATGTGGTATAGCTATGACAGACACCGACATCAGTACCAATGATAATACCAGTGCTAATCGTTTGTTGATGTGCTTAATGACTAGACCACCTCAAATCAAATCAAAACATTACTATAATTATTTTATTATTATAAGGATTAGGATTTTATTTTATGTTAATTTTAATTTAATAGCTAAACATTACTATTATATTAATGAATATTTTATAATTTGTTGCATAGTTTTTATGCTGTATTTTGTTTTATTCTTTTTTTTTTGGTATTGTATTGTATTATTTAAGTAAAGTTTTTGTGTCGGATGTATATATATTTATGTTTTATTTTTGTGTTAAACTATTTATATTATTATGGTTTTTATTATACTGTACTGTATTATATAAAATGCAATAAAAATATCTTACAAAGCGATCCAACCATATATCCGAAGCTATTGAATGTCGTGACGATTGAGATCTCATTCATTGATGAATTAAATATGTGTTTCAAATCTACAAACGAAGGACCAAATGATGAACAGCTGTAGCCCTTAGTATTGATTATTATAAAAGAAATATTTTATTGTTATTATCTTTTTTAATAATAATAATAATGTTTCCTTATTTTATTTATCTTTATTTTAAATTAAACAAAACAATATTCAGTATATTTATATAATAATAGACTGGAATTGTAATGTATTGTATTTAAATTGTATATTATTAACTAAATAATATGTAATCAAATGTATATACAATTCAAATTTTTATTTGTCTTATTCTTTTTATTATTATTTTTTTTGTAATTAATATTTATTAAAATCATTAAGTATGACATCAATATGTAAAAATTGTATTCAAACATAAGTTATAAAACACTAGTAATAAAAATAAAAACTAAAATTTTTAGCAATAAACTGATAATTAGGTTACCTAGGTAATTGTAAGTTATTGTCTTTACATTGTATTGCAATATGACAATAATTAGATTAATTTTCAACTATAAATATTAATAATATAATAAGGATATTGCTAAATTATTTTTTTTATAAATAAACATATAATATTATATATATAATAATTATAAGATATTTATAACAAATATTGTAATGACGTTGCAATTTACTGTATTATTAATTTAGTTATAATATAAATTATGTCTAACAACTTTGATGTCACTTTTTTTAACTAAAGTTATATATATTTTTTTAAAAAAATAGTAAAACTAATATATTTTTGTATATAATTTTAGATTTAATAAACTTTAATTTTGTTTGTAATAGATAAGTAAAACTATAGAATATTTTCAATAAAAAAAACAATTAGAAAATATGACTTACATATGACAATTGAATTAAGCATATAATGCCGGTATAAATATATTTATCACTAATTAATTTTAGATAATTTGTAATAAATAATGGATGACTTATTGAAGACCAATTAGTTGACGATAGTATCCGTTTGGCTCTTTTAAGCACTAATTTTAAAAAGACCATGGTCATTTTGTGTAATAGATAATCAAAATGTTTAATTTTATTTTTTTGAAAATAAAATTTACATTATTAAAAAATGGCAAATACAGTAATTAAATAAACATATATTATTATATTTTTAAAATATCACATTAATATTGGTTAGCATTTGGTAACTTATGAAAAACTTTTCATGATAAATTTTATTTTACATATTTATTGATAAAAAATAAATTGTTTTATAGTATTACTTTAATAATCAATTAATATTATTTCTTTAATTAATTATTAGCTGAATTAGCTATAAAAAAATTAATGATATGTTATTTATTTAATTTTAAACGATATATTTGTTTGCAATAGAAATAGTACTGTATATATAGCGGTATATAACATATATACTTTATATGCTTAATAAACAATATATATTTAATAACTAATACATTGAAAACATTAAATAACCATAAATACATGTATATATAATGTATATAAAGTACAGTAAAAAATAATATAACTGTCTATCTGTATGTATGTGTTGTACAATATGTTTCAAGGCTTCCAACACAACATATTTTTTATGATATACAGTACACGCTATGATGTTGTACTGTAATTGCTATTATATGCAACAACACATTAAAACAAGTATATTATTGTGTTATTAGTAGAAACTGAACTATTGTATGGGAAAAACAATAATTTTTAAAAAATCATTGTAATATATAAATATTAATATCCCTAAACACATATCAGTTTATTTAGATTTTTTATATTTACACTATTTTTTGTATATTTTTATTATTTCTTTTTTTATAATGCATTATATGGTTGACTAACACTATCTAGTGTTGATTTCCTATTTAAACAGCAATATTGTATTTAATTATAGATTAGATACGGTATAAATATTTGATAATATAAGCGCAACATTTAAAAATTATATAAATAAATAATAATTTTATAAATACTGTACTTACTTATTATAAATATTTAAATGATGAAAAAAATAACAAAAGTTCAAAAACTAAATATAAAAACCAGAATTTTTTATAAAATAATGCTTTTATAATTTTTTTTAAATGTTTATTTTAATTATATTAAGTTAATAATGCAATAAAATATTGTATTAGTTTATGATGGAAATTATTAATTATAATATTAAATAAACTTTAAAAACATGCATATTATAAAATAAACAGCTAATCATTGTTATTGTTAATTGTGAAAAGTCATTAAAAATTTAGTATTAAATATGAGTTAACTGTATTGTAGCGGTACCTGAAAATACCGGTACATACAGTATATTAAGAAACCGAGGAGTTATATATTTTCATATTATGTTTATTGTATTAAAATATAATAAATATTATATTAAAACTACATTAAAGATAACATGAATTTAATTAATTAATAATTTTAGTGTAAGTTAGTTATTGTAATTTTTTGATTTGCGATATTTAATTATGATTAAAATAGTTAGCAAACACATTGCACTAATTATTAAGTATATAACTTGTGTGACAACAAAAATCATAGGAAACGACTCCAACAGTGGACCTAATATTAGTGGCGGCACAAAATTAAAGGCACCCGATATAAACCATATAATAGTGCCCACCCTATTGTTGATGGTTAGTTTTGTACCCACTGATGCCAATATACCCGGATAGAGCAGAGAAAACCCATAGCCTACGATAACAGCCAATACCCATACACCCGGCACCGAGTATTGTACAAATATCAGTGCAATTATGGCAACACTGGTAATAACATAGTGATAAGCAATCATAATGTTTCGGTTAATTAGTAAAGCTATTCCCAGATTTATCACTTGACACGCAGTGTAGACACTGGACAGCGTCGAGATAACATTGGCAGCTATGGTTGCCGACATATGCACCGGTATCTTCTGGAAAAATGTCGACCCAAAATTAAAGTATACCAATTCCAGTGAGTTTATAGAGGCCAGGGATACGGCAGCCAAAACAACAACCGTATATTTGGTAATAGGATCTGATTTATCAAAAAGTTTTTTAGACTTATAGTCAACACTCTGAGCACTGGTATCGTCTTCTAGTATGTTTTGTTTGTGATATCGGTGCAAGAAAAACATGATTGTCATTATTATGGGAACTATATGCAAATAGTTATAATAAAAGTAAACAATATTTATAAGTCATGTGAAAAAAAGTTGAATCCATTACTTACATATCACTTGAATGCCGCCTATTATTACAAACGGTACAAAAAGTTTAGCCTTACGTTCAGCTACCGTAATGTCCTGATTATCGCCCGTAAGATACGGGGCATCAATAAATGGTCCAATAGTAGCACCGATACCATAGATAAGCTGCGATATAAACAGTACACGTTCCGATTTATCTTGCCACATTTCCATAAGCCAGACATTATAGGTGGTCATCCATGCGCCCGATCCAATACCATAGCCCAGTGCACACAAATAGTATTGCCAAATAGTTGTAGTAAATGGTACCGATGTACTAGATAGTGTCATCAAGTATAGCAGCAATGTAATTATCAGTTGACGATTGAAAAATTTGTAGATCAAACCAACTAGATAAAATATTTAGTTGTTTTATTGTATTAAAACTTATGATTTAATGTAAATTGTACACAATGTCCCAGTTATATGACCAACTGCTAGTACAGTGGGAAATATTGAGACCAATTGCAACGAGACGTCCAACGTGTAGGTCAGGTCAACAAATGCCGGTCCAAATGATGAGAAGCTTATTGACTGCAAAAGTATAGATATAGTGTGTTTTAATATACAAATTTAAAAAAAATCAAATAAAATAATTAATGTTTAAAAATTACATAAATTAGATGAATAAACATAAGTATAAAACTATACATATATTTGTCTTTATTAATGTTCTTCATTATTATTAACTTTTATTTTTAAAAGTTAAAATTATAAATTATAAAAATTTTTATATTATATTTGCATTAATATTTATATAAGTTTACAAAATAGTAATTTTTTTAGTAAACTAATTATTAGTTGATGACTTAGCATAGATTTTTAAAAAGTAAATTTTACTAAAAATTAAAATATGGATCACAATCAAGACATTTATAAAAATTAATCAAATAAACTTGTATAACTTTAAAAATAAATAAATAAATGTACTCAAATTTAATTTAATTATTTTTTAATTGTAACAATTTTTATTACAATAATATAAATATATGATAAAAGTAATAATAAAAAATCATTTGACTTAATTTATATGACATTTAATAATAATAAATAAAAGTGCAAAAAACAGATTTTTATTGATAAATAAATAACCCAGGATAAAGTTTATAATTTTGATAAATAAAAAACGTGATAATTAACATGCTAAATTATTAATTTATATAATATTATTGACTATATTGATAGATTAATTTTATTTGTGCAAATTATTAAGTCATATTATATTGTAATAATTATTAAAAATATATTTTAGCTATACTATACACTTTATTTTAAATATCAATATATTTCAATATTATATAATTTAATTAAGTTTTTAATATTTAATATTTATAATATACAGTACAAATTAATAAAAGTTAAAATAGCACAGTACATAAATCTTATAAAACATTTTATAACAATTTAATTTAATAATAAATATAATAATAACATTTATAAATGTTAGTAAACTGATAATTCTAATTAGGAAATAACTTGTTATAATAGTAAAATTTATAAATAATATTATATTTTAGATAAATATAAAGTATTTCAAATAATAAAATAATAAGTGCAAAAATATTGCCAAATAAGCATAACTTAAATATTACTTTCAATTGTTTAAACTGTAAATCATTATATTTTCCACAATCTTTTTGATGTTTATTAATAACAACTTTTGGTACATAATGTGTATTAAGCCAATAGTCAAAAATATTTGATTCACGAATAGATGCTAATCTATGTATTAATAGTTTCGAAAGTATAATATATATAAAAATTTAATTAAAAAAATATTAATAATAATTTTATCATAACTTACATTTGATTTAATTGATTTTTATACCAGCAATTTTTTTGTAGTCCTATCGATAATTGATCTTGGGCAAATGTAATATCCGGATTATCGGGTGGTATATAATATCTATCAATATGTCTATTATAAAGCAAATAAAGTAAGGCCACTCTACCCGATATATATGAGTAAACACGTTGTGTTTGTTGCATATAATGATGACCCGTACCATCAGCTATAGTATCATATTTATAGAGTTGTTTATCATTTTTAACTGATGTTATCTCCTATAATTTAAAAATAATAAAAATATTAATTAAGTAATAATAGTTTGAATAAAGAGATTAAAAATAAAAAATATTATTATTACTAATAATTGTGAGTAATATGTGTTCTCTTCGGCAATCAGTGTAATCCTATTATTCATTTGTGCTTTAATTAGCTCATCGATGGTATTAATGGCAAATTCATTGGGAACTGTTATCATCGAGTATATAGCACTGCCATATATATCACTTATTATGAAACACATTGGTATCCATATAAATAATATTGATTTTAGATTAGTTATTGTTAAAACTAATTTTGACATTTTTTGTCTAAATATAATCATTATTATTGCCCATATTAATGAGATATTGTTATTTTTGTTTTTGAATTTAAAGTTTGATAATTGATTACATAGTACGAATAGTATCATTATAAAACATGTTGATATTATAAAGCTAATCCATGTTAATGTGTCAAATGTTTGCATCAGATTAGTGAAAGATATTTTCTGAGGTACAGGTGCTGTGAATGTGACTGAATCGATGAAATAGGGATATGAAAAATGGACCGCATCTTCACGATCCACTGTTTTGGACAAACTTACGGCCATATCTGCCTCCTATTGCATATTAAATAACATTATTTTTGCTAAAAAATAATTATTAAAGTAAAAGTTATATTTTAATCATAATATTTACTTTGTTATACAATTTTCCAATGATTCCCTGCCAACTGTTATTGATAGGTTTAGATCCCCAAACTTGGTTGCAATACATAAGCTTTATAGTAAAATTCCAGGCCTTGGCTATAGTTTCCAAAATTTTGATATCTATTCCACCGACCAATTCATAGTCATTAGTTATTGTGTTGTGTTTTAAAAATATAAATGGTTCATGCTACAGTATTATTAATAAATAAAATTGATTATTTAATTTTAAACAATAGTAACTCATATAATAATTTATTTATTGTAAAATATAATATATTATTTACATGATTTGTGGCCAAAATTATAGATTCTCCTTTAAAGTCAAGCATTTTTAATTAAATGAATAGTATTTTTTATTTTGCATATTATAAATAATGTAATACAATGTCTCAAAAATAACAATATTTTTTAATTAAACAGATATATAATTATATTTAATAATATAATAAACTATATTTAATATTAACAATATAAAAAATTGAATAAATTAAAAAATATTATTTACATTGAAATATTATTTAGATTTAATTAAAAATTTAATAATAAATAGTATATATAAATTTAACAAAAAAAACAATTTAATATCTAAAATAAAATTTATCTAAATAAATAAATTTATTCTCAATTTAGAACAAATTAAATATTAATAACATTTATCATTAAATAAATATACTGTACTTACATTGTATTCTACAGTATATTGTTGTTTAAAATAATTATTGAATATATGATATGTAAATTAGTACATGTACTGTATGTGCTTTAGTACTTTCAATAGTATCACTTATTAAAAAAATAAATAAAAATATTTTACTTTTTAATTAATTATATTAATTATAAAAAATATTTAATTTTATAATGAGTTTAATAAAATGATATTTTAGTAACACTACTGTCAAATAAATACAAATTTAACTAATAGCTTAATTTTTTATATAGTTTATCATTGAATTTTTGTCAACCTATTTGATGATTATGAATAACAATTTGTAACATCAAATAATTGTTTTATTTTACATTTATAAAAAGATTTAAATGAGATTTTAAATGTTTGATCTATTTATGAATGAATTTTTTTATATATGTCAAATACTCTAATTACAAAAATACAAATATGAGTTATTTATTCAATCAATAACTATAAAAGTGTATATTATTATTATTATTTGCATAATATAGACAATTTCAAATATTTAATTCATATAATTACACTATAATGACTAGTGCATCAAAAAATATTTATTTAAAAATAGAAAATATTCAATAAAATATTTTCTAAGTATAATAATAAATAGACTAAATATTTTATTGAATCTTTTATAAATACATAAGATTTAAGCAAAAACTATGCAATATATAGTATTGTATAATAAGTTTTTACAGTAGTAACTAATAATATTTTATTATATTTACTAAAAACACAAATTATTTAATTAAATATTTTTTAATGTAATTATTGTCAAAATATGTATTATATTTAATTAATTATTTTTTTATTCACTTAATAATGACATAATACAGTATTTTCTACGAAATTATTATAAACTGTTAATTAAAGATATTATCAACAAATATGCAATTTATTGATCTATTAAAGCATTTATATTTAATATATCAATAGATGCTATTTTTATTTGTATTATTATAAGTTTAGTATAAAAAGTATACAGATATATTATATATATATATAGAGTATATAATAATAATAATTTATTTAGAAATAATATTAACTCATATGTTAATCAAATAATTATGTACTTCTAATTATTTTTTACTATAAAGAATAACAATAAACTTAATAATAGCTAATTGTTTTATTATACAATATATTTTTAAAGATATTATTATTAATTTATAAAATGTACATAATTTATATGTTGCTAAAATTACTTAATATACTTAAAAAATAAATATATGGTTAGCATTGATGACATTTTTAACAATAATACATACATATAACAAAAAATAGATATAACTATATTGTATAAACTTGTGTAACTTTTACCATACATAAAAATTATAATTAAATTTTATACAATCAATAGTCACTAAAATAGTAAAATAATATTTTTATTTAACAAAAAAGTTTATTATTATAGTAAGATTTATAAATAAAAATAATATACTTTAGATAAATATATAATATTTCAAATAATAAAATAATAAATGCAAAAATATTGCCAAATAAACACATTTTGAATGTTGAGCTTAATTGCTGATACTTTAAATCAGTATATATTTCACAATCATATTGATATTTATTATTAATAACAACTTTTGGTACATAATGTGTATTAAGCCAATAGTCAAAAATATTTGATTCACGAATAGATGCTAATCTATAAAAACATGTATTAATAGTTTCAAAAATATTAATAAGTAATTTTATCATAACTTACATTTGATTTAATTGATTTTTATACCAGCAATCTTTTTGTACTACAATTGATATTTGATCTTGGGCAAATGTAATATCCGGATTATCAGGTGGTATATAATATCTATTAATATGTCTACTATGGAGTAAATAGAGTAACTCTACTCTACCCGATATATATGAGTAAACACGTTGTGTTTGTTGCATATAGTGATGACCGATATCATCAGTTATGGTGTTATAGTTATAAATTTGTTTACCATTTCTAACTGAATTTATCTCCTATAAAATCATGTATAGATATAGAAATATTTTTATTTAAAATTTTATTTTATTACTATAATTAATTTTTTATAATAAATTTAAACAAATAAAAATTATTATTATTATTACTAATAAATGTGAGTAATATGTTTTAGCTTGGGCAATTAATGTGATCTTGTTATCATTTTGTGCCTCAATTAGTTCATCGATAGTATTAATGGCAAATTCATTGGGAACTGTTAGCATCGAGTATATAGCACTACTATATATATCACTTATTATAAAACAAATGGGTATCCATATAAATAATATAGCTTTTATATTAGTTATTTTTAAAACTATAATAGACAATTTTTGTTTCAATATTATCATTATTACTGCCCATATTAATGAGATATTGATATCATTTTTATGCTTATGTTTAAATTTATTGTTAGATAATAGATTATACAATATAAATATTATCATCATAAGACAAGTTGATACTATAAATGATATCCAAATAAATGTGTCAAATGGTTGCAACAGATTATTAATTGGTATCTTCTGAGGTACCGGTGCTGTGAATGTGACTGAATCGATGAAATATGGATATGAAAAATGAACCGCATCTTCACGTTCAACTGTTTTAGACAAACTTATGGCTATATCTGCCTTCTAATGCATTATAAATATAAATTATTTAATTTTAGTTCTTTTATAAATATAAATAAATTTTACTATATTTAATAAAAATATTTTAAACTTAATATCTACTTTGTAATACAATTTTCCAATGACTCCCTGCCAGCTATTATTGATAGGTTTAGATCCCCAAACTTGGTTGCAATACATAAGCTTTATAGTAAAATTCCAGGCCTTGGCTATAGTTTCTAAAATTTTGATATCAATTCCACCGACCAATTCATAGTCATTAGTTATTGTGTTGTGTTTTAAAAATATAAATGGTTCATGCTATTATTAATAAATAAAGTTAATTAATTTATTTTAAACAATAGTAAGTTATATAATATTTATAATTAATTTAGTGTAAATTATGATTAACGATATGATATTATATTTACATTATTTGCGGCCAAAATTATAGACTTTCCTTTAAAGTCAAGCATTTTTTCAATTAAATAAGAAATATTTTATTATACAATTTATACAATTATTATAAAACAATTTTTCACGATTTACAACAATTTTAAGTTAGTCACACCTATTTATTGAATGTAATATTTTTTTAATTAATAGTACAAAAATAATATTACATTGATTTTTTTGTAATTATTATAATAGTAATACAAACACTATATTACTTATTTTTTTTATAAAAAAATTTTACAAGAAAATATATATTTATTTAAATAAAAAATTACATATACAATTTACAATAAAACAAATTATATATTTATAGTATTTTTATTGTATTACTAGAAAATATTGTATGTTCACATCATTTACAAATAATGAATAAAATTTTATTTATTAATTATATAAATTAAGATTTTTTTTAGTCATATTTATAAAAATGACATATTATTTATGAGATACTTATAAATTAAGTAATACTGCAATCTTATATTTAACAGTATAATTATATTGTGTAAAAATTATTTTGTATATAATAAAAAAAATACTAATAAAATGATAAATATATATAAAGTATATAAAAACTACTTTTTCTTTTGTATTATATAATACATATTTTGATAATATATTATTTAATTTCAAAATATACAAGTATTTATAAGTTTTAATTTTTCAACATAATTATTAGTAAATAATTTTTTAAAAATTTGATAAAAAATAAGTTAATAAAAATCAATAGTATATCTATGATATTATAAAACCAATTACAATGCCACCTAGATACAAATTAAATAATGCTTTTAATTGATTAATATGCAATACATTATACTTTTTCTGGTGATCACTAAATACAATATTTGGTGTAATTTTATTGAGTTTGCATCCAATAGTGCATAATATTTGATTCACGTATAGCGGATAAACAATAAAAATAAATAATTAACAATAAGTTAAATTTATATTATATTTTACAAATATAGTATCATGGTAGATTTTAAACTATATAAGCAACTAATACAGTATTGTTAAAAAATCAATCATTATTTAAAAACTATTGAATCAAAATTATGTGTCAAAATTATTTTTGTATTTTAAATACATAATGATAAAATATAATTTTCCATTTTGCATTAATAAAATTATTAAAAAATATTTATTTTATTTGTCATATAAACTTTAATACTGTAAGTTAATAGATTGACATTAATTAAATTAAAAATATATTATTAATAGAAAAAAATAATTTTTATATTATTTCTGAATGAAATAAATATTTACTTATTATTTGTTTGAAAATATAAAATATTATAAAAAAATAGTCATTAACAAAATGAAACATTGTAAATGTATAATATAAATTATTTATTATAGTATTGATATACCGGTAAATATATAATTGTATATATTTGCATTATAAAATATTAAAAGAATTTTTTTTTAATTATAATAAAATATAATTTATTGATAAATAAATATATAAAAATAATAATATTAATCTCTGTTAAATGCTTGATTATTATTGCCACCTCTATATGACTGTGGTATGTATTCATTTAAGTGTTGATTGTTGTTGTTGTTATTTTCACCATGGTGCTTTTTAGCTTTTTTTGATCTAAATTATAAATTATAAAAAGAAATAATTATAAAGTTAAACTTAAATAAAAATTGAATATTTTTTTCAATTATTTAATTATTACAAACCGACAAAAGAAAAAAGCGGCGACTCCTATAAGCACAGCACTTAGTACGGCCAACACAACAATGCCTGCAATCCAACCTCCCAGTGCCGGCTCAAACTCATTATTGCATTTGTCACCGTTCCAGCCGTTATCGCATAGACACGAAAAACCATTCCTACCCTTGTGTTTACATTTGCCGTGATTTCCGCACTCATTATGTTTGCAAACGTCTATTAAATATGTCAAATCAATTTGTTGTTAATTATGTTAAATAAATATAAACTAATTAAACACAAAACAATTTATGATTATATAAAAATCTTTAATATAAATATACTGTAGTATCATTTAAAACTGTTTAAAAATTAAACATAAAACTGTTTTAGAGTTATTGTATTAAAAATTTTATATCATTTCCGTTTTGTTAATAAAATATTATTTATAAATCATTATTTTTATAGTCTATTTTTTCTATAAATTTAATTAAAAAAATATTAATTACATACCAACACATTGTGTTTGATCATGATTGAACTTATAATTTGTCGAACAATTACACACAATGGGCGCCTCCCAGTGGCCATCCACTTGATTGGGTAGTTTCTGAAAACATTCTCTATGTTCAGTGGGACAACCCTTGTCACATAAATCAGCTCTTACTTTACAAAATAAGACAATCAAACAATTTTTATAAATAAATTATCATATTTAAAAAATAAATATAAAACTGTACCTGAACATTTTTCCTGTACCCCACTCTTAAGATAATTAGGAACTGTATTATGTTCTATGACTTTGCTTTCATTGATGACAAAATATTTGACATTACACTTGCAATTATACAATGAGCTATCGATTTCGTCAATCGGATGACAATCAGAGTAATTATCGCAAAGATTTTTGGTTTCATCATTACATGGCTTATAACAACAAAAAAAACAATATTATTATTATATAAAAGTAATATAAATACTAATAATTGGTTATTATGAGTATTATTTTATTATTATTATTATTATTATTTGCATATACCTTATATTTATTGGCACCGATTTGTTTAAATTGATCTGGATTAAATGCTAGTGAAAACATTTGCTCAGGTTTATGTATATTAGAGGAAACAATTTGCTTATTAATCATGTCTTCAATAATATTAATATAATAGCATTCATTGGTATCAGAGTTGGCGGACGGGTAGCAAAATTTTGAAGCCTTATCTCCAAGTTTGCCGTACATTGAAAGAGGTTTGTCAAGTGTTACAGTTATCTCACACCGGTATTCCTTCTCACCTGTAATTGGTTGACACAATTTAATGCCAACAAAATCATTAAGTTCTCGTTCATTAGTATTTTGAATATAATCGGCATTTAGTAGGATATCCACCACTTGTCTCAATAAATATCGATTAAATTTAAACTTCCAGAGCTTTGTGTATTGAGTATCGTATATCTGATCGTTGAGTTTAACAGCGGATAAAATATCCGCATTCAAGCCTTTGGTATCATAATTATATTTGTCATCAAACTGTCCACTGGTCAGTGTATTCTTGTTAATCTCCAGTTCCTTTTGCACGTCCAACGGCTTAAATGTTAGTTCAAATGTAGCCGTATATACACTGACAACACATCGATCGACATTAGTATTCCATACATATCCCGGATTGCATTCACAATATTGTTTAGTATCAACAACATTGGCATTAACTTTATTTGGATTACATACGGCACCTATAGATTTACATTTGAAATTATAGGTATCCATAGTATTGCTAATAGTTTTATTGCAATTATAGACACATTTTTCCTTATTATTAATCCAATCACTTCCTTCAGGACATTCACATTCATATTCATTATCCTTTCTATAGACACAAACGGCTTCTTTGTTGTCACAATCCTTTCGACCCATTCCTCCAGTTCCGCAAATTGGCTTTAGTCGACATAGTTTTGTGTTTTCATCGATCTCATAGATACCACTGCAATCGCATTCAAATGAATTAGGTTTAACTTTGCCATCCGGGCACAGTAGTTTAAAATGATTCACTATTAAATAATATTTAAAATTAATTGAATTCTTATAATTAAATATTAAGTTTTTTGTATTTATAATATAAATTTATTCATACCATCAGGCACACATTTATCTATATCAAATCTATAACCATCTCTACACTGACAATTTCCGGCATTGTCACAAAAAGCATCGGTAGCTTTTGTACATTTTTCATTACATGTTTTACCATCTTTTAGTTTACATGTAACTCTGTCACTACTGTCCAATTCATATAAGTCATTGTTCACACACTCGCACTTATAGCCTAATGTATCGCTAATTGGCTCATTTAGATCTATGCACCGTTGGCTACATTTGTTTAATGTTGGATACATGCATACAATTGACTTGCACGTTGCCTCCCGTTCCGGAGTACCAGTCACTTTTTCTATATACAATTATAAATTAGAAAATTATCTAGCTAAAATGATTTGAACCTATATCAAGCATACCTTTCTTATAGTTTTGTGGACAGTTACATAAATATTCATCCTTTTTATATCCATAAGCAACACATACGGCATTTTTGTCAGCACAGGGATCTTTTTCATAATTCAATTTCAATCGGTGTTCAGTATTGCATAGATTTATTGGTTCAATCTTATCTTTTCCATCTTTAATTATATTAATATAACCTTCAAGTGGTTTACATTTTGGTCCATCAATTTCATTGTCCACACAAAAGGATTTCTTATAATCGCATAAATCCGATGAACATTTGGGACTATCTCTACAACTAATATATATATAATTAATAATTAATACTAAAATAATTATTTATTTAGAGATTATTATTTGTTTCAAAATTAATTACTCAAAACTATATAAATCCCAAAATGCTTTTTCAGTACAATTGCACATAAATGGTCTTTCATCCGATTTTTTGAGTTTACCCAAATTAATACATGAATTATCTTTGTGACATTTTTTACAATGTTTATTACAATAATCTGTGCCACTCATTTCATCTGTTTGACCAATTATTTTAACCTATTATATATATAAAAAATAAATTATTAAAATTAACAAACATTAACAAATATTGTAGACCAACATATAATGTATACAATATGTACTCTATGTTTACCCCTATATTACAATTATTATCGTATTGGCAGTTATCGCCGTCGTAGTCATTATAGCAATTACATTGTGAATGTGTGGATGATTTTGGCTGACAAATACCTCTTTTATCGCAATTATATCTTATTAATGAATTATTAACACACGAATCACCCAGGTCGATTGATGACAATATAATTTCATTGTTACTATTAATATCAGTATAGTTATCAAATACAAATCCGACTCTAAAATAATTGTCATCGACATCGATGTCTACTGATTGTGGTTCCTATTGTTTTTAAAAATAAATTATTATTGTTTTAAATATTGATTTTTTTTATAAAATTAACATTAAAAAAACTAACAGCATGTGGTTCAATTTTTTTGATATGACCCGCTACCATGTTAGCATTGAATCTATAAATGTCAACTTGGTAGTTTTTATTTTTATCATTTTTTAGATATTTAAATCTCAATTTAATTGTCTGAGCCGTGTCATCGCTGAATCGTTTAATCCAATTGCTTAATAAATAAACTTTTTGATGAGAATCTTGTTTGTTAACTATATATATATTGAAAAAAAATATTTATTATTATTCAATATAATTATATTTAGCAAGTTTTTTAAACAAGTAAATTTACATACTATCAAATTTAAATTGATTGTCACCAGAGATAATAAATTTTTCCGGTATATTCAATGACCAATATTTATTAAAATCTGAAGTATTGTTCCAATGGGACAAATAGTGAATTTTTTCACTTAAACGTTGCGGATCTGGATCTGTCTCTTCGGCTTTCTGTATGACCACTAATCCATTATCGGGTAAATAAGCCTTAAAATTAATGGCAAAATTTTCTGCTAAACTATGGCTTAACTGATTAGCACATATACGTTGACCCAATCCTGTTTGTGGAAACCATTGAGCATTGTTATCAATGACTGTATCAATTAGGTCTAGAGTTTTCATAGATTCGTAAGCTATGCCTAGTTTTGAGTTTTTATTTAACATATATTTAAATCTAAAACATTTATCGTCAGTATCTTTTAATCCGGTAATTTTGAATTTAAGTATATCATTGGTTTTATCAGTAAAATAATATGGATTTTGTTCATCGTATGCGTGATTTAGTTGTGGTAATTCCGGGTGAGATAATCTAATATTTTTATTATCCATTGTTAATACATCACAGTTTTTTGTTTGACATGACTGCCGGTGCGTTTCATAGGCCAGTCGAGAACATCTAGTTTTAGACAAAGTTATAGTTTTTTAAAAACAATTAAATCATTTTTGTTGTTCATGTAATAACATGTGTTTAATTTGGCAACAATTAAATACTGATTAAAAAAACCTTTTATTGGTTGCAAACCATACAAATTCATTGGTCAAACATTCACATTGAAAACCATTGGAATCACTAATTGGTATACATTTAGAATCAGTTCCGAGTTTTGCAGCAAATCGTTTGCAATAATCATAACGTTTTATTCCCTATTTTGTGATCAAACATAAATTAAAACAATAGATTAAATAATGTGATGAATAATAATAATTAATTAATTAATTGACATTGATAACATTACTAGTTCATCTTTGTTACAAGTATCAATTTGACAATCAATGCCACCAAAACCAATGATACATTTACATTGATAACTGCCGGGACCAGTGTTGTCACATATGCCACCGTTGCAATCACGCAAAGTATCAGTATTTTGATTTATACAGCCGTCACCTAAACTAAGTTTCTCGATATTCAATTCAACTTTTAGATCTTCTTCGTTATCTTTATTATTTACAGCTGTAATCAATTTGTAAGTGACTTCAAAGTAAAGTCTAAAACTTTCGTATTGTATGTTATCATTGGGTATATTAATATCAACAATAGTTTGATCTTTAAGTTCAATATTTTTTGTCACATCAATAACTGTTAAATCATTGGTTTGGTAAACATAATGTTGATTAATCTTAAGATCCACTTTGTCTTTATTATGTTTAATTATATTAAGATTGTATGAGTTTTTTGTTTTTGAAAAATCTCCATTTTTAATCCATGGACTCGACAACATAACTGTGCTCCATGTTTTCGTTGCTGTGCCTGGTTAGATTTACATAATTATAATATATACATTTACATATTTCAGTTTAGTTTGATTAATATAGTAGAATAGTTTATTTTTAAAATAGTAACATAATCATTAAAAAAATACCTGTATATTTATAACTTAACGGTTCTTTTTTATCATGTTGTTCAACAAAACTATTGGTAAACCAATTTTGTTGAAACACTGGATTATCATTTGGTGGATTACTCCATAAACTCCAATGTTTTAAAAATGTTAGACTATTATCTATTTTCTTAGTTATCTTAATACTAAAGTTTTTTAAATAAAAATTATCATTCTCAATTTCTCCATCCAACCATGTTGAATTCAATTCAATTTTAAATGTTTTCGTTAATTTTTCCACAAAATTATTTAACTCAATTTTAATTGGATTTTCAGATTTACTGTCACTTTTTATGCCAATCGGTTCATTTTGTAATATATAAACCGGTTTGCCTGTACCATCATGGGAACGGTATGCTATTGTCATTTTCATATCATTTACCGGTAGTTTGTTTATGTAATTTATGGTAAGTTGTATGTCATAATTGTTGATATTTTCGATATCAAAATCAAGTATCAATAGATTATCAGTTTTAGATGTCGGAAACATTTTAGATGTGTTCTCAATATTCCAATTTTTTGAATTATTATTAAATTTATGATCTGTACATTTTCTTTTAATATGTAAAAAATGTTAAATATAATAATATAAAAAAATAATTATAATTATTAAAATGTTTTTATTATTATAATTACTTTTGTTGATTTGATTTAGCGCAGACACACTTGTAATCATTTTTGCCATCAGAAACACAAACTCCGCCACTGTTTTCACACTCATCTTTAACTGTTTGATCTTTTGTGCCCTGAAATAATAAATATATAAAAATTATATATATTTTTATTAACAATATATAGACAATGTATTTCTATTTTAAATTTAAAAAATAAATAAATTTGAATACAATAATTTCATAGCATTTATCAAATGTATCGCATTTATCTCCCATCCAATTTTCTTTACAATAGCACATAGTGTTATCATTTGGCAATAATAATATTTGTTGTTTAATTTTGTCAGTTCCTATATCATTGCATTCTTTAATAGGTTGTCCTAAATGTATGTTTTCAATTGTAAACATAACATCATCCACTTGTGTATCTTCTATAATATATTGTGGTTTATAGTACTCTATATAATACATTAATCTGATAAACAAATTGGATTCATCTGCGGTTCTATTGCGCAATTGATAGGTATATTTTTGTTTTGTTTGCTGACTTGTAGTATCATATTTGACAATAACGTCCTCGCAATGGGACAACCAGTCGCACACTTTGGGTCTGATTGTAAAATAGTTAAATGTTTTCTCATCTGTAACTGTTACCCAATATTCAAGTGGTTTAATATTAAGTTCTTTATGATATTTAAACCAATCACTGCTTAAATAGGCGTTTTGATGTAATTTGTTCATCACTTTACCTGTAGTTAAATTAAATATAAATTACAATTATTTTACAATAAATATTTATATTTTTTCATTATAATACATTTAACAAACAATGTACTTAATATTTTACAATTAATAAATAACTAACTAACCTGTGAATTCATATTTATTGTCAATATAAGTAATATTAAGTAACTCTGATTTATCATGTACAATTTGTTTCCATTCATTAACATTAGTTAAATAATTGATTGATTCAATTACTTTAGGCTCATTATTAGGTTTTACATTAATATTACGTAAAAATATAATCTCATTAACAGACATATGATTGACACTAATTGTAAAGTTAAACATATTTGCCTTAACAGCTATTAAATCACGCAAACAAATACTACTTGAGTGCCAATTGTTATAAATTGGTTTGATCATGGTAAATTCATCTTTATTTTTAACGTCCCATACGTTATAATTTACATATATTTCGACATCAATTTTTTCGGTCAATAGATAACCGAATTCAAGACAATAATCTTTTTCATTTAAATCGTCTTTATTTTGATTGATAACAATTGAGTTATCCGTATTGTATGGCATATAATAATATTTAGATTCACTATCAATCGGTACTTTAGTTATATCAATCCAGAAACTATTTTCACTAATTTTACATTTATTATTATTTATCATACAATCAATTTCTGTTTCCGACACTCCTGTAATGTACTCAATATTGGTTACTGTAAATGTTTTTTAAATAGAAATTACATAATTTTAATCATTAATATAAAGTTTAGTAAAATAAATATATATAACAATTTACATACATTTAATATTCATAATTTGTGCAAAAGACTTGCCGTCTATTAGTGACGGTTTAACCTTAATTTCAAATGATTTTTCATTCAAATCAATTTGGCCATCAATATGTATCCATTGAGATGTTTGAACATTGATTTTATCAGTCCATCCATTTATTTCAATTGATCCCTTTTCCTCAAAGTAATACTGTTAGCGATAGAATTAATTATTAATTATTTAATACATTTATCTTATCATATATAACATACACTCATTGAAATTTTAGCCGTTTTAATTGATTTATCATTCAATAGTCTTACTGTACAGTAATTGTTACATTTGGGTGTGAAATAAATAATATGACCAGGGTCAACACGTGGCTTAATTTTTGCCCAATTATTATAAACTATATCTATTTCATCCTCTAAATTGTTAACATTGTTTTTAGTTATATTGGATTTTGTTGTTGTTATTGTTGTTGTGTTTGTCATTAAATTTCTATTAGTTTTAATATTGTATACAGAAGTTTGTTTTTCTTTTATCTCATATGTAACTATTAATTTAGAATATAAAAAAATAATCATTAATTGTATGATTGAACAATTATAAAACAAAAATTAATAAAATTTTTAATAAATTTTCTATACTTTCAAAATCTTTAAAAGCTATAAAACGTTTCATTTGAACTTTGAAATTGGTTTCTATTTTAAATTTATTAAGATCCTTTTGTGAAACTATATAATACAATGAATGCCATTCCAATTTGTCTAGGTCAGTTTGACAATAGCGATATTTAATTTTATCAAACAACAGTTTTTGATCGGGTCCATAGATTACATCAATTGAATCTATATTACCACTCTCGTACCAACACCAAAACTTTTCAAATAATAAAAAAAATTATATTTATAAAATTTTCATAAATTTACTATAATAAAAATTATTTAAAAAAACATTGATTATATAGTATATATATAAAGTTATATATAAATTATATTAATGTAATATATTTATAAAAATTATAGTAATTTTTCGGTAAATATAATATTGTAGACATTTTGTAACATACTTTAAATGATACTCGAATTAATTGTTCCGGGTCTTTTTGTTTATTATTATCTATGAATGCTTCTGTGATAGTGATATCATATTGATGTTTGGCATTATTGTTATCATAAAAATATTGTCGTTTCAATCCATTAATCTCATCGATATAGTCCTGTTGAGCCCATCCTTTACCGATGACCTGCCAGTCGCCGGGATCTATCTCCAGTTCCCCTATATATCAGATATGATAAGTTATTTCAATTTTATTACAACAAAATTTTTGAAGTCTACTTATTAAGTCAATAATTGTATGACTCATTATAATTCAAATCCATTTAATCTATTGTATAAACTGTATTATATTGTTAGATATAGTTATTTATTTATTATATAAAATCTTTAATTACGATATAATAATTATTTTCGTTTAGATAAGAAAAGTCATAAATTGTTTTCAAATAAAAGTGTTATAAAAGTGTCAACAAATTTATATGATTATTATATTATTATTAATTGCAAGTCATTTATGAAATTAATCCTTTTATGTATAATTGATTGCAATTAGTGTTAAGTCTTAATGTAATATTAATTTAAGATATTAAATATAAAAATAATGAAATTTTTTACTATTTTTATTTTAAAAAAATTTAGTAATAAAACTATGTCTTTAAAAAATTAAATAAAAAATTGTAATATTATGATAAAACTTATTGATATTTAGGATGACAATTAAAAAACACCTAAAAATTTTTTAAAATTTTTTAAAACTTATAAAAATAATAAAAATAACAATATAAGTAATAATATTAACAATATAAATAATAATATAAATAACATATCATAATCATACAGTAATAGAATTAATATAATTTAATTATTAAATAGTTTGTAACATATAAGTTATTCAGCAAATTATATTAAAATTTATAAATAAAATTAATATGTTTTACTAAATTAATAATTTAAATATTAAAAATAATTTATTTTAGTAATATTAATAATATCAATATTTCTTTACCTTTAGCAGAGATCAATATAATTATTGCTGAAAACACTAATAGAAAATAAAACAAATATTTATAAAACATTTTGCATATAAAGTATTTATTTAACATTAGTTGATAACTAAGTCATTTCAGTGTCAAAATTAAATAATAATGATTACAATGACTGTTTGTTACAGTTTCTTAAATATATATATAGAGTAACCTAAATATTTCATCCACAGACTAATGTTTTTAGCAATTGACCATGGTGATTATTGTCATGGATAATAACTAAAACTATAATCTATGGATCACTAAATCACCCGGTAACAAATGTATATTATAAATTTGAGTAAATAGTATAATATGATAAATTAGTGTATACTGTAGACTATATTTATATAAAATATTTTAGATATAATAGATTGTATATTTCTTTAATTTTATTGCTTATAATTACAGTTATTTTGAACAAAACTCGTTATAAATTGTTTAGTAATTTATGTTATACTTAGACTTAAATATAAGATGTCTTTACTGAGTCAAAGATAATGTATTATAATATAAATTATGTTCACACAAACACATAATATAATTGACAAAAATATTTATAATCACAACTATTATATTACCGGTAATACAGTATAATATGATAAATATTTTTATTTGTTTAAGTTAAATGAAATAATTTTATAAAAATTTAATAGATGATAAATGTTAACAATAATTTAGACTATGAGAAATTAATGTTTATTTTATATAGTCTTAATCTACATATTGCATAAATCGGCATCTTTTATAATATATATAGATATTGGTTTAGTTATAGAGCTAAAAATAATACGAAATAATATTACTATTTTTTTACATTAGAAATATCTAAATATTTTATTATATTGTAATAATATGTGTAATAAAAATATTTTATGATCTATACTCTGCATTAGAATATTTTAATTTATTTACATAAAACATTGCACTATAATCTTAAAAAATAATTTAAAAATATCATAAATAAAACAAAATAATAATTATAGTTATAGTTATTTGATTATACTCAAAAAGCAAAATGTAAAATATTATAATTAATTTTTTATTAAATATTTTGATACATAAAAATATTAATTATTTTTGTTACATAGACAATAATAAAAAAATTAAGTTTTAGTAGCGTAATTAATAAAAAATATCAATATTATTTAGTTAATAATCTTTAAATTTAAACCTATTGTCATTATTTAGAGTTATTTCTATTTGATATTTATTTTAAAATCTCATTTATGATATCAGTTATATCAACAAAAAAAAAACATATAACTGTGTAATGTATTTTGCTTTTAAATAATGTATTTTGTTATTTAAATAATTATATTTTTTCATAAAATAAAAACAATAATTTGTTGAGTGTGACATGCAATAACATTATAAAAGAAATGTACCTGTACAATAATAAATATTATTTTTAATTATAAAATTTATAATTTATTTATAAATGTTTGTTTAACATTAAATTTAATAAAAACAATATATTTTTGATCACATCAATTTATATATCAACAAATGTAACAATAATTAATTACATTGTATAGAATCTAGAAGTAAGTGTACGGTTATGTATTTTTTAGGAAAACAATTTTAAAAATTATTATTATAATTATTTATAAATTATATATTTTTTTCTAATTTCATTTAGTATTATTAAATTAAATATTTACATTATTTTTGTTATTACAATACAATTGAAATTGTAATGTATTGTGTAAAACAATGATTCAAATGCGTTGTCATTCATTGTCATTGTCAATGTTTGATAATGAAAATAATATAAATAGATAAAAATTTGTAATAAAATAGTAACATCATATAGTTCAATAAAATAAATAAAATTTTAATAGGTAAAATGAATATTTATTTATTTTAATTAAAATCAAATACAAGATTATATCTTATATAAAATGTTATAAATATAAAATATGAAAATACTTAATAATGTAATTTTGTAATAGTAAATAGCTTTGCAATAATAAATTACATTGCAAAAAAATCTTATTAATAATAATAAAAATTTTGAAAATATTATTAAATTATTTTTTTGTTATGTATTAATTAATTAATTACATTGAAAATATGTACTTTGTATAGTGCTTTAATTAATATAAAAAATTATAATAATATAAATTAATAATAATTTCATAAAAACTAAACAAAATATTTTTTTTAATAATTAATGTTAATCTAAAGTAAAAATCTATGCGTTATTATGATAGACATCGTTTGTTAAAAGTTATTTAAATTATGAATTTTAAAAATCATAAAATCAATATAAACAATATAAACATTGATGAAACCAATAATGTTAATAATAAAAGTGTTAATAATGTTATGTCACTGCCTTTGTGGTGCAAATACATGTACACTGGTTTACACTTTTATAATCACATGTTATTTGTAAGTATTATACATTTTTTAATATATATAATTTTTAAAACTTAATATATATTTATAACTTTAAAAAATGTGTATTAATACTGTATATGTTAATCAGGGGTTTACAAGTTCAATGCAAGCTCCGGCTTATGTAGACTTTAAATACACAGCTTATGCAAGCATTTCTATGATTGGATTGATACCAACATTTCAAGGCATCGGTCAATTGATTGGAGCTTTTGGTATATAATTTAAATGTTATCAATAAATTAATTCATATAATTAAATCAATTAAAACTTTGGTTTCTATTAATAGTAACAGTAATATACAAATGGGTTAACAGACAATTGTGTATTTGTTTGTTTGTCTTATTGATGGCCTTAAGTACAATATTGTTTCCATGGGCTAACACATTGTGGCAATTATGGTTAATATCATTTTTGTACGGATTTGGGGTCGGGTGCTGGAATTCTAGCAATAATGTTGTACTCATAGAGATATGGAAACACAGAAGTCCAACCATATTATTGTTATGTCATATGCTGTGGGGTTTGGGCACTATTTTAGGTCCATTACTGATAGAACCATATATTATTGGCAATGATGTTTGTCCGGGTGTTACTCAACAAGATTGTAAAAAACATAGTTTCAATAATCAAACTATCAATGAGTTTGACTCCCAATGCAATCAATGGTGTTTAGCATATGATAGGAGACCATTACTTAAGATCCCATTCATCATTGGAGGTGTTTTGGAAATATTTGGTCCAATCATATCCTTTATAATGTTTTTTGTCAAACGCTATCATAATATAAAAGATGAATCACTAGATGAAAGTAAATCGGATGAAACAAAACACGAGGAACGGGAGCGTCGATTAAAGTACATTCCAAAGTGGACTATACTTACATGTGTTTCAATTATATTTTTATTTGGTATATTAGTCGAAAATCTATACAATTCATTTGCCGCAACATTTTTCCAATACCAACCCGTGCTTCACGTGTCGGCATCAAAAGCTTCAATAATAACATCAACAATGAACGGTGCTTTCACTTTTGGACGAGTAGTTTGTGCTATTGCAGCACTTTATGTCAGTCCACAGAATCTGATTCTCATTGAATTAATCATAACATTAGGCGGTTATATATTTCAGTTATTGGGTCAAAACCAACTGACCTTACTTTGGATCAGTTCAATTATACTTGGCTTAGGTTTTGCCTCAGTTTGGGTCTCCTGTTTCTCATTTATTGCCCGCTATATGATACTTACGGATGTAATATCCGGTTGGTATGTGGGGCCGTGTAATATAACATATATAGTATTGGGATATTTTATTAGTCACTTTATGGAGTCTAACCCATCTATTCTACTATATTTAAGCATTGCTGGTATTTCCATCTCAATTGTAGCACATTTAGTACAAATGTATGCGGTTAGAAATGTGCCCAGGGATCTAATACTAAATATTGATTTGACTAAATCATCACATTGATAAACTATTTAGTTTATACAATTTTAGATAAACATAAGCTATACATAGTTATGCAGTAAAATTATCGTTTCATTAAAGTAATCAATTAAATAGTTTGTTCATAATAATTAAGTTTTTATTATAAATTTGATTTTTGTTAATACATAAACAAAAATTAGTATTATTTAATTACTAAATGTTATTAATAAAATTAAGAATAGCGTGTTTATAACAAAAGCAATGTATTTGATCATCAATACAATTATACTGCCGTAAACTTTTGAAAACATTTATTGTTTAAAAGTTTATTAAACTTATTAATAATTATTATAAATATAATTATTATTATTATTATTACTACAACTAATTAAATTAATAATAAAGTTTAATATTTTTTTGTATTAAATAAAAACAAATGCTTGATAGTAGTGTATTATCTGCTTATGTTTGCTAATTAAATAAATTAATAATTTCTTTACATTTATAGAATATATATAAATATTTTTAAAAAATATAAAGTTATACTAAATTATTTTTAAAAATGTTTTAATTAAAAAAAATATTATCATATAATAATTATTGAATTATTCAATGCAATTATATACTGAATTTTCAAAATTCTGTATATTTTATAGAGCGTCGATTAAAGTGCATTTCAAATAGACTATTTGGATATTTGTTTAAATAATATTTTTATTTGTTGCTATACTGTATGCCGAAAATCTATTTAATTTTTTTGCAACATTTTTCCAATACTAATCCAAGTTTCAAATGTTAAATAACTAAAAGATTAGGATTTAAAGTACTCATTACATATTATGTTTGATACACTTTTAAACCTTGTTTTTATAAAGCATTCTCTGCAAGTATTTCTCTAAAACTAAAGTATAAAATCGTTTTTATTAAGATATACTTTAATATTCAATAAAAACATTAATTATAAAATAAACACTTATGATATATAGAGATTGTTTACTATAACTACAATAAATAAGCAAAAACGTTTTGAAAATGAATATTTAAAAATAAGACGTTTTAAATATAATTACAATTTATTTAAATATTAATAGTGAACTACAATAATTTATTATACAAATTATTAAACTAAAGTTAAATTATTATAATAGTTTTGTAAATTAGTTAGAAAAATTGTATAAAATTAATAATTAATAAAGTTTGTAAAAATATATTTTATTGATTTTAATTAATATTATAATAATTATATAGAAAATTAAAAGTATTTAAAAAGCCAAGCTATCAAAACTATGACTTTTTAGATTTAGAGATAATTTTCGTGTCAATCAACTCTTTATAACAAGACTTTTAGTTATCTATTAGATAACTTAGTCATATTAAGCCCAAAAGGGACTAATAAAAGGGAAAAAATAGAAATTAGTTAAAAAGTTAGTATAAAAATATATTTAAATAATACTTGCTATTAAGGTTTTGGCAACCAATTGTGAATACTGAGAAATCGGTATAATATTTGATATTAGAAAGTCGAAAGACTGTGATATATTTGAATCATTTATAACAGCTGTAACATCAGTTTTTTTGAAACTCATTAAATTTCCATCTGATGGAGAGTTTCCACAAATGGCCATTGATTTTGCGTAACAATGACAATATCAAATGTAATTGTTGCCATCAACGGATTATTGCTCAGTCGGTTTCAGAAGTCTCGCCAAACATTAATAAATTTCAATGTCTCTTCATAAGTCTATGAAGTTTTAGTTTTAAATTCTATATAATATAAAATTAATATTTAATAATAATTACTTAAATTTAATTTATCAATAAAATATTTTTTCCTCTTGTGTCCATTTATTTTAAACTAAACGCGCTTTAACTTAAAACAACTATATACGTCATATGTAACGCACGCGTTTTAATTCATACAGTACTTTATAAGTATGGTTTTATTGTTTTTGAATTAAAATTTGTTTCAAAGTTTTTTTTATACTTAAGTCAAGTATAAGTAGCGTTTTTATTAAGAAATTTTGAAAATATTTTTATAGTTTTTTTTTATGAAAACAGGGTATTAGGTGACCACATCCCCACTTTTTGTATTAATGTCTATTGCATGCGTTAACCTTAATTTGAGGAGTAATTAAATAAAAGGAAAATACTGTCTACTTTCACATGAATATCAATAAAAATAGACTAAAAGCTCTCTCACTGTCTTTGAGAGAACAGTCGCAGACTTTTGATGAGAAATCAAGTATTGAGTAGAAACGGTACGTCAGGTCTCACACCAGACTATCTGATTAGACATATGCTGTAAATTATAAGTTCAAAATAAGTTGTAATCAATAAAATATTTATTATAAAGTATTAAAATTCACTGTTACATAAAAACAACAATTTTATTTAAATGTTTATCAATTTAATTAATAATCCTATAAACTATATAATCAATGTCAATTCATTTTGTAGTAATAAACTTAATATGAATTAGTATTTTATTTATAAAAGTTATATTATAAATTTAAGATTTTCTTAATTAAATATTTTACTAAAAACCAGTTAAAATTTTATAATATTTTATTAAATACTTGCAAAGTAAATATAATTAATAATATATAAAATTTTGAATGAAAATATACAGTGAAAAATATGCCCAACAACATTTTTATTCAATATTCATTTGATTAAATTAACACATTATTTATGATATATCCTATTTTAAAAATAAATTATGCATAAAAAATTGTAATAAAAATATAGCCTTATTAGATCACATTAGCTATAAATAAAAATATGTTTTTATGTGAATAAGTATTTTTATTATAATAATTTTATTAATAGTAAATTTTTATTAAATATGTTTTTTGAATCATTATTGTGATTATTAACAATCATAATCAATGTCCTCCAAGAAGTTGATACCAATAGTAACAATACAATCAAACGACAGACCATTTGCTTAAACTTCTTTGAGGACATTCATTATGACTGTTAATAAACAAATTAATGTCTAAAAACATACAATAAGTGTTAAAATCAAATAATATAATAATTTTACATAAAGTTTGAGAAATTAATAAAATTAATATTCAAATTAATTAATTTTTTCATTAATTAAATAAGTAAATAAGTAGTTAATTATGTAATTAAGTATTTATAATATAAAAGTAATTTTAATATTATTATTATATATGAAGTTATAAATAAAAAACAAATTCATAATTATTTATCTTTTTCTAAATTTTGATAACGAAAATAATTGAACGGTTTATAATATATATATATATATAATAATTAAAATTAATTTTGTTTAAAAATTTAATGAATATTGTTTACTAATTTGAATTTTTTTAAAATTATATAATTTAAATATAATTAGAGAATACTGTATAATAAACTTAATGTGAATAATATGAATACAGAAAATACTAATTATGCCAATAATAGTGCTACTAATAAGTCAATGCCTTTGTGGTGCAAATACATATACACTGGTATACACTTTTATATAACATTTTTATTTGTAAGTATCAAATTAATTTATTTTTTATGAAAACTTTATAAATAAATATCTGAAAAAGGTTTATTAATAAATGTAAATCAGGGATTAACTTTATTCATGCAAACACCTGCTTATGTTGACTTTCAATATACAGCCAATACTCAGTTATCTATGATTGGATTAATACCAACATTTCAAGGCATCGGTCAATTAATAGGTTCATTAGGTAAATATATTTTTTATTATTGAAAAATATTGCAGAATAATAATAAAATATAAAAAACATTTTTATTAATAGTTAATATACTATTTAAATGGATTAACAGACAATTGTGTTTATGTCTATCTGTCTTATTGATGACTTTAACAACAATATTGTTTCCCTGGGCTAACACATTGTGTCAATTGTGGTTATTAGGATTTTTATACGGACTCGGCAGCGGGTGTTGGGTTGTTAGCAATAATGTAGTGCTGATTGAGTTATGGAAACACAGAAGTCCAACCATATTATTATTATGTCATACACTGTGGGGTTTGGGCTCTATTTTAGGTCCATTAGTGGTTTCATTATATATTATTGGCAATGATGTCTGTCCGGGAGTAACTCAACAAGAATGTTCAAAACATATGATTGAGTCTAACTCCCGGTGCAATTATTTGTGTTTGACTTACGATAGAAGACCACTACTGAAAATGCCGTTTCTTTTTGGAGGTTTAGTTTATCTGTTGGGTCTAATATGTCTATTCATAATGTTTTTTGTTAGACGCTATCATTATGTAGAAAATGATTTAATTACTAAAAAAAATCAGTTGGAAAATACCAAACACAAGGAAATGGATCGCCGACTGAAATACATTCCTAAATGGACTTTACTTATCTGTGTTTCGATAATACTATTATTTGGTATATCAGCCGAAAATCTATACAATTCATTTGCCGCAACATTTTTTCAATACCAACCCGTGCTTCACATATCGGCACCAAAAGCCTCAGTAATAACTTCCTCAATGAACGGCGCCTTTACTTTTGGACGAATTGTTTGTATTTTTGTGTCTCATTATATTGTTCCTCAAAATCTGATTCTCATTGAATTAATCATTACATTAACAGCTTTTATATTTCAATTGTTGGGTCAAAACCAACTGATCTTACTTTGGATCAGTTCTATAATACTTGGTTTAGGTTTTGCTTCAATTTGGGTCTCATGTTTCTCATTTGTTGCCCGCTATATAACATTTACTGATCTTATATCCGGTTGGTTTATAGGCCCGTGTAATATAACATATATAGTTTTGGGATATTTTATCAGTGACTTTATGGAGACTAACACATCTATTCTACTATATGTAAGCATTGCAGGTATCATAATATCAATTGTGGCACATTTGGTGGCAATGTTTGCAGTTAGAAATGTGCCCAGGGATCTATTACTAAATGTTGATTTGACTAAATCAGAACATTAATTAAAAAAAATTGAATTTATAAATTGTAAAACAAATAATTTATGATCTGATTATTGAGTTATAGTCTGTTATTTTTTTCAAAAACATTTTTAATTTAATTTTTAAACAATGTTTATGACCTGAACATGAACTATGTAATGAAAAATTAAGTTTTTTAACCTAATTTAATAATATGATTTTTTTAGTTAGATTAATTTTTTTTATTGTATTATAAAATAATATTTTCAGTAGCAATTTGCAAGGATATTATTTTTAAAATTTATTGACACTTACATTTATCTAATAAAAATTAATTATAATCTTTGAATTTTATTATTTTATTGCAAATAAGTTTTCTAAAAAACCTAATTATGTTTTAATTGTATAAAAAATTATTTATTCAATACACTTAATATATAAATACATAGAAACTCAACAAAAATTGTTATTTTTATTAATTTAATAACTAAAAAATAATTTTGTTAATTTTGTTATAAATTTTACAATGATTAAAAATTGTGATATTAATATTAATAAATCCAATAAAAATAATATTATTGAAAATAAATGCTACTCTGTTAACCAAAACAATGAAATGTCAAATATGTATAAATATATTTATACAGGCATTCATTTTTTCAATCATTTATTATTTGTAAGTAAAAAATAAAAATATTACAAAAATTTCAGTAGTTTTGTAAAATTCTTTATTAATATATATATATTTTTAAATAATTATAATAAAAGGGATTAACGTATTCAATGCTATCACCGACTTATGTAGACTTTCAATACTTGGCTAACACTAGCTTATCGATGATAGGATTGATTCCCACATTTCATGCAATCGGTGCACTGTTTGGTTCATTTGGTAAATATTACTATTTTTAAATAAATTTCGTATTAAATACATATACTTTTTTTATTAATAATAAATTTAGTTTCGCTAACTTACAGATGGCTTAATAGACAACTGTGTCTCTGTTTGGTAGTGATAATAATGTCGTTGAGTACAGTATTTTATCCCTGGTCTACAACATTAGGACAGCTCTGGTTGTGTACACTTTTATATGGTTTTGGTATGGGATGTTGGAACGGGTGTAATAATGTTGTGTTGGTTGAAATATGGAAACATCGGAGTCCATCCATATTGCTGTTAAGTCAATTGCTATGGGGTATGGGCACCATAATTGGTCCATTAATTGTCAAAAATTATGTGATTGGCAATAATGTATGTCCGGGTGTCACACAAAATGATTGTCAAAAACATTATTTCGACAATCAGACTATTAGTGAGCCTAACTCCCGGTGCACTGAATGGTGCCGTAATTACGATAGACGATCGCAGCTTAAGATACCGTTTCTTATTGGAGGTGTAGTAGAGCTATTAGGGCCAGCGTTTTGTTTTGTTATGTTTTTTGTTAAGCGCTACCATTATATTAAAGATGAGTCTAACAGTGATAATAAATCTGAAGACACTAAACGTGAGGAACGGGAGCGCCGATTGAAATATATTCCGAAGTGGACTATACTTACATGTGTTTCGCTGATATTTTTGACGGGAATATTAACTGAAAACCTTTACACAGCATTTGCCGCCACTTTCTTTCAATACCAACCGGTTCTCAATTTGTCGGCATCGGAGGCATCTATCATAACATCTGCAATGCACGGGGCGTTTAGTGTGGGACGACTTATATCAATGTTTGTCACATTACATGTTAGTCCACAAAACATGATTCTCGTTGAACTTATCATATCATTGTGTGGACACGTTTTTCAAATATTTGGTCAAAATAATTTGACATTACTGTGGATCAGCTCAATGATTATCAGTTTAGGCTTCTCCTCTATTTGGATCTCTTGTTTCTCATTTATAGCTCGCTATATGATACTGACCGATATTATGGGCAGTTGGTTTATAGGACCGTGCAATATCCCCGGCAGTGTAATCGGCTATTTTATTAGTGATTTAATGGATACCTATCCGTCTCTAATTTTATACGTCAGTGTTGTAGGTGTGAGCATATCAATAGTGGTACATATTTTTGCAATGTTTTCCGTTAGGAATGTACCCAGGGACATGATTTTAAATGTTCAACCAGTTAAATCAGTACATTAGATTAATTTATTTATGCAAATTTAAAATTTATAAAAACTACTATAATTAAAATATGTTATTTTTATTCATTTTTAAAAATAATGATTGTATTAAAATCCTATACTAACCAATACTAGTCTTATTTAGCTATATATCAATATAATAACATTAAAATTTTACAAATATCTGATAAACATTATTACAGTATTATTTCAATTAATAATAAGTAGCAATAATTATCAATTAACAATTGTTTGTTATCATAAAACTCAAGAACTCTATAAAAAAAATTAAGATATTATTTTGACATTAAATAATAATTAAAAATATTTATTAATAAATATCATAATTTATTTTTCAATAAAAGTGTATACTGTATTTACTTTTATAGGACACTTGATTTTTAAAAAATATTTACTTGTTTAAATTAATATTAAATGTAACTATAATATTTAAATATAATAAATAAACAATAATTTATTATGGATATTAATAATAATATGAATATGAATACTACTGAAACTATTAATTCAAGTATTAGTTTAAATAAAAATGAATTAACTAAAACAAATAATAATAATAATAATAATAATAATAATAATAATAATATGCCAAATGTGTTTAAATATATATACACTGTTTTACATTTTTATAATCATTTTTTATTTGTAAGTATTGTCTAAATAGTGTTTATAAGGAATAAATAAAATATTTATAAATAATAATAATATTTATAGGGTTTGACGTGTTCTTTTATACCGTCAGCTTATGTAGATTTACAACATACGGCTCATACATCCCTTTCCATGTTAGGCTTAATGTCGACATTTACAGGAATTGGTACACTAAGCGGATCGTCCGGTAAATTAAATAATAATTTCGATATAGTAAAAAGTCTACATATATTTTATTTATTATTTTTTAAATTCAATAGTTATGATAATATTTAAATGGATAAATAGACAACTGTGCTTATGTTTGGTTGTGACGCTAATGTCATTGAGTACAGTATTTTATCCCTGGGCCACACAATACTGGCATTTGTGGTTATGTGGCTATATCTATGGGTTCAGTTGTGTTATATGGGACGGTACTAACAATGTTGTCTTAATTGAAATGTGGAAACATCGGAGTCCATCTATGTTAGTAATTGGACAATTACTATGGAGTGTGGGCTCTATAGTAGGACCAGTTATGATGAGAGGTTATGTCATTGGCAACGATGTTTGTCCAGGTGTCACACAAAAACAGTGTGAAACAAACCACACGTATGTTGAAACAAACTCCCGGTGCACTGAATGGTGTCTCAATTATGATCGACGACCGCAACTGAAAATACCGTTTCTCATTGGAGGCTCATTTGAGTTATTAGGGCCCACATGTTATTTCATTATGTTTTTTATTTACCGCTATCGCTATGTAAATGATGAGTCAGTTAATGAAAATCAATTGGAAAACACTAAAGAAGAAGATGAGGATCGCCGAAAAAAATACATCCCTAAGTGGACTCTATTAGTTTGCTCGACGCTATTGTTTTCGTGCGGAACTGTAGCTGAAGTTCAATACACGTCATTTGCCGACACCTTCTTTCAATACCAACCGGTTTTGCATTTGTCGGCCTCAAAGTCAACACTAATTACAGCCACTATAAGCGGCGCCTCTAGTTTTGGACGAGTCATCGGTATATTTGTTTATTTTTATATAAGACCACAACATGTTATACTCGTTGAGGTTATCATTACATTAGTCGGACTAGTATTTCAAATATTAGGTCAAAACCAACTGATTCTATTGTGGATCAGTTCTGTGATTATCTCATTAGGATTTTCCATTACCTGGATCTCCACGTATTCATTTTTGGCTCAATATATAAAGATAACCGATAGACTAAGTGGTTGGATTGTAGGTCCCTGTGCTATACCATCAATGGTTTTATCTTATTTTATAAGTAGTTTTATGGAGACCAACCCATCTATACTTTTATATATTTGTACTACTGGTGTGACCATATCTTTAATGTCAATTTCAGTGGCCAATTATGCCGTAAGAAAAGTGCCCAGGGATCTTATTTTAAATGTAAAACAACAATGAGGCACCTGTAGTTTTTATATTTATTAAATGAAATGAGTTAACAATTTCTCACAATCCCTAAATTACTAATTTTAAGTTAATATTATTGCAAATTTTTAATACAATATATACATTTGTATTTTTATATAAAATACTGTATATTACTGTATGTTAAATATTTATGTTTATTTTGTTAGTTTATCATTCAACGAACTAGTCTTTACAATAGTACTCTATAATAATAGTATATAATGATATCAAACAATTACAAAACAGTTATTTTTATTTACTTATTGTTTTACACATTGATAACAGTTATTGAAAAAAAACAATTGTATAATTTTAGTCATTAAAATTATATTATATTAAAACTTATACAGTATTATTATTAAATTGAAATGTTACAAAAAATATCTTAAATAATTAAATTTATATTTTTATACAGTATAATTTTAAATGCTAATTTATTTGCTAAATTATTTATTAATAATGTTAATAACTTATGTGATGACTTTTAATTGTCCAAATAGTGAGTATATAATTGGCTGTCTATGCGATTCAATCGAGGAAAGCCTAACGTGCAAACAGACTGATATTAAGTTAAATATACAACACATTCACTTTAAAACAATAGTATTTTCAAAAACTAAATCAGTAGTAAAAAGTATTTTGTTAACAAATGTGACGACTAATAGTCTAACATTGAAAAACATTGTCAATGTTCAACCAATATCCAGTGTAACCAGTTTGCAGTTTAATCAATTAAAATTAAGTAATATAAGTTTCAAAGTGTTAGATGCAATATTATCAAAATCATCTGGGTCATTGACTGTATTACATATTGATCAAATAGCCAAATTGAATGCCTTTATATGGCCATTAAATGGATTTCCAAATCTCCAACAAATAGGAATTTATGGTAACACTGATAACAATAACACTGTTATTGACTTTATTGGAAGTAATGTTTTCTATGAATTAACCAAATTGACCAATATCCATTTAGTTAATCTCAATATCAGTAGACTTGATTTTAGTAGTTTTCAATTATCAACTCAACAAAATTTGACAATTGATTTATCTTACAATCAGATTAATGATTTTCAAATTATGGTTTCAACATTTTATCTGTATAATGATTACGATGATAGTCAAGTGATCATGGTCAATTTAACAAATAATATAATTGCCGATATAAACGAAAATGTTTTTTCTAGTTATTGTGAACCTAATTCTCGATTTAAGTTTATATTTAGTGGCAATCCTATTAATTGTACATGCTATAATGTCAAATGGTTATTAGATGATCCAGTAAAAACCAGAAATCATTTACTTGATATTCAATGTGTCAATTTTAACATGCAAAATTTGTATCAAGTTGATTATAACAAAATATGTCCTAGTCAAATAAACAAGTCAACTCAATTGCCAGATATTACAACAATAACACATATAATTGAGCAATCACAATTTAGTTTGTTATGGTGGCATATATTGATCATTTGCATTGCATCCATAATAATTATAGTTATCATAGCTGTAATAATAATTGTTATTTGGTATAATTTACGAATAAGTCAACAAGTATTACCATGGTCATATCCATTGGCACCGTTACGCCAATCAAATGTGCCACTCCCTACTGATACTGATGATGATAACACTGATATTTATACAATATATGGGACACAATTTGGACCCGACTTCAGTTCATCATATCTACAATTGACTGCTGGTTATGCCAGTATTAATTATGATACTGTTAATAGAAATATTAATAATAGTCGTTATGGCATTAATCACCATGATCAAATATATACAAATGATAGATATTGTTTAAATGATAATGATCAAATTTACGATGATACTATTGATCAGGATCAAAATAATATTTACGAGGAAATACACTATAATGTATATAAATAATATTTGGTTTGCATATCACAAACATTATTATATAAAATCAATTTAACAAATCATATAATATAAATAATATTTAGTTTAATTTTAGCCCAGTTTTATATACTAAATTTGTGGGTATATTATAAATATCATCTTTTATAAAAATAAACATAAATTATTAAATTAATTACAATTTTTTAATTATATTTATAATTTAATTGCTCGAATAGGCGGCAATTGTAGAACAAAAGTCTGCTTTATTTTCTTTGTGACCGATACGGGACTGGCCATCAATGGCCACCATATAGTTGGCATTTTTGGTACTCAAACCATAGATGTGTACATTTTTATTAGATTTCTCTATCGATACCATATTGTCCTGACAGTGCTCTTCACCCCAACACTGGCCGTAGTCTTGGAAAAAGTTGTATAAACCGGCGCCGTATATGAATATGTTTTCCGATGATACTATACGCAAACCCCAGGCCATAGCACAGGTATGACTATCGCCACAGTGGCCAAAATCTGGGTCATGATATCTGGAATCGCTATGAAATGGTTGGGGTGCCGGTGGATTGCCCTGATAATAGGGTGTTTCTGTTTGGATCAAACCCATCCATACATTTTTAGCATTAACAATATTAAATTGATACAATATGTTATGTTCAGATCCCGGTCCATAAATCCATACCGGTCCTTCACTGGACTCGATCAATACACCTCTACCGTTGCCAATGCTGACCTGACCCCCGCGTCCGTCAAGATCATGGTCTGCAAGCCAGGCCCACATGTTTTCAACGTATAGACTACCGGTAGCGGCCACGTGTAACAATAAGAAAGATCCGGTACAACCACTATGAATACCACCGCCACGATTGCAATTACCCTCCAGATCGGTTCCAACAGTACCACCCACTCGAAAGTGAACGTCCCATATGCCTACAGCACCCTGTTCACCTTGAGGATCACGCATGTTAACTTGCATCAATATGGCACCGGGAGCTGCACCCTGTGTACCGATGACTAGACTGCTAAACTCAGCAACACCCGTATCGCCCGGATTACCGACTTTAATAGCAGGACGCGGATTATTCATATCAGCAAACTTATCTCCCCGGGCTAATATGACTGACCACACTTCGCCGATCACTCGAGTGTCTGGTGGAACTACAATAGTATCGGTGATAACATATTCTCCAAATGGAAAATATATAACCCGACAACCGGCCCATTTGTTCAGCGCCTGTTGTATGGCTTGAGTATCATCGGTACGACCGTCACCTTTAGCGCCCTCCGACTTGACGCTTACAAAATCGGCGGCCGCAATGTCGTCATACAGTGGTCTCGACTTTTCGAAAAATCGTCCGGTGCTGTCTAAAAGTGCTTGTGGTTTAGTTGGTGGTGTCAACTCTCCCTGTTTGTATTGACCATTTTCTCCCTGGCCACTGTAAAATCGACCCTGTCCCCATTGGCTAATCACTTTGTTACCGCCCTCTAGCACTACCTGTCCATTTGAATGAGCCACAGCATGTTGTACATTGGTTAGTTTGACATTGTCGATGATCAGTGCACCGCCGCCCGCAGGTTTGGCCCATTGAGTACTGGCCGATCGTATGCCGTAAGCGGTGTTCGATATTTCACTGTCCACTAACATAATTGCGCCCACTTTTTGCCAGTTCTCGCCTCCGGAACTCATATCAATACCTAAATTAAAATAAAATTTTTATACAAAATAACTTTATGTATATTTTATAGTTTTATCTATAATTTCTATCAATTGATAAATTGTAACTTTTTTTAAATTAGCTTTTATATCGACTTATTTTTTTTTTAAAACATAACTAAATAAATAAATTTGAAAATGATCAATCTAATTTAATATGCATACCATTGTTGCAAGAGTCGATACGAATATTTTTAAGTGTCCACCCCCAGGTCCAACTATAGACAATAGCCGTATTAGCATGGCTAATCGAAATGTTTCTGGACGTAATTTGTTGATTACCCAATTCCATGCCATTACGGCCGCCGTCGATAGTCATATCACCGAAATAGCCGCCCGATCCCGACGTAATCACTAGTCCCACGTGATTATTGCCGGCCACTGTGCTCATCCTGATATGAACATTGGTAATACTGGTGGCCTGGGCAATTGGCCAGTTAATAGCCACGGCATGTTTGTACGCGTCCACGCGGGTCAGGTCCAGACGTAAGTTGCGGACTGCCCTAAAAAAGTTGCACGTAGGCTCCCATCCCGATGCGTCAATTAGCGGACCATTATTTGATGGCGACATTATAATAGTAGGCAAGTTTGATGGATCGCCAATGAATTCGGTGTAGTAGTACTGTTGCAGTGGTCTACCGACGAGATACTGGCCGGGAGGGAAGTATACAATTGCCGGCGAAACTGTAGTCGAACCGCAGCCATGTCCGCACCGACCGCCATCAGTGATGGCCCGGTTTATGGCTTCCCAGTCGTCACTGTTTCCGTCACCTTTAGCTCCGTAGTCGCGAACATTACGAAACACCCGATACTGACCGGGATTACTATGAAACGGTGCCCAACCTTCGTGTTTGATAGCGTGTAACCAGTAATCGCTTTGATGACCGTGTGTTAGACTTTTACCTCCACAACTCGGTCCCAATGTTTCAACGCCGTATAGACACACACAGACTACCTGTGCGATCAATAGTAGTTTATTATGCATTTGTGTCAACAGTTTTCTATTAATTATGACAATTGAACTTTTTATTTATTTATTTATAAGTAAATTAAATATCCTTGTATTTAATCCCATTTATGATAAATATACTATTATCTAATAATAACATCAAATGTTACATGTACTTATTATAAATATACTAAATAAATTTACTTGTTAATTAATTTTCAATTGCACAATTGATATGATTATAATACTAAAAATATTTATTGAAAAAAAAAACTTGTATTTTATTACAAATAATTTATTGTTTATTTATTATTATTTTATGCATACATTTATATTAATAAAAAAAATATTATTAGCATATTAATTTGTTACATATTACATAAATAATTGTATATTAATTTTACAATTTAAATATTTAAAATATTGTATATGGAAAATAATAAGTTTTATATTTCTAAGAAAATATAAGGATATAAATGTGCATCAAAAATTGATATTGAAAATTGATAATGATTAATTGTTTTTCTCAATTGACATTTTAATCACTGATTGACTAATTATGAGATAAACATAATTAGTTATTTCAATTTAATCTGAATATATAAAGATTTTATTATTATTTTTTAATTTTATTACTATACTGTATTAAATTAACTACAATATTAAGCAAATAATCCTATTTTAAGAAATAAAAAATAATCACTAATGAAATTATCAATTATTTTAGTATCAATAATAGTGGGCACAGTTGTATGCGATGAGCACATGACTGCCCAACAAAAGAAAAGATGCGAACAGTTTGTCAGTATCTTTGAGAACGACTCGATTGACATACAGTACGACTACGTGGAGAACATACACGACGGCCGCGGATATACGTGCGGTAAGTTTGGCTTCACTACTGCTACCGGTGACGCATACGAATTGGTTCAAACATATACCAGCCGTAAATCGGATAACCCATTGGCTAAGTATTTGCCAGAATTGAAACGTTTGGCCCGACTTTTCAGTAACGACACGTCACACTTAGACGGCTTTCCCGAAGCTTGGCATCAGGCGGTCAAAGATTCACAGTTTATCAGAGCACAGGACGATGTCAGCGCACGGCTTACATATCTGTAGGCTTTTTATAAATTATTTCAAATTTTTAATTATATTTTATTTTAAATTTTTAGATTATTTCTTTGTGTCTTAAATTTATTTATTTACAACTATTTTATCTTTATTTTTTAATCATTAATGTTTTTATGACATTTTTTTAAGGACAAAACATTTTAATGTACAGTTATTTTTTTATTAAATATAACCTTGGTATATTACAGGTGCACTGATAATATTATAATAATAGAGTTATATTTTACATTTGTTATATTGAAGTTATAAAATGCTAAACTTTACTGTTTTATCAATTTTGTGTTTTAATTAAGAGTTTTACTTATCATATAATTATTATTGTCATATTTCTAATCTTATTTGTTAGACCTGCTATGAAATGGGCTGCCAGTGCTAAAATAACCAGTGCCCTGGGTAAATGTACATTATACGATTGCATCATTGAGCATGGTGATGGCGATGATGGCGATTCATTGGGCGCCATATTTAATCGGACAATAGCTTTGCGTAAGGGTGTGGTCAAGGATGCCGATGATGAACAGTACTGGATTAGGGCGTTCCTCGATATGAGACTCGACGACTTTGATCATCCGCACGACAAGATTAATATCGATCACCAAAAGGGTTGGCACGACGACTCTGTTCAGAGGGTGTACGCCATGCAGACACTCCTTAATCAATATAATATGGATCTAAACGGACCAATTCATGTCAAGACTAAAGATCACAATCATGTCATACCATAAATAATGATAACAATACTCAATAGACTATGGATTAGATATTATTTTTTTTAAATTTAATTATTTTAAATTTTTAGATAAAGTTATTATCAAAAGTTATTATCAAAATATTTTATATTATTTTACATTAAATTTATTTTTTAAGTTATACTATAATTATTTGAATATTTATAGTTTATTAATAACTTTATATTATAGTAAACTTAAAAATTAACTATAAAATTTTGAAAATTAGCATAATACATAAATATTTAAAAAATTATTTAGTTATTTTTTGTATTCAATATAATAAAACTTTGAACTTTTTATGATTTTCATTTTTATTACCGTAAATTGTAATTAAAAATTTTAATAATTGTATTATAGACTGAAACTGTAAAAAAAATTAGATATACATTTATATAGTTTACAACTTTAACTGATAAATTTGATATTGTTGTTTATGTAACGCAATATATATTTATTGTGTTAAAATTTGCGTTTATTTTTTTAAAAAAAATAATAATTAAATTTGTTACTAAAATTTGTTGTGTATTTAATTAATTAAATTAGATTTAACAATGACACTAGGTCGTATTAGATATTTTTGGTCCAAACCCGAACTTATTTATCTTGATAAATATGCCTATACTTGTGTCCTATTAATGACACATTTAATATATGTAAGTTATATTTTTTTAAATATGTCAACATTTATTTTATATATATAGTAAATTATTATATAAACTTATATAATCTATGTCTATACTAACTTTATGTAAAATATTAAAAATTAAATTTAATGTAAATTATTATACATAGTCTACAGCATCGACAACATTTGGGCCGACATTTGTTGACCTGACCTACACATTGGACGCACCGATGAAAATTATATCACTTTTTCCAACAGTAGTATCAGTGGGAAACATTTTGGGAACTTTGTGTATGTTTTTTAATATTTTTAAAAAAATTTGAAGTTATTATTAAATGTAATGCTATTTATTAATTTAAATAATTCAGTTGGTTTGGTATTTAAATACGTGAACAGACAGTTAACATTGATATGTTTGCTCCTATTGATGGCCATCTCGAGCACAATAATACCATTTACCCGACAGGTGTGGCAATTGTTTATATGTGCCTTCTTTTTTGGTATTGGTTCGGGCGCCTGGATTACGGCCTACAATGTATGGCTCATTGAAATGTGGCAAGACAACTCGGGAAAGATACTGTTCCTCTCGCAGGTCATGTACGGTATTGGATCAGTATTGGGACCACTTATTGACAGTTCATACGTTACGGGTGATCAAAATAGGACGGACACAACACTAGCCATAATAAGCGAAGAGGATCGCCGTCAAAAACTAGCCATACCTTACATGATTAGTGGTGGCATACAAATCATATGTTAGTAAATACAGTACAATCTATAATTATACGGAACAATACTAATTATTTTTAAAAATTTTTTGTTGTATAACAGTTCCCACTATAATGTTGATAATGTTTTTTACCCGAAAATACGAAAATAAAGTAAAAAATTTGGAGCCGACCCGCGATCAGGGCTCACGAACCAAACTATTCAACCGGTGTTTATTTAAACGTCGGCTCCTATATATTGCATTGATAGCCGTTTGTCTATCGGCCATAAACTCATTGGATTTGATATATTTTAATTTTCTAGCACCGTATCTAACCTACATACCAGCTCATTTATCCGCATCGCGAGCCGCCGAACTGTCCTCAGCACTGGGAACCGCATACACAGTGGGACAGGCAGTAAACTTTTTTGTTGCAATGTTTATAAGTGAAAAAATCATGATTTTCTATCACTTACTTATAACAATTTTATCGATTGTGGGCTTATTTTTTGTACAAAACTCGGAACTCGGTATATGGGTGCTCACAATAACAGTGGGTTTTGGGTTTTCACTACTATATCCGGGTATATTGTCATTTACCGGCAGATATATCGAGATAACCAATCGGATAGGAACTGTATTCTGGTTTTCATGCGGTGCCGTCCAGTTTATACCACCAATAATATTGGGACAATTCATTGAGGATAAACCCGATGCCTTTATTATCATACAAATTATACAGTTATTGATAGGACTGATAGCTTTTATAATTATATTGTTTGTCATTAAAATGACCAAAAAGTTTTTGAACACTAATTATAATAATAATACAAATAATAACTAAATATATATAATATATCTATTTGTTATATTATTATAAAATATCTTATTTAGTAATAGTTTTTGCAAAATGCTTCTATAAATTATTCATAAAAATAATATTGTTTTTTTGCTTTAATAAATAAATTTTTAATATAATATATAAAGAATATTTTATACATGTATTATGTTATAAATTTATATTGTGCTAATAATTTATATTAAATTAAACTTTAGTTCAACAATTATAATAATTATGCAAAAATTTTTTTTATTAATGTTTAACAAAAGTGTTCTTGTTCACCTTGATAAAAATAGGTGAATTTACAATAACATTATTTGAATGTATATTATTTTTAATAAATAATTTTTGAATTTGTTTAATAAATTGTTGAATAAATTTTGATAATAACATTATTGATAGACCAAACCATAGACTGCATATACTGGCCAATAGACACAAATATTCATCAATAGATAGTTTCAGATTTTGTTCGTAAACTAAAAATATTGCTTTTTTTGGCTTAAAAATAATTGAAAAATAATTGTTATTAATATCAACTGTTTTGTCAGTACTTTGCACATAAGTACTATAATATTCAGTATAACACTGTATTATTGATTGACAATATTTTTTACATTTATCATTGAAATCACTATTATTATTATTGGTATTATTATTATTCAGATTTAACAATGTTTTATTATTTTCTCTATCATAACAAAGATAATTATCAATATATTGATTATAGTAGTCGTATAAATGTTTAGCATTACACTTATGATAACAATCAATAATAGTGTCAGCCATTTGCCATTTTTGATGCAAACTATATGTTCCACATTTAGACACTTTATTTATAAATGTATAACGAGAATAATGAAAATAATATTTATCTGAATTGACTAATTTAATAAAACCAGCTTGCTTATCTAATAATGGTACAGTCAAACCATTAGCATGTAGACGCATAAACAAATCAAATTGATACTGGGTCATTACACTAGGTTTAATTGTAAATTCAAATTGATATGCTGAATTTTCAAATACTACAAAACGTTTATAGTATTGATAAAATGTTGTAACACATATGTGTGAATTGTCCATGGACAGTCTATAGTTTTGACATTTGTATATTTTATCATATACAATAAAACTACAGTCAAACCAGTTGTTTATTTGATCAATTAAATCAAATTGATCATGAACAGATTTATTTTTCATATAGTCTAATAAATCATTGTGATTACTAAATGTAATCGGGTCACCACTACTACTAATACTAGTATTAGTTTTCAATATTGTTTGTATAGTTGACATATTTAACATAATTGATTTATCCATACATATAGTAATAGCTGGATATTGAATGTGTCGATGAGATTCAATTTGTACATTAGTTATCGTAAAGTAATGTAAATATAGATTACTAATTGTAAAGGCGTGATATGTGAAGCCACTAATACAACAAAATAGCCAAATATGTCGGAAATATTGTTTTAAATAATCGGATTTAATTAGCAAGCACATATTTTATAAATTGTTAGTTATGCGGATAATAAATAGTGTACAATATAATTTATTTTCATATAAAATGCTTTCTAATAAATATGCTTTATTATACTACAAATACAAACATAATAGTATGTTTTTGTCAATCTAATGTTTTTAATGCTAATATATAAATGTCTAGCTGATTTAATATTACATAAAAATTATTTAAATAATAAAATTTTAATTAATAACTGCTCTTTTTGCTAATGATGAATATCAATATAAAATTAATAATAATATGTCCATTAAAAATAAAAGCAATTCTCCTAAAAATGTATGTGTAGTACAAATTTGTGAAAAAATATATGAAAATATTATATTGTATGATAAACTTGTTTATCAGTAAAGTCTAATACAGTATATAACTGTAATAATCATATATTATAATATCAATAACTGCATAAATATTTATAATATTTAATAGATTCATATACTAATCCTATTTTTTCATCATATATTATAAATAATTTATACAGTATTTTATTGAAAATTTAGTATTATAATATATTATTTAATCAATTCTTTATTAAAATAAAAATTTATTTTGTAATAAATATAGATATATTTATATAAAAAGATAATATTTTTTTGGTAATTAAATTAGACAAATTTAATAGTTATTTAAATATATATATACTGTATATATATATATATATTTCCGTATAAAAATATATTACTTATTTTATTTTTTATAAAAATTAAATTATTTAAAAAATGTATTTATAACTAATACTTAATAACTACATAGTATTAAATTATTATATATTATAAATGTTTTCATTGTTATCTTACTTAAGTATAAAAACATTATTATTTATTTTATCATTAGATTTTTGTCGATATATATTAACAATAAATAATATAATAGAAAATAAGCATGCACATATTGTCAAATAGATAAATTCAAATATAATCATAACATAGGAGTGACTCTCAACCAACAGTCCCAACACATAGGGATTGAATAAATTAAAGACATCACTGACCAGTATTACACAAATTCCTATTTGATTAGTTATAATAATATACTCACTTAAATAGGCAAACATTGCCGGAAACAGTGCCGATAATGCCATACCTAAACATACAACTGTTATCCAGAGCACAGTACGATTGTATTGACCCAAAAATAGGAGTAAACAAACAGATATGTAAAGTAAGACAATGTGATATGATATCATTGTTTGTGGTTTCAATTTCATGGCCACAAATATACTGACTCCCCGTCCGATTGTAAAAAACAATGCTATCAGTGACACAATTTCGGCCGCACTCTGAGCTGACAACTTAAGTGGACAATACTGAAGATAAGTGGCACCAAAATTCATGATTGTTGACTCAGTTACGCAATATGTGGAAAGCCAACAGGCGAACAGTGCTATACATAGACGTCTGGGTGACCCAGGGATGTCAAATAGTTTTAACTGGTCACTTTGAGCAGGTATATTTGGACAGGTAGCATCGGGAACAGTTGGCAATTCATAACGTTTCACAGCAAACAACATTATCAATATAACTGGGACTGAATTAAATGATAAATAAATAATTAATTTTAGGTGTTTTTGTTTTTTATAAGATAAATGTTAAAATCATACATGTTGACTGGCATATTCCGCTTATTAGGAACGGTATCCATAATTGATGAGCATAATTGTTTTTATTATCAGATACCTGATCATTGTCTATAACTGTATAGTTTGCTAATAGATTAATAGCGCGCGCATTTAACTGGTATCGGGCGGTAATAACATCATATCTATCGCCCGATAAGTATGTTTTCAATAATAGTGGCGAAAATATGGTGCCCATACCGAACATGAACTGTACAAACTGAAGTACAGGTGCGCTCCGGTGCTGCCATATCTCGATAAGCCAGACATTGATTATGCTGTTCCACGAGCCGGCACCTACACCAATAAGCCAGGCGCTCACATAAATGAACCAAATGTTTGGCGAGTGTGGCAAACCCGCCAATGATACACTGGTGAGCACTAATAGTAAGGATGTTGTCAATTGTCGATTCAAATATTTGTATAACAGTCCGACCAGTGTTCCCATAATATAGCCGATCGAGAAAAATGTTGTATAAAGTGATACCAATTGTAGGCTAGTATTCATTGTATGACTGATGTCAACCATTGCCGGCGCAAACATTGTTAGTGTCATTCCCTTCAAAGTAATTGTTTTTCAAATATAGTTAAAAACATTATTATGTTATAAAAATATTTTTAAAATAATTTTTTAAACATACCAATGCCATATGATTGAGACATATAATACTTGTATATAAATAATTTAACCATGACAATTTTTGAGTTGAAATATCATGAAAATTTTTATTATTAGTAATTTTAATAGTCTTTTTATTAAACATAATTATTAATATTTTATATAATATTTTTTTTATTTTACTTAATTATATCAAAACTATTAAAAATTTTTAGTTTAAATTGATAGTTAGTTTAAACAGGATTTACACTGAGATTTTTCATGTATTAACAAATTGTTAATATTGAATAATAATAATAATTATTATTATTATTAAGCAAATAATATAAGATTGATATAGTGTATCAATAATGTTTAAATAAACAATATATTACTGAATAAATAAATAACAGGCAAATAGGCAATAATTGATTTACTATTATTAATATTTATTTTACAACTAAATTATTATATATACACTAAAAACATAATCTAATTTCGTATCGTAAAAATATTGATATCATTAACTTTAAACTTTAATAACTTTTTTATTTTTTAACTTAAATAAACAAATTTGATATCAAATAATAGAGTAATAAATCACAATTAAATTGATATACTAGATGGTCAAAACAATGGTTTAAATAACAAAATATATCAAGGTAAAGTTATAGGTGTTAATAATTTAGGTACAAAAATTATTTTCGTGTTTTTAAAACGCGCGTGATTTCAGACACATTGTTGGGACCAATTGATTCCAATGCATTGTTATTAATTTGAATACACGTAAATAAACAGTAAATGCAGTGATTATCATAAAAATGGTTAAAATACAAGAATTTTCAGATGCAATTCGCCAACAAATGTATGATATGAGAGTCAGCACCGGAAAGTCATACGCAAAAATAGCGGAACTGTTTACAACAACTGATAATACTGTCCGATCAATTGTAAAGAAAGTCGAAAAGTACGGGACAGTTAGAAATCTCGCAAGAAGTGGTCGAAAAAGATGTACCAGTGCTAAACAGGACAGGATATTGAGTCGAATTGTGGCAAAAAATAAGAAGTTGACCACCGATGAGATTAAGGAAGAGTTGGCCGCCAGAAACATTTTGTGTCACAGAAACACTATTAGACACCGGATTCAAGAAATGGGTTATTACAGTGGTATTGCGCGAAGACGTCCAATGATAAGCCTAACAAATCAGAGAAAACGATTAGACTTTGCACGAAAGTACATCCGGATGCCTATGTCATACTGGAGGAAGGTCTTGTGGTCAGATGAGTCAAAATTTGAGATTATTAGTACTAAACGTCGCCAACGAGTGTTTAAAAAGAGAGGCGAAAGCATTAATCCTGATAATATATGTCCAACTGTGAAGCACTCGAAATCAGTTATGGTATGGGGGTGTATGACAGGCCAGGGAGTTGGCCATTTGGTCGAAATTCCATCAACTATGGACCGCTACATTTACGTTAACGATATTTTGACCCCACATTTGCTTCAGAGTGCCAGAGATCTACAAATAAGCGATGATTTTTTATTTCAAGCGGACAACGACCCAAAGCACACATCAAAATTGGCAAAGAAATGGTTGTCTGACAATCAAATTGAGACACTTGAGTGGCCGCCACAGAGCCCTGACCTCAATATTATTGAACATCTATGGGATGAATTGGACAGACGTGTGCCAAAGAGCGAAAGAAAAAGTTTTTCTGCGTTTAAAGAGTCGTTATTTAATGTCTGGAAAAATATACCTGAAGAAGTCACAGAAAAGCTGATCCAAAGTGTTCCAAGAAGATTGCAGGCTGTGATTGATGCCAACGGAGGCAATACTCGATATTAATATTGTTTTTACTAAATTAATAGCTTTATTTTGTTAATAATATTTAAAGTTTTGATTTCACGAAAATACTTTTTGTACATAACTTTTTTTACCATTTCTTACTTCTTATGCTTTTTTATAGATAATATGATAATTAATGCAATTTTATTTATTGACTTATAAACTTTGAAAAGTGTTCTTTCATTTGATATCAAATTTGTTTATTTAAGTTAAAAAATAAAAAAGTTATTAAAGTTCAAAGTTAATGATATCAATATTTTTGCGATACGAAATTAAATTATGTTTTTAGTGTAGTTATTAATAAAATATTCAATATTTATACTATATTTTAGGTAAATATAATGTACTTCATATTTTATATAATAATGATAAACATAAATATTCACATATTAAATGAATATAATTTACATTAATAACTTATTAATTAAATTGAAAATAATTTTTAAAAATATATTATCTATTATAATGTGACCGTGGATGAGATTGAATGAATGAGTGGACACAACCAATTGATCGGTAAAACAATTTATTGTTTAAAAAAATACAAATTTAAAATAATTGGTTAAAAAAAATGATTGATTGATTTGTTTCAGGTTTTGTCAAGTGATTGATTGAAATTCAAGTGAAGGCTTGAATATCAAGAAAACAGTGAGTGAATGCAAGAGAGGAGAGAAGTGGTGATTGATTTGAAGTGTGTAGTGATCGGAGGTTTGATTCAAGAGAGAGAAAAAGTGAACTGTCGTCCACTTAAGTAGTGGACGGCCTGAAGGGTCGTCCAATGAGAGTGAAGGGATGGTTGAAGTCTGTTGTGAGTGTGTGTGTGTGATCTGTGGGCCATCTAGGGTCACATCCGCCGACCGCTAGCGTTTGGCGTGTTTTCGGGTTCTTTGAGTGATCCAAACCTTTTCAAATGAAGCGCTTGTTTGACATGTGATCATCCATTTTGAAAATGAATCGGATTTTTCATGTTTTTGTGTTCAGCATCTGTTGGCTTTGTTGTTGATGAGTTTGAATGAGATGTCAATGTTGTTGAAGTTGTGGTGGAAGTGTTGGTGTCAGATGAGTGAATCGGATGATTGTTGATCAACATGTTGTCATCGCTTGGAGAAACTCTTGATGAATGTTTTGTGAATGAACGCACAGCAACACCAGTGTTGATGTCAATGTGATTCAATCGCAGACTTTCATCTCCGAGCTTTTCCAGGACAACACAAGGTGCACAAAAATGTGGTGAGAGTTCTGTGCTAACTCTTTGTTGATCTGAAATTTCAAAGGTTTGTTTGTTGACTTTGTGTTCATGTTTCTCATGTCTTTTGATTTGCAGAGCTCTGGACTTCAATGTCGCCTGATTTCTGGCCTCTTCGAGTGTGTCATCAGTTGGAAGGGCTGATGAAAACTCGCAGTGCAAAAATTTCGATGTGAAGCCAGTGCTGTCGCTGATGGATGTTTTGGATGAGTTGTCGATGATTTGTGAAATCTGTTGGTGAGTCGGCTGAGTGAAACTTTTGTTGATTTGAATCTCTTTTTCAATCTCTTTGACAGATCCAACAATTGATTGAGAGACGACTTCCGTTGTGTCGACCATTTTTTTGATTGATTGTTTGGACGTTCTCGGTGCGGGTGTTGGTGTCTTGAGTTGGTGAAGAGAAAATGTTTTGTTTTGAACCATTGTGCCGAAGTTGACAACCAGAGCAGCGGCTTTGGCCAAGTCGAGGCCAATGAGCATGTCGTGCTCCAGTTTCTCCAACACTTGAATGCTGAATTGAAATGACTTGTTTTGCAATTCAATGACTGCATCAACGAGTCCGAGGGTACGGCCGGTGCCGTCCACATGTCTGATGGCAATTGAACGCTTTGAGTCCCACTGCAAGCCCATCTTATCAGCGGCCGATTTGGAAATGGCGCTGATTGTGGAGCCAGAGTCGAGGAATGCCTGCGTTTGTCTGCCATTGACATGAGTGTTGAACCAAATGAGATCCAGCGGATCCTCTTCATGCTTGATGTGATGAAGGCCAACTGTTTTTGGTGCATCTGTTGATTGGATGATTGAATTCATTGGTGAATCAATCGGCGCTTCAACTCTTTCGATTGGTTGAAGGCAATGGACGCTCGCGGAAGAAGCGATGTCTTTTGTTGAGGGTTTCGGCGCATCAACTTTTTTGATCGGTTGAAGGCAATTGATGCCAGCCATTGGCGGAGCATCAGTTGTTGAAGGTTTAGGCGCACCACCGGTGCCTGAGATTTCGGCCCACTTTGGACACACGGACTTCCAGTGCATCTCTTTCTTGCCAAACAGTTTGCAGACTGGGCATGGGCCAGGCGGTGGCTTGTTGAACTTCTTTGGATCTTTCGGATCCTTTGGAGGTATCTTTTTGCTGTCATTGTCTGTGTCAGTGTCCAGATGGTTGATCGGTGTGATCATTGGCTTGGGTTTTTGCGGTCGATCCTTTCCTGTTTTCAGGCTTGATTCAATTGATGTGGCGATTCTGAACCATTCTTCTGGAGTTTTCGGTTGATGTGACGCGATCTGAGTTCGGGTCAGCGTTGTCGTGATTCCACTGTTCAGTAGTGCCACTTGATTGATGTCTGATAGCTCGGCTAAATCCAAGAGTCGGCGCTTGTCGTCATAGTACGACTCTATGGATTCGTTTGCTCTCAATTCTCTTTCAATGGCTTCGGTGATTGGTTGGCGGGTGACTCGGGCAAACCTACCCATCATTTTTTCTTTGACTTCCGCCCATGTGATTGTTTCAGAGTGTGGTGCAATCTCACGCACAAGAAATCTCATTGCTTCACCAGTGACATGGCGTCCGAGTGCAGTGCAGCGGTCATCGTCTGTGTAGCCACGTGTGACAAACGTGAAGGGAGACATCCAATCGTCGGCTTTGACCAGTGGATCGCTGCCGGAAAACGTGTCGCAGAGTCTGCCAGTGTTTCTGGGTCTGCTGTGGTTTGTTTGATTGTCCTCTTCATCGTCATTGTTGAAAACCATGTGTTGCATTGCGTTAACGCTGGCATTGCTTCTCTGTTGTTGTGCACGTGTTTGAAGTCCACGTGAGCCGGAAACGGAAGTCAGTGCCGTTGGTGACGTCATGTCTGCATCGTTAGTGTTCATTGTGTCGTTCAGTTGATTTCTTCGGTTTTTTCTGGTGTTTTTTCTGGGAGCCATTGATGATGAGATACACGTGTTTTCTTGAGTTCACTTGAGTTGAATTGAATTGATATCTGAATTTTTCAGTCGTGAAATGGTTCGATCCTTGAAGACTGCGCCAAGTTGTGACCGTGGATGAGATTGAATGAATGAGTGGACACAACCAATTGATCGGTAAAACAATTTATTGTTTAAAAAAATACAAATTTAAAATAATTGGTTAAAAAAAATGATTGATTGATTTGTTTCAGGTTTTGTCAAGTGATTGATTGAAATTCAAGTGAAGGCTTGAATATCAAGAAAACAGTGAGTGAATGCAAGAGAGGAGAGAAGTGGTGATTGATTTGAAGTGTGTAGTGATCGGAGGTTTGATTCAAGAGAGAGAAAAAGTGAACTGTCGTCCACTTAAGTAGTGGACGGCCTGAAGGGTCGTCCAATGAGAGTGAAGGGATGGTTGAAGTCTGTTGTGAGTGTGTGTGTGTGATCTGTGGGCCATCTAGGGTCACAATAAAATTTATATTAATATTTTATTTTAAATAATACTTTTTATTTAATACAATAATTTTTAATAATTATCATAAATATTATTAATAGTAAAAGTTATAATTAATAAAAACAATATTATTAGTGTATTATATGATTTAAAGAAAGCACTGTCCGTTTGACATTCAGTCTCCCAGTTCTCAGGTATTAGTTTTTGAGTCAACTTATAGAACATATCCAGTGGACAGTCATCTCTTTTTTGGCATTCAGGTAATTGTAACAAATACGGGTATTTATCATTTTCCAGTGTTTCATTATACCAGTAAAGTCTAACAAAATAGTCGCCGGTACCGGTAGTTTTTTGATGCAACTCAAAAAATAGTGTACAACTAATAGGTGGTATCCTATTATTGAACACTTGCAATGCGTGCATCAACACTGACACTATACTGTCGTGCGTTGAATAGACATATAGTTTGCGATCCGTTTGATTTTTAGGTAATCCTATATGTCGTTCAATGTTTTTGACCAGTTCTTCAATGATAGGACCAGCTTTGGTACGTTGAACCAGAGTGTTGTTCCACTCGACGATCCACAAGAGTTCGGCCAATGGTTTCATTTGCTTAAAAATTTGTTTCTCAAACGTCTCGTTCCACTTACCATATGTCGACCAATTGTAACCCCTGTCCCACTCAACCAACAGGTGGTCGTAAACATTTTTAATGTCCAACAGGTTTCGCATGTTTGCACCCATAATCCCTTTGACCTGATCTAACAGTTCAGCTTCTTTTGCTATACTATTGATCACTAGCTCTGAATTGAATAGTTTGTCAATTTCTTCATCAGCTTTGGGACAAATGGCTTCTGTACGGAGCATTCGCTCAGAGGTTATTAAATCTATAGGATATGTATATATGGGAATGGGTTGCCAAATGTTGCCTAACTGGGCATCGTTAGTGATGTTCCATTGAAAGTCATTATTGTTTGGTGGATAAGCGCCTGCCAACAGACACGATATACTATCCAAACATCGACTTTTCGGGGAACTCCTGGCATAGACATCTCGTGGACTGTATGATTGGCTTAGGTATGCATCATAGTGTTGCCGTATAAACTGTCCCAATTTGTATGACCGATATCGGCCCTCTTTAGACAGTTCGCCCAAACCCTCGGGCCAATACTTGGCGACATCTTTATATGGATCGGCGTCATATGTTTTTACGATAGCTCTGTCCCCGTGTCGATGAACCACTTGTAGAAGTTTTAATGTTGTTATGTTGTGATTGGGCCATAAATATACAAATTTTATAGATATGGTTATTAAAAATATTAATATTAGTTGAGTATTATTAATTGAACGCAAGATCAACATAATTATAGTATTTTTAAATAAATTTTTAGCACATAAAGTCAAATAAAAATATTAGCATAAATACTATTAGATTGATTTAAATTTATTATTTTTATAATTATTTTTATATCTTTAAGTATAAAATGCAACTATAAACTAATATTTTATTGTAATATAATTCTAATATGAATATTCACTGTAAAATTATTTGCATTTAATATCAATTTATTATACACAATAAAAATATTTTTTAATCGTTTATAAAGTCAATAAAACTGCTACCAACAATTTTTTTAAATATAAATTTTCATACATTTATTCATAAAATATTATTAACAAAAATTTAACTAAATTACTGAACAATTCATACACTATGTTATCTAAACACATACTACTCTCGAAAAAAACTAATACTTAGACTTAAGTTATTTCTGAATCATTCAATCTTTATATGTATATTTAGGTCCAGTTAATCAAATATTATTCAATCATTTTTTATATGGTTTCAGTAAAATAATAAGTTATTTCTATCAGTTTAATGTTAATAGTAATAAAAAAATAATACTAATAAACATTAAATTGGTTTCTACAATAAATAATACGTTTATAATTATCACTTTTAGGTATTCGTTATAAAATATAATAGTTTAGGCACAATAAAAATTAGGTACAAAAAAAATTATAAAAGTATAAAATATTAATTTAATTATTTTATTGTCATAATTGAAAGCAATAAAGTCTTTAAAATCTAATAATTAATATAAATTTTATAATAAATTTATTTATTTAAAGAAATTATGACTCAAAAAAGAAATTAAATAAAGTTAATATTTTAAAGTAATTAATAGTAATATTGATATAATAATATAATAATTTACAATAATTACATTAAAAACTAATGCTATCTCACAGTAAAATATCAAAATTATATTAATATAGGCTTTGATAAATTGTGATTAATTAACTTTTTAAATAAAATTATTATTATTATTATTAGATAATATTTTTAAATATACTATTTTAATAAATAAGATTAACTGTATTGAATAGCATGAAGGATATCAATGATGATGACTACGACGACTATGATGATGATCATCATTATTATCATTATTATTATCATCTTTATCTTTATTATTATGTTTATCATTATGATTATGATTATCATTATTTTTATCATTATTATTATGTTTATTATTTTGTTCATTTTCTAATATTACTTCTTTAATTGTTTCTTTAATTTTGTTTTTAATTTGTTTCTCAATGTGTTGAATGCCTTTACTAATTGCTTGCATGGGTGCCGCCAACAGACGGCCCAACTGATCGAGGTATCGGCCGAACATATTTCGGTGTAACGGTGTGTCCACCAGAACACGGGAATTACGTTTACGATTACTTTCTTCTTCGTCGTAATCTTTGCTTTCATGACCATTGATATTATCTTCATTAAAGATAACATCATATTTATAACGATTTTCATCCAATTCATCGCTATTATCATCATTGTTGTCATCATTATTGTCATCATTATTATCATCATTGTTGTCATCACTATTACCCGACATAATATCCGACAAACTATTGTAGTATTTAGCACCCGACGATTTTTTGGCCGAACCTTTTGAACTTTTTGATTTTTTTGATTTTCTTGTACTTTTTGAACCCTTGAAATGCTTATCTGCTTCAGCTATAGTTTTTTCAGGTGTTTCCTCGTAAATCACTTCAACAACATTTTTGCTAAACTCGTCCCTAACATTACCGAAAGTCTTATAATCGCATACAATATACACCTCGTAATAGTCATCCTGTATTTTGTTGACGGCTCGGGCACAGCCAACTTGAGTACTGGATTTCCACAATAATTGAGTGAAATGTCCGGCCTTTTTGTTGTACTTTCCCGCCTTAAAGTTGTAAAACTTAATTTCCAAATACCTTTTTGTTTGTTTGTTCGTTTATTTAAATAAAATACATAAAAATTATTAATTTTTTATGGTTGACAAAAAATTAAAAAATAATAATTACCAATTTTTCAGTGCAGTTCTACAACTAAGTTTATCTTTTTTACCTAAATAGTCATTTTTTAAAAGTGTGCAATATATTAATAAAATGATTAACTATTTTTTAAAATTAATAGTCTATTATTTATTATTTCTAATATATATATAAATATTATCATTAATTAAATGATAGATACCTTTAGCCCAATAAATGTTTTCGCCATACCTTTCATCCAAGTCTTTGTGTTCATATGTTATCTTTGAATATTGAGTCATATTTCGCAATCGTTTTTTAGCATAAGCAACAATCTATTGTATTGTTTAATATATATATATAAATAATAACATAATTAATCAAATTTTTAATTAGCATTGTTTTATGAATAATATAAATTAAACATTTAACATATTAAAACTTATTATAACAAATTTAAAAATTACATTTTTATCGAGATGTAAAGCACCCGATTTATGGGCCCCACGGAGACTGTTATGATAGGATAAACACTCCTTTTGAAAGGCATTGTCAGTGGTATCGGGAAACGGGTTGCGACTGTCAATCTCAACGACTAATGATTAATAGATAAATTGAAAAACAAAATTATTTTAATTATAATTTATTATTTAATACTTGATTTGTTAACAAATCAATATTACAGTAAAATAGACTAAATAATGCCAAAATTATTTTATAATTATTCATGTTTACTATTTTTTAAATAAACTCTCATTTAAATTATTTATAATTAATGTATTTACTACATTTTAATCATAAAATATAATTTTCAGTAATTGTGAAATACAATACTACTTTATTTTATTTAATTATATAAGTCAATAATTATGTGATCAAATACAATATGTGTTACCAATTAAAAAATATTTTACATTATTAATAATAATATCAAAATAAAATATTTTTGCAAGATATAAAAAAATAAAATTATAAGTTTGTTTAAATAATTTTTATTGACCGTTATTTTATAAACTTTATTTTATACTATAATTATAAAAATAAATAGAAAATATGCGTTAATAATACTCTACTCTACTATATATTATATATACAGTATTAGACTTAATATAATAAATAGCAATACTTTAGTAGAATAATAAACCGAAACCGCTTTACAGGAACCGAACAAAAACAATGGGTTTGAGTTTTTGTAAGGTATTATTAAAATAATAATTTTTAGTTTTATAATGATATATATTCTATTGATTATTAATTACAAATAAAACAAATAATGCTGATTAATAATTATAATAATAATATTTTGTTATAATATTATATATTATTATTAATAATATTATTAAAATAAAAACATTTATATTATTATGCTAATATTATTTTTTTAATTTATTAATGTTTTTATAATTTGCAGCTATTAAACTTGAAATCATAATAATTAACTCAAAAATACTAAAGTAAATAAAATACAAAAATGATTAATATTCAATTGAATATTTTACATAGATTTTGTAAATAGTATATCAATATTATAAATAATAAATACAATACAATATAAAATATATAATTCAAAATAAAAAAAAGTTGATTCTCTTTAAAGTATAATAATTTATGAACCATTTATAAGTTATAAAAAGAAATATTATAAATAAAAATATTTTTCAATTTTAATCCATAGTAAGTAATTTTAATTAAAATTAACAATTTTCTAAAATTATATGATAATATAAAAACTATTATCAATATTAAATAACTTTGGCTGTATGATTTAAATATAAATATGAAAATTATTTAGTTTATTAATAAAATATAAATTTTAAAAGTAAACTAATAATTTCTATTTATAAACATTGAAAAGTGCAATAATTATCAATAATTTCTTATCAAGATTTAATAAATAATAATAATAAAATAAAATCGACACAGTATATGATATAAGTTATTATTATTATAACTATAATTAACAATAATAAACCAAATAATATAATACTGTATTATAATATAATTATTTTATACTATTTTATTGTTTATACAATTAAATTAGTAGTAATAAAAATTTATAATAAGCTTTAATAATAATTAAAAATTTAACATTACTTATGATCACGTGATTCTCAAAGTATGATCAAATTATATTATTATTTTAATGATAAACAAAAATGTCATAAATATTTTTCAATCATAAGATTTTTTTATATAAATTATATAAATAATAATGTAAACTAAACATTACTGTCCTTAAGATAGTGTTTTAGTTTTTTTTAAAACCACCAAACAATGAGATTGTAATGATGAGGCTTTATGTGGGTCTGTTGGGTGCAATAGCCTGTGCCCTAATGTCGAGCCACAGTTCCAGTCTAAGTGTGGCTATCGTATCGATGGCCAGATATAATAGAAGTGCTGCACTGCTGGACAGCGATGACAATACTGGACAATGTTTTACTGGTATTACTACCGGTGGTAATGGCAGTGATGACAGTTCACAGGAGTCTATTGACACAATTAGAGGTGAATTTGATTGGAGTGAATCATTGCAGGTATGTTTGAATATATAATTATTGTTGATAACTGTGCCGTTCAGGTATTTTATAATGTAATAGTGTGTGTGTGTGTGTGTGACAGGGCATTATACTGGGCGCCAACTTTTACATGTACTTAATAACGCCAACCATTTCGGGCCGTATTACCGAACGTTTCGGTGCCAAATGGATGACCGCATTGACTATTATGATATCGGGCAGTATTCTGGCGCTCATACCTACCGCTGCACACACGAGTGTTGAACTATTGATTACATTGTTGGTTATCCAGGTTAGCTGATAAATTATTTATTGTATTTAAATAAAATTATTAATAATAAACTTTTAATAAAATTTATTTTCAAGTATTATTATTATTAATAATTTAGGGACTGTTTCACGGATGTGTTTTTGCGTCGCTGTTTTCATTGTACGCCAATTGGTTTACTGCTTCTGAGCGCAGTTATGCCATATCAGGGATCGCCGCCGGATCTAATTTTGGCAATTTAGTCACATTTCCTTTAGCCGGCTATCTGTCAAACAGTCAATTTGCTGGCGGATGGCCATCTGTTTTCTATATTGTATGTATGGCACACATACCGTGGCTTATATTGTGGATACTGTGTGTTGAGGACACACCACTGAAAAGTTCCCGCTCCCGACTTATCAAATGCTCAGCCGATGAGTTGGCTTATATACAGACTAATATTAATTCATTTGGTGCACCAAAAGTATATTTTTGTTTGTAATTATATAAAATGTTATAAAACTGTATATTATTTTTTGTTTGTTTAATTATTAAGAGCTCATCCCGTGCCCCATGGATCAAAATACTGACATCCCGGTGCGTTTGGTCATCGATCATATGGAAAATAAGTGCCGGTTGGGGCTATTATTTGCTACTATCAAAAATGCCGTCCTATCTTGATAAGGTCCGTTAGATTTTAATTAATTAACAGAAACTTTAAAAAATATTAACTCTAATATTATTTATTATAATTAATGAGATAATTTTTATTTGCACTGTAGGTATTTGGACTGTCATTACTACAAAACGGTTTATTTAATGCCATGACATCACTGGCCACTGGCCTCACAATGGCATTTTGTGGACCACTATCGGCGTTCATCATCCGTAAGGCATCGCCACGACTTTCAAAGACTGCAGTTCGCAAAATATTTGCATCGATAGCATTGTTAGGTCCGGCCAGTTGTCTGGCACTCATAACAGCTCTGGGCTGTAACTCTCAAGCGGTGATCACACTATTAATAATGGCTCTGTTTTTATACGGATTTATGACTGGCGGCGAGTTTACTATAATCAGTGAGTTTGCGCCCGACTTTTCTGGCACAGTGTTTGGCATTGCGGCCACAATATCGGTGTTTCCTGCATTTGTGGCACCGTATGTGGTGGGCATTATATTAGGAGATAAGGTATGTTTGTATAATTACCAGTTAAGTTAGTATAAATATTAAAAATATATAATTGTTAATATTATAATTAGCCAGGTGAAATAGGGCGCTGGAATCTAGTATTCTACATAACTATAGCTATCTATATTTTGGGGACAGTAGTGTTTGTCATGTTTGCATCGGCCGAACCTCAGGAATGGGGTCTCATCGATAAAGTTAACCGTAAAAAGAGATCAAAATCTATTGACATCATTAGTAAGGATAGTATGAGAGATGCGGCACAAGAAATCTTAACTTGTGTTGAGAGATAGTATAAAAAACTATTGTATTGTTATTATAGTTTAATTGCAGTATTTTTTGTATTAATTATAAAATAGTTTAATAGTTAATTAATATTTAATAGTTTTTAAAAATTGAATAATTCATAAAATGATTTATGAGGTAACATATGGTGAACAATAGCCCAAAGCATTCATATATTTAATGGCCAGTGAATGGAAAGCCTGCGATGCAATCAAAACTGGTTTGACGTTAAAGTTTTCGTCGTAGTAATACCTGGCTAACTGTCGTTTACCGTTTTGTGTGGACACATACGGTTGAAATTGCGGTATCGGTCGACACTCACGATTACAATTGCCCACCTCTTCAAATGAGTGAACAAATGGACTGAAATTTTTGGACAAAAATTTTGGAAACAGTTTGAATTTTACAAGAAATGGCATCCGTTTTACAGCCAACGGTACTATTGTTTCGTTGCGCACCACCTGATTGATGGCACTGACTATTTGGTCCGGTACTGAACACAAGTCACCATAACCGACGTGAAATACGTCTACAACTGGTGTCTTATAATATATGAGTTGATCGACTCCTAAATCTACTGATTCCAATAATCCAGTTTCCTGATTGACATTAGGAACAGTTCGATAGTCAAGTGGGGTCAGGTATCTTCTATCTTGTAGCTGAAATTTTAACATCATTATATTCATTTGATAATTGTGCCACAAATAGAACTGGATGCTAAGTTAATGAATAAAAAAGGAGTTGTATATACTTAAGGTATATATACAGTTAAACATTTATGTCATACTCAATGGGTGCCGTGTCTACTGACATATCTCCACGATATCCACCAAATGCCAGGTGCGTATTAAAGTGTAGACCCGATTGGATAAAGTTGGCTATCAAAAAGCTAGGGCTTAGTTGAAGCCAAATAGTATTTAATTCAAGTCCATCAATAGCCGGTATCGTACCGTTTGGTCCCCACTGGCGTTTTACACACCAGTTTAGATCTAGTTTTCCATATAGAGGACCGTCGGTCACACAAAAGCCCGTATTGTGGACTCCATGTTGACCTAAATAGCGCCATACCATTGATTTTTCTGGTCTACTTGCGTCTAACTGTGCATTCTAGAGGACAGTTGACTAAAATTACTAATAATGTATTTTATGATACTTGTGTATTACAATAACTCACATAATAAGGAATTGTTATTTTAGGATTGATTATTCGCATTTGTTTTTCCAATTCATTGACAAACCACCTGTGCCATGGACCTAACTGTGCTGTTTTGTGTACTTCAGCCCAATAGCGAGCGTGTATACCGGCAAACCTGTCCATAATTCCTTTTTCGTAGAGTACACGTATGACACGTATAAACTCTAGCCGTTCCCGATTTGACATACATTTGAAATCTTTTCGTACATACAGTGTCTCGCATGGCTTTCCTCGAGGCTTAATGTCGGCCTCAAGCATCTTGTTTTGTAGCCATACCCGTGCTGTCTCCAGTTCCTCGGCTGTAAACTCACTTTGATGTGTACACGACTCATAGATGGAGTGTTCACATTGATCTATGAATTAATTTATACAATAATTATTATAAACACAATTTATATTATTGTATTACATGTATATTGATTTAATGTAATAAAATACTATAAATATTATTTATTTATTACATTACTAATACTTAAATAAATATAGAATTTATTAATTAAAATTCAATTATTAATAATAATAATATATAAGTTGTTTAAATTCTAATACTGTAAGTAGTATTACTACAACAACAAAAATTTAAAATTTATTTATAAATTAGCAGTACCTGAATATTGACAAACTATGAAAATAGTAAAATAATTTAGTAGAAAAAGTTTTAATAAAATCATTATATAAAATGTTAATACTTCCACATATAAAGTATTAACATTTAGTCGGTTAAATAAAAATGGGACATAGATTTACTCAATAAAAATTTTAAAAAGTTTAATGAACTGAAAATAAAATTTTAGAATAATAATTTTACAATAGCTTTGAACTAAACTATAAAAATAAACAAACAAAAAATTATATTTTAAAGATAATATAAAAATTTGAAATTTATAATAACAACTATAATATATATAACTATATGGATGTCTTTGGTTTGTTTTTCATTACGTTTTCTGCAAAATCGTCCTTTGAATTACCCGGTGGATTATAACTGCAAACAATATACACTTCAAGCTCTGCACCCGGTTTGCTCATTGATCGGGCACAACCCACTTCAATTGATTTAACCCAAACTATTTGTGTAAATTGTCCCGTTTTAGATGTGTAAATAGGTTTGGAATAAATTTCTCTACCTTTATACCTGTTTGTTTTACACAAAAAAAAAGATATTTATGTCTATCTATCATATATAATAAATAGTAAAAACAATTAAATATTTAACAAGGACAACTTAGACTTAATATAATGTACTAATATAACCTAAAATCTTGTTAATAGAATTACTAATTGTAAAAATAAATGAATTGATCATGTACAATTTCAGTCACAATTTTAGTTTTAAGATACTAAGTCATTGTCATTTTTTTTGCAATACAATCCCTAATAAGTATTATACTCTATAATATAGAGTCTATATAATTAATATACTGTATGAACTAAAAATAAGCAATTTTTTGAATAACATAACATAATTATGATTTTAATAATAAATAATAATAATAATAATAATAAATGGATAAAAATTGTTTAATTCAAACCATGATTTTAATGCAAAGGCACAGGTCGTTCTTTTTTTATCATCTGTTTTATTATTGTAATTAAATAAAATAAATAAAAATTAGTAATATTTAAAAAGATATTAATAATTTAAAAATGCTAAATTGCAAATCCATGATAAATATTATATGTTTAACAAAATATCATACTATGTCCCCGGAAAACATTTTCACCATAGGGTGCAAATATTTTAGCATTGCCATTTCTTATATAATCTAATTTTTCAAAAGTAGTTATTGTAGACAAACGTTTCTTGGCATGTTTTATCAACTTTAAAAATTACAATTAATATTTAATTACTTAATTTTGAAGTTAAAATTGAAAATATTTATTGTAGTAAAAAACCAAAATCTATTAATTCAAATGATAAAGTATTACCTCTTGACTTATTTTAACTGTTGGTGTGTTTTCATGTAATGACCGATATTTGTTGTGTTCAATATTACACTCTTTTTGAAAGTTTTCATCGGTTGCGTCGGGTAATGGGGACCGGGTTTCCACTAATAATAGACACAAACAAACATATGCTAAATAATTAATAAAATTATGTTTGTTGTTGTAATCTTACCTAAATAAGGTACAATAAGAGCAATAAACAATAATTTACACATTATAAAATCGTAAACAAATAATTATAAAATCTAATATTTATTTTAGTAATGTCTGATAAAAATTTTCTAAATATTATAATTCAAAATAACTTTATTTATTATTTTAACTTTAATTAACTACTCTATTAGAGACATTTTTAATTAAATTAATTAATTAATTAATTAATTAAATTTTATAACTAATTATATATATATATATATATATATATATATATGATATAAAATACAGTATATAGTGTATAATACATTTTTTATACTACAAATTTATAAAAATTTAATGAAACTTAAATTACAATTAATTAACATATACAATTTCCAATATAAATAATGTATAGATAAAAAGTGTTATATATATCAAACTATTTAACCAATTTTAATGCAATTTGTTTTAATTCAAACATTAACTCTCAGAATTAATTTAATAAGTTTTTAATAATATCCTCAAGTATTACAAATACAATATATTATAATATTATATAATTTACAAATATTATTATTTTAGAGTGTTTAGTGTAACTTAATACAGTATTATTGCAATAAAAATAAAATATCTTATATTATTATTATTATTTAGTTACATTAATGTTATATTTAACTCAATGTTACAGATTTATTGCAGTACTACTTATACAATATAAGATACTAAACTAAATTATATATAATAGTATTGTGTAAATTGTTTTTTATATAATATTATAGAACTTTAACTATAAATATATTGTATGTATTTGTTATTTGATAAATATTTAAACATAAACATTTTGTTCTACTATATTTATTTTTGTTAGAACAAAATGTTTGAAATAAAAAATAGTATAAAAAGAAATATTAATCATACAGACAATTATAATTTAAATTAATAACAATTTAAAACAAAATATATTAAAAATTATACAGTAATGTTGCAAAAAATAGTTTTTGCATTATTAGCTATGCTTTATGTAGGAAATTCTGCCAAATTGATATCGCTTGATGATATTAAAATCATCAACAACAATTTGAATGAAAAACAAAAACAATTTGTACTAGCTACTGTATTTAACTTGCTATACAATGACACTAAACCCGATCAACTGGCCATAAAACTAGCAAGATCAATGGACAGTAAATATGGTACCGTTTGGATCAGTGATGTCAATATTAATTACAATATCAATACCAAACATTATTCCAGTGTAATTGAAAAACCATACATTCAATTACAATATGAAACTTACCAGATCATTTTACAACAAGTTTACACTTTAGATGCGGTATGTTATTGCAGTTCATATTAAATATTAATTTTAAAAATAAATATTTTTATAACTATTACATTTAATTAATTTAAAATAATTATTTATAATCTGCATCTATAATTGAACAGGCTCATCACATTATTGGCAAAATTGAGTCAGCACGTGCGTCAAAACCTGTAGATATAGATTGGTTGTATGTCCGTCAACCGGCACGCGACACATATATTGAACGTGTTGTCGAAATGTTTCGTCAAAAAACTGAAAATTTCCGACAAAACGATTGCTTAAAATTTAGTGAAAACCAAATGACTGGCGATATTATGCATAACTGTTACGCAATATTAGCAACAGATATCTGTTCCCTATTGAACATTCAAAACAAACCTATAGTCCAGTGCACTGTCGGTGAAACTGCTTATCATTATTCAGTACAATGGAGTGATCAACCATTTTTCAAATTCAACCTGGGTCAATTGAATTTTGCTATATTATTGAAAAGTAATTATTATAATATTGGAAAACTAACAATGTAGAAATTATAGTCTATAAAAATTAAATATTATTTTGATAAATCATTCAATAAATATTTCTATACTATTGCATAAATATGATTATATTTTTAAAAAATATTTTATAATAATATCATATTTATAAAATAGTTTTATAAATACTATAATATATCTATTATAAAAAATTTAATAATTAATATTAACAATTTCATTTGACCAAAAATAAAAATATAAGTAAATTTGTTTAAGTTATTTCATATATCTTATAAAGTATTGTATAAGTTACACTCAACTTATACAGTAATATCAATACTACCGGTACTCAAATATTATAATTATATATAATTTTAAAGAAAACTATGTATTTCATATAAAATAACATATAGTATTACAGTAACAAAATTATAATTCAATTATAATATCTATGCTATAAAATTTAATAATTATTATTTTATTATATATAATAGCAATTTCATTTGCCCGAAATTTAATAAATATAGTAAATTATATTTTTGCATTATTTAATTACTACATTTAACTTAATCTCTATTTACACATTAATACTACTTTAAAATTATTATTTTATACTATCTTTATGAAAACTATATATAGTTAATATAAAATAGAGTACATTAATAATATTTTACAATAAATTATTTATAAGTCAATTACATTACCAAAAGTGATAATGTCAAGTTTAAATATGCTTTTATTGGTAGTGTGAAATAATTATAAATTTTAATCAATAATAAATAAATATGATTAAAGTAATTTTAACATAAAAGAACAAATTGTAACAGTTACTTTATTGATAATAACAATTTATAATTATAAAACTTAATTACAAATAAAGTATTTAAAATATTATATGTATAGTATTAAAAATTTGCATTATACCCGTACAAACATTATTAATGAATTATATTGTAAGTTATTGATTAATATAAATTAAAATTGATTATTTCAATATTAGTACCTATAAATAATTACTGGTATATAATATAGAATATTTATTGAAACATTATATAACTTTAGTACTAACTAAAAATATCAGTAATTTTTAAGTAAAAAATGATAATAAATATAATATATTGATAACCTTTTATAAACTATTGATGAAATCTTAAGTGTTTTCAATATAAAAAAGTATAAATACCGACTTAATTTATATATAAATATATTATTCAATTTTTATATTATTTATTCAATTAGTTTTAAAAAAAAATTTAATAATTGAATTAATATAATGATGCAAAAAATAGCTTTTACTTTATTATCTATACTATATGTGGCAAATGCTGTCAAATTGACATCGCTTGATGATATTAAAATCATCAACAACAATTTGGATGAAAAACAAAAACAATTTGTACTAGCTACTGTATTTAACTTGCTATACAATGACACTAAATCGGATCAATTGGCCGTAAAACTAGCAAGCTCAATGGAAAATAAATATGGTGTCGGTTGGATCAGTGATGTCGATATTAATTTTAGTGTCAATACTAAACATTACTCGAGTGTAACTAACAAACCGTCAATTCAATTGCAATATGAAACCTACCAGATCAGTTTACAGCAAGTTTACACTACGGTATGTTAATTCAAATTACATATTTTTTTTAACAATTTAAAAAATATAAATCTTATTAATATGCTTTAATATAAAATAGAGTACAATTATTAGAAAATAAATTATAAATATTTAACAAACTATTAATTTTACAAAAATATTTGATTAATTAATCAGTCCGATCACATTATTGCCAAAATTGAGTCAGCACGTATGGCTAAACCTGTTGACAAATATTGGACATACATCAATGAAACAGCACGTGCCAATTATATTGCACGTGCTGTTGAAATATTTCGTCAAAAGACTGTAAGTTTCAAACAACACAAGTGCTTGAAATTAAGTGAAAAGCAAATGAAGAACGATTACGACAATAACTGTTTCGCGCGATTGGCTTCAGATGTCTGCTCTGTGTTGACCACTGATACCAATCCGATATCTTTGTGCACATTAGGTGAGATACCCTACCATTTCCTTCATAGACAATGGGGTGATCATCCATATATAAACTTTGAACTTGGTCAATTGGATTTTGCGATCATGTGGAGAAATTTTAAATAATTTTAAATAAAAAAATTAACATTAAATTTATTAATGCAAATAAAATTATTTCTTATCATATATTAATATAACAAATAATTTTTACTGTATGTGTACTATATTTGTAAATTATTTAATAAATTTGTTTTAATAATAAATATCAATAAATAATTTACAGTGTTTCTAAACTATTAATTTTTTTAAATAACATTAATTTTGTTGCAAGTTTTTGAACTTACTATAGTTACATATTTTCTGAAATTAGGTCATATTTTGCACTAAATTATACATATTTTTTATTTTATAACAATTAACAAAATTATTTAAATTAAGCACAATCAATTTTTATCAACAAATATCAAGTTTAATAATATTTCCAAACATAAATAATATAATAATGATTATCAATTGTATATCATTATATTTGTTATTATTATGGCTATCAATGTTGTATTTGTTTATTAATTGCCAAACATGTAAGTTTGTCTAAATAAATATTTTTAAATTTTTGTATACACTTAATAATCTACCTGTGCAATACTAGTTGGTGATGGCGTACAAAATCCATCAGTTTATACAATTGATGCCAACTATAAGTGCGACACAAGTAAATTGATTAAAACAGTAAAACGGGATAATTTTATTGAAAGTAAAGGCGCAAAATGTAATCAAATTAGACGAGAATTGCAAACTGTGGAACTGGATCTGCAGCTAAAAAATGAGACAAATGTTACCATTTTGGTATCGGGACAGTTGTATAGTTTTGATTATGGAGGTACTGTGTGTGTGTGTGCACTTAAAAACTAAAGATTATTATTTTAAATAATTTTATTCATATTTCTAATATTAAATAATTTTTAGGTATTAGGACTACTATATTCAATGGTGAGGTCGACCCACTCGCCACATACTGTGCTGAAGATCGTGTAGTGCTCTACGAGAAGGCATTACCCAAAAAGGGTAATTGTTTGACTGGACTCGTACTCCATGAAGCCTTGTCCTCATTTGTCCGTTTTGGTGGTATATGTGATTCATTTTGTCCGGGAAAAACTATTATTCATTATATTAGACCAATTGGAAATTCATAATATTTATTATTTGAATAAATTATTTATTAAAATAAATTCAGATAAATTTTTTTTACTATATTATAAAAAATAAATCAATTAATTTTTTTATAATAAAATAAAAATGATTAATTATTTTAATTTAATACAAATTATGAAATAAGGTCATGTTTATAATAATTTTTTTTATAATTATAATGAAAACATATTTTTTGTCATATAGTTACAAAATTTACACAATTTTAATTACAACACACATAATTTTGGAGAAAAATATTAACATAAGTAGATTGTGTTCATATAAATGTATTAAAAATATAAATATTAAAAATTATCACACTATTAAGTAATGACATACTATTTTAGATTTAGTTTGTTATTTAAATTATTATTAAATTATTATCTATTAAGTGTTCAATGTTTGACAGGTATTATTAGTTATTTAATATTATTTTTAAAAATTAAGTTTTAGTTATTTATTTATATTTGATATTAAAAAAATAAGATAATACGGAGCGCATTGGTTTAGGTTATGCCGAACCTGAAGCCATCCAAACAATTATTCCTATAGGAAGACCATCACTATATTCTACCGAAGCCAAGTACAGGTGCTATACGGGTGGAGTGATTAGTCGGTTGCATCGATTCAAATTTTATCAGACAATCAACAAACGTTGTAATGAAGTGTCGGGTGAATATCAACAATTCAATTTGAACGCCACTTTACAGTATAATCAGGTGGAAAATCTATCGATTAATACAACTGTTTTTGTTGACGATTATAGAGGTATGTGTTATTATTTTGTTAGTTTAATATAATGTTTTATAATAAACAATATTGCAAATATAATTTATTAACTTTTAGATAATATATTTTAAAAATAATAATAATAATATATTACAGGTATGCGTATAATGGCATTTGACGGTATTGTAGATCCAGATTCAATGTATTGTGGGGGCGATAGGATAGTGTTTTTGGAGATAGAAATGCCTAAAGTAGGCAACTGTGAGATCGGTATATTTCACCATGAATCATTATTGGCATTTGCACGTATTAAAGGCAAATGTGAGGCATTTTGTCCAGGCAAAGTTAACATTCATTATATAACACCACTAGGAAATAATTAATTTTTTTTGTTTATAAAATTATAATAAAAATTTAGTTTACAAAAAAATAAATGAAATTTGTACTTTTTTATAATTTTTATAAAATAATAAACTAAAAAAAATATGTACTCATTAAGTTTATTAGTTAAATAAAAGAAAGAAAATTATGTAATAATAAGGTGATTAACTTTACATTAATTGAATATTTTATATATTTAATTAATTTTTTTTATAATTCCTAACTATTAAAATATAAACTAATTTTCTTATTGTCATTATTTATTAATAGCATACTTACATTATGTGTTTTTCGTTATAGTTATTGTTACACTATTGATAAGTTTTTAAATAAATTATATACACAATATGTTTTATTGGTATTTTTATTGGAAAAATTAATGTTTATAATAAGCATAATAATTAAAATGATCATAAATAATAAATGTTTTTCAAAATAATAATAATAATATCTAACTAATGATTATATTTCGATTTTCTTTGTACTTTAATAAAAAAAATAACTGCAGTGAAATAGATAACAAACTTAACATTTGATTACTATTTATATTTTTAGTATTTAAGATATAGTAGTGTTTATAAAAATATATTTTGATAAAATGGATAGAATAATAAATGTGGCCGCAAATAATGTAAAATTTTAAAAAGGACTAAACCTATAATTATATTTAAATATTTAATTAATTTATTAAAATAGGCTCCACCATATTTTATGATGAATAAATATGATAAACAAAAATCAATTAATCAGTTACAATATGATGGTTTAGATAATAAAATAATGCAAACGTTTCAACATGTTATCAATTTTACTATCAATATTATTGATTGCAACTTTACATGGGGTGCACAAGTAGCTGGTAACAAATGGACAGGCCTAATTGGCCAACTATTTTACAATGTTAGTCAATATTACTATTACTACTGTAGTTAAACATGTAACTAATTTTATTCAAATATCAATAAATTAACCTATTTAATACTTTTAAAAAAATATATCTAGAAAGCTCAAATTGGTATTGGTGCTGTAGGTATGACCTGGCAACGTTTCGAAGCAATTGACTTTACCTACCCTTACCGAGTGGATACATATACATTTATGGCACCGATTGACAAACATATGAGCGTCAGTTCAAATATTTTTCAAACATTTGACACAATATTATGGTTGACACTAATTATAATATCAATCATTTTATTTGTGACAAACAAATTAATTGTAAAAAATTCCAAACAATATTATGATTATATTATGATACCACACATTATATTGCAAACATTATTATTGCAACCATTAGTTTTAAATACATTCAAATATCTATCGACTACACTATTGTTGAGCACCTGTATGTTAGCCGGACTATTATATTCCAAAAGCTATGCCGGAAGTATATACTCCATGATAACGGTTCGAATGGATGAGAATATTAACACAATTGACGAATTAATTAAATCAGCTAGATCACATCAGATTAGATTAATTACTTACAAGGGAACATTAATTCATAATTTGCTATTAGTAAATTATTGTTTATTTTTTTTAATCTATTTTTAATTTGTTAGTAAAAATATTTTAGGAAATTTATTTTTGTTATATATTTAGGATAAACACCTGGGTGATTATGTCGATGGATTGGCCAACAAAACCTATGTGTTTGATATATTGAAAAATAGTCGACAAAAATATGCATTTATAACTAACCGATTGGTCCTAATGTATACATTACAGGCACACAATTTGTCACAATATTATGTTCCCGACGACACTGAGTCGGCAACACTATCGACAACAATGTATGGCATAGCTATGGTTAAGGGATTTAAATATAAGCGACAATTCGATAAAACGTATACAAAAATATTTTATTAGTTTTTTAAAAATAATAATCATTTATGTATTTTTAGTAAAATAATATTTATAAACTTTTTTGTTATTATTATTATTATAGAATATCTATTTTAACATTTTCCGGTTTAATAGAATTATGGTCGAGATTACCAATTAATTTTAATAATTCAAAAAACAATAATGATAATTATTCGATAAAATTAAAAAATATTACATCAATTTTTCTATTATATGTTTGTGGTATTGTATTTTCATGTTTTTATTTAATTTTAGAAATTTCCTACGATTTTATATATGATTTGTATTTATACAAAAAAATAAAAAATATTATTAATTATAAAATGTAAATATAAATTAAATAAAAAAATAAAAATATATGATAAATTAAATTTATAGTTAATTTATAATAATAAAAAATAAATTATGAAATAAATTATTTAAATGTTTGTTGCTATTAATAAATATTTAAAAAAATTGTTTTATTATTATGAAAATTTTATTTTAAGATAAATTAAGTTTTTGTTTATTTTTTAAATAATAAATTATTATAACTAATAATTTATTATAATAATAATACAGTAGTAATAAATAATTAATAATTATTATAAAAATAAACTAAAGAATATTTTTTTTAATTATAAAATGAAAACTCTGAGGAAATTTTTGATATTCTTATAATTTCTACTTTTATTAATATACAGTAGTGTTGGCAAAAAAAAGAAATTTATAAAATAATAGAGAAATTTCTAGAAAGTTTCTAAAAGAAATTTCTATCTATGGGATCCCCATGGTTAATTTTGTTATCTCGATATTATATAACGATCATATAACAATACATTTTTATTATTAATTAAAGAAAAATTAATTAATTAAACTATATTAAACTATGATTTTATAATATTATAAAATGAATAAAATTTTACAAAACTAATTATTATTAAAAAATAATAATTATTTTATATACAGGTATATCATTTATATAGTACTGTACTATACTATATGATTTTATATGTATAGTATTATACTGTATCTTATAATACAGATATTACAATAACTATACAGTAGATGTGGGGATCCCCTAGTATAACATTAAAGTTAAATTTCTCACGGAAATTTATTAGAAACTTTCTATTTTCCCATCTCTAATATACAGTCATTAATATAAAACATATTATTTAAATGAATTACACAATAAAAACAATTGAAAATTTAATTTGAGTGTCTATTCAATAGAGTATTTAATAAATGAATGTTATTAATACCACATATGATATATTTGTAAAAATGTGTTTTATTTTATTGATTTTTTATATACATTGATGATTAGGCATATAATACTTAGGTATAGCTTATTGTTTATTTGATAAAATTTCTGTTTAAAATACTTAATCATAGATAAGCAAAACAGGTTATGTTTATAACACAAATATCAAAACACAAAATTTATTATTTTTTATTTTGAATATAAATATTTTTACAAAAAAAAACAATTTTATTAACAAAAATGGCTATATTTTTTGAGGAAATAATTTTCATTAAATAACATTAAATAATTAATTTAGGTATCGGTTTACTGAAAATATTTTTAAATATATATTATATAATAATAATATATAATATACCGGTATTTAAAAAAATCATATTTTATCATATAGTTAATTTAGTTAAATTAGTTATTCTAGATTATATTAAAATATATTTCTTATAATGTAAACTTACTTTATTAATAAAATTTAATAATTATGGTTTGGATAAATAAATACTTAATCACTAATAGGTTTTGTCTATATGTCTAATGTAGTACTTATTAATGTAAATATAAAAGTTATCAAAATTATTAATCAGTATTTTTATCAAACGTTTAGTTTAGTAAAAACATTTTTTATATATCAAATATTGTATGAATGAAAACATTAAACATTAATCAAAAATATTTACAGTATATATTGTTTGTTAAATATAATCATATGATATATTTAATTACCAAAAATAAAAATTATTTATAATAATTATCTATAAAAATAATTATATATATTATTAATAGATAAACAATTGTTATTAAAATAGTTGTTTGTATTTTGAAATACTAAATAATGGCCAATAAATTATGCAAATTATTGTTATTATTAATATGTTTGTTATGCGCCCAACAAATACCGACAGTATATTTGTGGTCCAATCACGACATAAGTTCATTAGAGTTGTTACAAGTGGTTCACCGACACGGAGACCGAAATCCGGAAAACTGGTTCCCGAATGATCCGTATCTGAATCTAACCAAATACTGGCCCGAAGGTGACGGACAGTTGTCCAAAGATGGCAAATACCGGATGTACCGATTGGGCCAAACATTACGTCGAGAGTACGGCTCATATCTGGGCTCTGGATTTAGTCCGCGCGAAGTGTACGCCCGAAGTTCAGCCAAACAACGGTGTCTCGAATCGGTGTCACTACTACTGGCCGGTGCTTATCCACCAAACAATACTCTCTGGCAATGGAACCGATCATCAACTGAATCACAGTTAGGTAGCGTTTGGCAACCGATACCGATCGACACGTTCATACCGATGGACGAGGACCGGGTGCTACGTCTTCGGGCCAACTGTCCCGCAGCCGATGCAGATCAGGCACGTGTTTTATCCTCTGATCCAGCCGTTCAAGCATTTCAAAGGGAACGCCAATTCTTGGATCAGTTAAGCCAATTTGTGGGCACAGAGTTTAAAACATTGAATAACATCAATGATTTTTATGACACCCTTTCCATTGAGTTCAGTCACAACTATCTGTGGTCTACACATCATCGCTGGTCACCTGAGTTTGAAAAGAATGTATTAACTCGTTTGCGACCATTTGTTGATCTCTATTGGGATCTGAGGTTTAACAGTACACTTCTACAGAGGATACGGGGCGGTCCACTGGTCGACGAGTTGGTCAAAAATATACGAAATTATCAACAAAACCGCGAGTCTCGCAAAATATTTGTATATTCAACGCACGACACTCTGGTTGATGTTCTGATGCAGACATTGGATGTATATAATCATCTACTGGTGCCGTTTGGTTCAGCACTTTTAATTGAGTTACATAGAAACTTATCTACCGGTGCTAATACTCAACATTTTGTTAGACTCTACTACTATAATGAAACACTTGATGATAATAGTAGTCCATATTTGTTGCATTTGCCTGAATGCGATGCTCGGACTGATTGTCCATTGGATCGCTTTTACGATCTGACCCGACAACTGATTCCTGAGGACTGGCAACACGAGTGCGGTATTCATATTACAGATGACTCTTCAAGCATGAGCTATGCAAACATCACTTTATTAGTTCTCAATGCAGTTATGCTAATGGCATTGATAGTAGTTTTAATATATTTGTTTTGTTGCTCCAGGAGGCGCCCACATTATCAGTTATTGAGTTAAATCAAATATTTCTTAATTTTGATAAATTATAATTTAAAAACTTGATTAATTAAATTATTACAGTTTTTAATTTAATATTATAATTTTATAACATTATACAGTAATTTATTAATATTGTAGTAATTAATGTTTAATAAAGTAAATTAATTAATAAACTTAATTTATAATTTTTTTTGTATAATTTTAAAATACAAGCAGTTATTTTATTTAACAATCATTTATTAAAATACTTATTAAAAATATCTAATAAATATTTTAAACTAAGTTTAGCTATAGTTTAAACTTTATTTAAACGGTGTGTCCGGTTTAGGTTCGAGTCCCGGATCGTTAGACATCTCATTTGTTTTGTCCCAATGGGGCGAAAACATACCACACGAGCTCTTGCATTGCCACTTATCGCTACATTTTTTATCACTATCACATGGTATTTTAGTGGCATTGGCTAAGTCACCTCCCTGTTCCAATTGAGTGGTAAAACACCATGTATTCCAAAAGTTACTGGTGCTGGCAGTGTTGCATCGCTTCCAACAATATTTAACACCCTCACCAAATAGTATGGCTGTACAACCAAACGGTTTAGGAGGGGCAGCTGAATGTATATGATATTTAATTAGATAAAAAAAACGTTAACATGCTAAAATGATTAAACATACGTGTAGGTGCAGCAGTGGTAGTTGAGCTATCAGTGCTGACTGTATCACTGGATACCGTTGGGTCACTGGGTTTATCAGTAGATGACGAGGATGAATCAAGTATTGGGCTGCTGTCTACCGGTGCGGGGGAGGGTTTATCGGCTCCGTTATCAGTATCTAAAGGACTACTACTACTACTAGAGTCATCATCTTTTATCCACCACTGACTGTCCGATAGGACACAGCAAACAAATAGTGAAAACACAGAACACGATAGTAAATGCATTGTTAGTAAAACAAGTTCTTTAATATTATGTCTGATATTTAGATTTAAATGATTTTATAAAACTGTTTTAAAAAAACAGAAAAAATAAGTTAATTTTTATAATATTTTACAAGAAAACCTATTTACAGAAAACAATAGCTAAATATTATAATCTTGTTATTAATAAGCTATTGTATAGTTAATATAATATTGTTAAATATATAAAATACTAAAATATTACTTAATGATTTAAAATTTTATTTTAAGAATTACAAATTAATAATATTAATTAAGTAATAAATACTTTTAAGATTAATTTTCTATTTTCTGTATTGAAGTACGATTGTATAATACAAGTGTTTAATTAGAGCTATAATAAAAATATAATCCATACTTATTTTTGTGTTTTAATAAAAATATGTTAAGTTTATTAGCATTTGGTTTATATTTAAAAATTGTATTTAGTTAATGAATAAATTATTATCATAAATAAATATTGTTTTGAAAAATAATTAATTTATATTAATATCAATACTTAGTTATTAAGCGCATGTATACTAAAATAACGGTATTTACATTTATAATTTTTATGCACCCATCCTATTATAAGAATATTTAATAATATTGAATTTTATTATTGCACAAAATTGTTATTGATATTTATAATATAATAAAATAACTAATTTTATTGTTTATTTCTAAACAGATGGTGTAATCTAAAAATTATAAATATAATATAAAGTATATACAGTAAAGTATCAGAGCTGATAATTAGCTATTATTTTATAAACCGATACGATTTTTAATCATCACTAATGTATTGATTATTAATTATTTAAAATGTATTCTTTTTTAAAATAATAGTTTTTATTATAGTTGACAAAAATGTCAAATAGTAATTGAAATATTATTTAAATATTTGTAAATGATTCCCAATAACTTTCCACTAAATTTCCAATAAATTCCCAGTAAATTAACTAATAAAAATATTCCCAACTTAATTTCTCAATAATAAAAATGTTTTCTAAAATTAATATTTAGTTTTATAAAAATTTAAATAAATAAAGAATTGCATAAATATATATATATATAAAACTTTTAATTATCATTATTAATTGAAAATAAAATTATTTAGATTTAAAAAAAATTGTTATTAATTAAAAAATAAACGATATATTACTGTATTTATTATAACATATTACTAATAATAATATTAATATTAAAATTGTCAGAAATAATTATTAATTAACTCTAAATAATTAATTTAAGAATATATCATTATAATGTATTTCATATTAAACTTTAACTAACACATTTTATCATAAAGTTTAGAAAATATAATTATAATAAAATTTATGCTAAAAATTTGAGTTTTCGACTTTTAAAATGAAATAAAATTTATATTTTATCTGTTATAGAGATAAAAATTAAAATAAAATATTTTCATTATTTTTCTGGAAAATTGTTGGGAATTTATTACGAAACTTTTTTCCCTCGTAGAGATGCCCGAACTCTACATATGTTATATTTATTTAATATAATATTAAGTATTTTTAAAATACACTTTTCGTTAATTAACAAATAAATAATTATTTTTTATTTTTAATTATAAAAACAATTAAATTATTATTTTTTATTTTTAATTATAAAAACAATTAAATTATTATTTTTTGTAACATACATTACGATATTACTTAGTGTAAATAAAGTTAAATTGATGTAATTAAATAATTTTATCTATTTTTTTTTGTATATATAAGCTATTAATTTATATTAAAACTAATCTATATAATTTATATTTATGATAATTTAAATGCTATACTAAGAAAAATACACGAAATGTTTAAATTTAATATATTGAAATTAACATAAAAATAGCTTATATTTAAAGTAATATTTAAGACAATAAAATTAATTAGAAAAGTTAAAATAAAATGAATAATAAAATTAAAAATAAGTGACAATATTTCAGTTATACTTTACATAAATAAATTCCCAAATTAATAACTTAGTCTTTGAAATTTTATATTTTAGAAATAAATATTGTTTTTTAATTAATTATTTTATTATTTTTATAAATATAATAAATCATAAAAATATATTATTCATATAGTATTCATATAATATTCATTCAATGGTTCCGTTTAAAAGTAGCTTTAATTTTGCTAAATTACTGCCCGAAAACCCTAAAAGCTATTATTATTACGTGGGATCTACTGCTTATCCGAAATGTGGTCCAACACAATGGGTTATATTCAAACAAACTACTAAACCAGGACTGTCTCACTATGAGGTAAGTGTTCAAATGTTTTATATATTGAATATATATATATAAGACTAGCAGTTATATTATTAGTATTATTATATAATACTGTAGTATTTTATATGCAGTCGAGTGGTTTTAACCACTAGTCTATTAGTTGTTGCTGTTGATGGTGATATTGATGGTGGTGTTGATGGTGATAAATGAATTGATACACAAGTTATTAGATAAACATGTTTGTAATTTATTAAATTTTAATAATCAATTAGATTAAATACATTGATTAATATATAGTAATAGTATAACATTTGATTGTATAAAACTTAGGATAATACATCAATGAGTTGATGTCTTAAAAAAGTGAATCCTGTATCCCGTATAGGGATCTCATTAACAATTGCTTTTATATTACATACTGTTGAGGTCAATGGCTCTGGTACTTACCAATCAGAGGTCAGATTCATTGTTGCATTAGTACTCCATTTAAGGACTAAGTATTGATGCAACTTATGGGACATGTTTGGAGGTCTGTAACTTATTAGGGTTTGGTGGTACAAAGATTGTACCCATTAATTATTATTTGTTTATAGTTATAGTACTCTGAAATCAAATTTGGTATAAATCGCTACCCGGGAAGTATTAGTTTTGACTTTAAAAGTTTAAGTTTTTTAAACCAAATAAGCATTGATAGGGAGAAAAATATAAAACATTAATTAAACGCAGTTGTCTCAATAGTGGACAACACATATTATAAACAAAATAGATATATTGAGAAATTTTTTTTAAATAAAACATAAAACTATTTATTGTTTAGATTTAATTTTTTCCATATGTCTTACATATATATAATGTGTTAATATTATTTTGCTATAGTTATCAATAGTGTCTTGATTTTCAACTAAAAAAATTATTTTGTCGGTTCAACGCTTATAACTGGGACTTAGTATGTCCACCGAAGTTGACCAGTGGACGCTATTTCGGAAATTTTATTATAACTATAAATAACTATTTGTTGGGTTAGCAACTATAAAAACTTATAAATAATTATTTCATTGATTTTGAAAAATATAAGCATTAAATTGTAAAATTAAGTACAAATATATGTAAAAACAAAAAGTAATAATTATATAAATTATATAAAATGTGTAAACTGTTATCAACTCATATTACTTTTTTAACAATAGAAATACTTAGTTTATTTATATAAATCATTTTTGTAAATATGCTGCAAACGAATGAATATATATCAGTTGAAATATTTATAAAAAAATAAATAACTATTTCAATAACTATTTGGCTTTTTTAGCAACTATATACAACTATTTAATACAGTTTAAATAACTATTTTAAAAACTATTTGACTTTTTTAAGCAACTATTATAACAACTATTTAATAGAGTATAAAAAATTATTAATCAATACACTAGTTATCAACATTCCGTACCATAGATGACAACCCGTTTAACGGTAAGACACCAAAGGTTTTGCAAAATAGAAGACATTTGCAGCCATTGAACGGGCGATCCATTTGGAGTTCAGATTAATTAATTAAAAATATTTATTACAAATATTTCTAGAAACTTATGATTTGACTATTTCTATATTTTAATATAATAAACTCAATTTTATTTTTTTATTGATTGCTAAAATATAATTAATTAATTAATTAATAAAACTAAACAATAGTTTGAAAGTTTTATTACAACATATTTAAATTATTTACATAAAACATTAACATTGTACTTTTTTAACCTAATATTATTTAAATGCTTTTTCATACATGTTTTGTAATAATTATTTTATTGTATTATATTATGACTAATAAAAAATAAAATTATTTTCGTTAAATATGATATTTTTGATATTATATTTATATTATTATAATTACATTTATAAAACATTGACTCTGTATTGTATAAACAATAATACTGTATTTACAAATAAATTAATATTTTATTAATATTTTAATATCGTTTCATATTATAAGTAAACAATAGTTTATATTTATATTACAACATTTATTAATTTATTTACATAAAACTTTGACATTGCAATTTTAAACCTAATATTATTAATATATAAATACATTTTAATACGTGTTTTTGTAATATGACTAATAAAAATAAATAATTTTTGTTAAATATTATATATATATTAATTTCTAATTTTTATAATTACATTTATATAACTTCGACTCTGTATTGTTTAAATAATAATATTTACAAATAAAATAATATTATTTTAGTACAAAAAAATTGAATATACAGTATATAGTATAATATTTCATAATATAATTGTAAAAATATTTTTAATTATAAGAAAGTATCGAAAATTATATAGAAATTTATAGAAATTATTTGAAAAACAAAAAGTTTTTAATGACTTTTTAGCATAATTTACTGTTGATGTAAAAAATCAATGTTTCATTTAATAATAAATGTTATTTACTATTAATATATCCTAAAAGTCTTATATACGATATAAAGAATTATAAATATTTCAAAATTATCAATTAATGTTATTTCTAAATATTTTGTAGGAATAATCTGTATAATAATATTTATAATTATTGGAAATATTACAAATATAAGTCATTTATTTGTTGTTTAATTAGTTTTTGTTATATATTATATTTTCAATATCATACAAATTCAAATGATAAAGATTAATCAATAATTGTTGTCTATTATTGTATTTATTGCTAAATTATTTTTAATATATAAACCATTGTACTCATGCATGTTATTATACAGTATATTTATATTATGTTAATGTGTATTTATTAATCAATATATTCAACATATATCAATATATGTATATATATCTCAAAATATGTAAAAGTCACATAAACAGTATTGTTAGTCATTTATATTATATTAAATATTCAATAACTAAATTATATCATTAATATTTGTGTTTTATTTATAAAAATATTATTTCTAAATTGTAAATATTTTACAACAGTATTATTAATAACATATTATAATTAAATTTATAGTAACATAGAAAAAAAACTTTATGATATTTTTTTCCTTTACATAGACAATAATAGAGTACAATATACTGTAACAAATACTAAAAGATTTTTTTTGACATTTATACATGTATTTGCTTTAAACATTAATATATTATTATATTAATAATATATGAATATTTATGTACTAAGTTTTGGCGAATGTAACCTATTTTTTAGATTAATTATATAAAATAAAATATATTTTAATAATATATGAAATATTCTATTATATGGTTCAGTTTATATATGTACTGTATATTCTGTATAAATAGATATTAACAATATGTTTGTACAATTGTAAAGATTATATTTTAGTTTAGTTATTAATCGGAAATCAATAAAATGATTGATAAACTATCATATAATTAACTGTATTCTAATTTATCTTATGATATATTATTTTTCATATATTAACACAGAAAGTTATTTCATAATAATTTCAATCTATTAAATATTAAAAATAAATATAAAAAACTAAAATTTTGTTTTTTAGTGTTTTTTGTTATATATTTTATTATAAATACATGTATATTGTATAATAATGACCTGGACAAAAATATTAACAATATTTGGAAAATATTACAAACAAATTTTATTTATTTTTTGTTTAATTGGTTTTACTTATCACATTTATACTATCAGTGATATATATTTTCAATATCAAACAATTACTAGTATTCAAATTGAATCGCCAAAACTAATTCAATATCCAGCTATTACTGTATGTATTGCTAAAGTATTTTTATTATCAAAAATTAACATGGTAATTAATAATAAAACTAAGATAATAATAATAAATAAAACACTAGATGATCATATTACTCTCAAGGATGCCTATTTAATGCTAGATAATTTAAACAATCAAACTGTCCAGAGTCAATTTGACTCAATAGCACCGATAGACAAATGGTTTGAATGTCAATTTATAATCTATGAGAAAGTTCATTCATGCTTTAATTTTACACTATCATTGGAAAACAACTATTTATGTTTAACAGTATTTCATAAATATTATCAAAATTTTCAGGAATTTGAAAATTCCGATTATTATTTCAAAATAACAATAAAACCTAAACTATTGTTAAACATAGCCTACAATGTATACGTGAGACTACATGCTAATGGCCTAACAGTACCCCGATTTGATAAACGGACACAATTTTTGAATCTATTGAACACTGATGACAATTATGTACATTATTCCAGATACACATTTGTCAATCAAGTTGGTCATTGTGGTAAATTGAGCATGATAGAAAAACGTCAAATGGCTAATACATTATACGATTGTTTTTATAAATGTTATGTGGATTTTATGTCTAAAAAATTTGATCAATGCTCTGGTTTTTTGTTATGTTATAATCATAGTAATCATAAACCATTATTTGATAGACATAGTTATAATTTTTCCACCATGGCCATTCATTGTATGAACTATTGTTATAATTTAAAACAATGTTATACTGAATATTATAAAACTGATATACAAAATATTGAGAAAAATCAAAACAATAAAAGTGTTTCAATTAATTTGAAACCAAAAACACCGATGTTTTTAGTTTACGAACAAAATCTTAAACTATCTATTGATGAATACTTGTGTCTATTGGCCAGTATATGCAGTCTATGGTTTGGTATATCAATAGTAGGTATAACACAAATAGCCTGTAATGACTTTTTCGATGAATTCAAAAAGTTTTATTTAAATGTTAAATATTATTTCAATCAACAATTTTTTACAGTTAACTCACAAACTATTATAGTTAATGCACGTATTAGATTAAAATAATTTTATTAAATGTTAAAATAATAATTAAAATGATTTTTAAAACTATCAGTAACAAATATGTAAATTTATTTGTAACTTTAAGTCATATTTGTTTCATAGTATTAACATATATTTATGATTATTTATGTATATTTTATTTATTGTAATTATATTAACATACTGTATAATCTACAATATGATGAGTTATTATAATTAGTATTACAATATTTTAATGAAAATGTCAAAAATTATGATTTTTAAGAATAATTGTTGATAATCTATTTTTACAATATTGTATCAATTATTATTTAAATACAATAAAAACACATATTAAATGTATATAGAATTAAAATAATGATAAAAAGTTATTTGTTATAACCCACACTGAAAACTAAAAAAAATCATTTTCAGATCTAATGTCCTCCAATTGGTCCCAGTTTACGGATCAGATCCTCCGGTACATTACGTACTGACCACATGACATAAATAAATGATATGATTGCCAAACACATACTGATAAACTCGACAAATACAAAGCTGTCGGGAACTACCTCAACGTATTTGGCTATAAAATACGGTAAAAACATATAGATTGCATTATAGGATCCGATAAATAGGCCGCCAATCCTATCGGTAACTTCGGTGTATTGGCCGACAAACGAATACAAACATATAAATATAGATGAATAACCAAAACATATGACTACCGATGAGGCCAACAATAGTTTGTAGTCGTGTTGAGAGAAATACTGGAATATATAGCCGACAAATACGATGACAGACTGATAGGCAATCATGTGCTGGGGTTTGAGGTAAAGTGCAATGAATACACTAATACCGCGGCCAAAGGTCAGAGCCATACCAACGTATGAAAACATTTCGCTGGCGTCGTTGGCCGACAACCGCAGCGGACAGAACTGGTAGAAAGTGGGCGCAAAATCCATATACATATTCTCAGACATTATACCAAATGCCAAGTATAGGGAAACACATATAATGATTGTACGTTTCGGTACAAACTCTTTATACCGTTGTTTCTGTGCCTCAGTCTCTATAACCTCAATGTTTGAGTCGTTACTCTTTTTATATGGTTTCAAAAAATACATAATCATATACATAGCGGGACCTATTATTTTTTAAATTAACACAATTATGAATAAATTTTAAACTAAACAAAGTTTATTAATAATTATAGTTTTTAATAAAAGTATAAATAAGTGTAACCACAATTAAAATTAAATGTTAATAATATAATTGTTAAATCTATTATTTTTATAAATATTAATTTTATTAAATATTGACAGACATACCTAACATTTGCAATAGACCTCCGATAAGTAGCGGCATCTTAAGCCGTGGCCTACGATCGTATGCCAAACATTCAGGTGTACACAGATTTTCATGTATACCAGCGTTTTCAGTGTCAACTGTCCTAAACTTATGCCAATGATTGCGAAACATAATAACATCATCAGTAGTCATGTTTAAGGCATCTGTGCTATTAAAATGTGACAAACAGTCTTCGGGATAAACACCGGGACATATCTGTTCTCCCAAAACAAAGTTTCTGTCTAAAAGTGGTCCCAAAACAGTTCCCATACCGTATATGAATTGTGAAAACTGTAATATCGATGGACTCCTATTTTGCCACATTTCTATTAGTATGACATTATTGGACCCATTCCAAGCACCGACACTCACACCATATATAAATATACAGCCATACAAGTGCCACAATGATGTTGACCACGGCTGAAATATTGTGCCCAAACCTTGCAACACAATCAATATGGACAGGGTGATTTGACGGTTTACATATTTAAATATGATTGTTACTGTTTTCAAAAAAATAAAAAAAATAAAATATATACATTTGTTATCAACTTATTTATTTATTATGTTCAAATATTTTATTTTTTGTAATGATTTTAATATATGAAAATTTATATTTTATAGTTACGAACCAAATGATCCAGTAAATATGCCAATAGCTTGAAACATTGGAAACAGTCCTATCCATTGCATCTCAGTGTGCAATATCTCCCTGTAGTCAACAAATGCCGGTGCCATACTCGATAATGTTAAACCCTGGTAATGTTATAAGGATTAATGATTTCAAATTTGCTTAAACTTTAAAACTTACAAATACTAAATGTATATAATTATGAATCATTGTATAAATGATTTTTTGCCAAAATGTTAGTTCCCGATGATCCTTAATGGGCACCTGGATATTACTAAATTTGTTACTATTACCAAAGTCATAAGTGTCACCATTTTTCAAATATGTCATTTTTTATTGAATGTGTATAAAAACTTTTCTTTAAAAAAATATATATATATAAATAAATTTATATATATTTGTTTAATAACACATATGTTTGACAATATTATGAAATATAAATAAATATGTTTTCTATTATTTTTTTCGTAATATATAGTATTCGCAATTTTTTGGAAAAAAAGTTTTATATTTAAATACATATTAATTTTTTTATTCTTTTTTAATTTTTCAACATTTATTTTTAACTTTTAAATTCCATTAGATATTAACTGACATTTATTAATTTTTGCTTATAAAACAAAATTGTCATTTAGTATTTGAGTTACTGTTTGAGTTTATAATTATATATATATATATAATAAATAATATTCATAACATTTAAATTAAATTAAATTTTATAGTAACTATAATAAATATTTTTGATTTATTTAACAATACATCTAAAAGATTATTAAACATTAAGATATCAATATTATAAATAAAGACATTTTAAAAAAATCTATTATTTTTATTTCATATGTAAAATAAAAAGTGATTAATTGTAGAAATTGACAATAAAATAAAGTGTTAAAAGTTAAAAAAAAAGTGCAACATAAACATAAACTTGATTTTTATTTTAGTGTAAATAAAATGTATTTTACAATTATTTTATTCAAGTGCATGATCAATATAAAAAACATAAAATACTCAATAATAAAATTAGTATATGCTTATTAATTATTTAGATATTATTATTATAAAAAAGTATATTTTATTTGAATCTGTAATATAAAAAAGTAAAATAAAAGTTAGTATATAAGACATTAAATATTTATTATTTAAAAAACATTAGTAAATTAATTAAAATCCATATTGTAAAATTATATATAATATTACATAATCAATACAAAATTGTTCAAATTGTGAAATATTTAATAAAAACAATTTCATAATATAACTTTTATGCAGTCCAATTAAAACACTTTAAATTTATTTATTATATATTAATATATATATATTTATAATATACAATATTTGTAATTAAAAATATTATAAACATCTTTAATATATCAATTATATAGTTAATAAATTGTAATAGAAAATAAATAATAATACATCCGAAATTGAGTATTAAATATTTTTTATTTATAATATTTAATGTATATTTATTATTAACAGTAATAAAAAGAAAAATATATTATAAAATAAATTACAATAAATTATTTATTTAAATACTTAAAATTAAAAAATAATAACAATTAGGAATTTTTTTTATTAATGTCCAGCAATTGGTCCCAATTTACGGATCAAGTCTTGTGGGACATTCCTAACGGCCCATAAAACATAAATAAATGATAGTATAGCCACACATAAACTGCTGAACTCAACAAACACAAAACTGTCGGGAACTACCTCAACATATTTGGCTATAAAATAGGGCAAAAACATATACACCGCGTTGTAGGCGCCGACAAACAGTCCGCCAATTCTATCGGTAACTCTCATGTATTGTCCGACAAAAGAGTACAGACATATAAATATTGATGAATACCCGAAACATATGATAATTGAGCTTGCTAATAATAGTTTATAATCATTTTGACCGAAATACTGGAATATATAGCCAATAAATACTATTACCGACTGATAGGCAATCATGTGTTGCGGTTTCAAATACATGGCTATGAATACACTGAGACCGCGACCGATGGTCAGTGCGATCCCGATATAGGAGAACAGTTCTGACGCTTTGGCGGCCGACAGCTTTGCCGGACAAAACTGGTAGAAAGTGGGCGCAAAATCCATATACATATTCTCAGACATTATACCAAATGCCAGAAATGTCGAAATACAGACAATTATTGTCTTTTTCGGTACAAACTGTCGGTACAGTTGCTTCTGTTCGTCGGTCTTCACGACCTCTATTTTGGTGTCGTTGTCAAAGTGATAGCGTTTTACAAAAAACATTATCAAATACATAACAGGTCCTATCAATTCAATAATTTCATTGAAAATATTAATTCATAAATTATATAAAAAAATTTATATTTCTAAATAATACTACTGTATAATAAAATTATTGGATTATCAAATTATTATTATTAATGTTTAGTAATAAATAATAATCTAAATTATTAAAATAATTAATTTTCTTTACAATTTTAAATGTAAAATATTTTATACTCAAAGCTATAAACTTTAAATTAAGTATAAGTTGTTATTTATGTTATGTAATACAAATTTATTTGAGAAAAATAAACTAAAAAATTATTTTAAATTAATTGTATAAATTTATATATAATACTGACCTAACATTTGTAACAGTCCTCCAATAAGTAAAGGTATTTTCAGGTTAGGCCTACGATCATAGGCCTTACATTCAGGAGTACACAGATTCGAGTTAGACAACAATGCAACCGATGATGTGTTAGCATTGTGTATGGGTTGCTGTGTTGTACCCATAATTGTAGCGACACTATCCTTACAGTCGTCGGGCCAAACACCAGGACATACCTGTTCGCCCAACACATAGTTGGTGTCCAGTAGTGGACCTAAGATAGTGCCCACACCGTATATGAATTGAGAAAACTGTAATATCGATGGACTCTTGTTTTGCCACATTTCTATGAGTATAACATTGTTGGACCCGTTCCAGGCACCTATACCAAACCCATATACAAATATGCACAGATACAGGTGCCACAATGATGTGGACCACGGCTGAAATATTGTACCAAACCCTTGCAACACAATCAATATGGACAAGGTGATTTGTCGGTTTACATATTTAAATATGCCGGTCACTATTAGGTTTAATATACAAAAAGTTAGAAAACATTTTATCTACCTTATTAAATATTTAATAATTTAATTTGTTTTTACCAAATGATCCAGTAAATATGCCAATAGCTTGAAACATGGGAAACAGTCCTATCCATTGCATATCAGTGTGTAATATCTCCCTGTAGTCGATAAATGCCGGTGCCATACTTGACAAAGTTAGTCCCTGTTAATGTATACGGTATATCATAATTTTTTAAAAATAATTTTTAAAATTCAGCTGAATTTGATTTTTTATAATTATGTTAAAAAACTTTTAAAAGTAAATTATATACAAAACTTACAAATAGTAAATGTATGTAATTATGTATAATAGTGTAAATAATTTTTTCGCGAAATGTTAGGTTTCGCGGATCAGTGACCACTTGATTATTATAATCATTTTTAACCTGGCCACTTTCTACTTTAGCAATGTTGCCCCCTTTAGCGTAAGTCATTTAAGTAATTTGTTTAATTGATTAATTTTTTAAATTTAAAATTTACAAATTTTATTTTAAAAATACAGTTATTGTATAATTTATGATAAATATAATTGCAGATTAAACAAAAACAATATTATTAATTGATATAATGTCAATTTTTTATGATATTAAAAATTGAATATCAAATTACATTTATGTGTACACAATATCACAGTTAAATGTACTGTCACAGTAAATAAAATAAATGTTAGGAATACCGGTATTTTTTTATAAAAACAATAGTTTAGAATTTAACATATAAGTTTATATAAATTTCATTTATTGTAATAAATTTTTTTTATTAATTTATTATATTATTTTCAGGTAAACATTAATTTATTATATTTCATTTTTTATCATCAATTAATCTAAGATTAATGTCATAATTTTCCATTAATTATATAAAAATCAAGTTTTATTTCACATATTAATATAAATATTTTAATTTTTATAATAATTTATTTTAATTGTTTAGATAATAGAGAGATAATAAAAATAACTAGCACTAATTATTAAAAGATAAAATGTTTAACATTATTGTTATAAAATAATTTTGATTAATATTGAATATTTTAATAAATAACTAAAATATATTTAAACTAAAATTTAATATTCATATTATTCATAATAAAGAGTTCGACCTGAGTGTTTTTTAAATTAATAAATAATTATATCAAATAAACTACATAAAAATAGAAAATATTAAACATTTTTAAACTTATAAAAATAAATAGCACTAAAATATAAAAATTTAATTAACTATAAATAACTAACATAATGTAGATTTTAATTTAATATTATTGCATCAATTAGATTAAAATATTCTACTTTTAGATTATTGACAGAACAATAACTTTATATAAAATATATTTTCTCAGATATTGTACTAAATATTATAGTTATAATAAGAAAAATTAATTTATTATATATATATATATATTAATACAAGTATAAAATAAGATTTTAGCACTTATCAAAATTTGTTATACATGTATGACGTTATAAATTCAATTATTTATTGACATATTGTAGTGACAAATAAAATTATAATTTTTCAAAAAAATGTACATGTACAGAAACACACGTTTGTGTAATTAAACAATTATATATTAATTAAATTTAATTAATTAATTAGTTCTATAATTTATCTTATCATTTATTATTTCATACCTTTGGTACATTTGATAAATATACATTATTTACATATGAATATATATATATATATAATTTTATATAAAATTAATACTACAGTTACATTAATTAAATAACTGAAAACATATAAAAACACATATACAAAATATTTGTATTAATAGAATTAAGATATATTGATAATTGTAATCTTTTTAGTCAAAAATTACATTTAAAAAAAACTTTATAGACTCTATAAAAAAATCTCTAAAAGGTTTTTTTAAAAACAAAATTACATACAACTTATAAAATATTAACAATACTTTTATTATAAATATAATATATATATATAGTTATAAAATATGAATTATATAAATAAAATATCATAAATAGCAAAATAATGATAAAAATACCTACCAAATAAAATGGTAAACATAAGTTATGGTTGCCCACAATTATAAAAGACTAATTTATTTGGCACCGGGATGATAATTAATGTCCGCCTACCGGTGCAATTTTTCGGATCAGGTCGTTCGGCACATTGCGTACAGAATATAATACATAGGAAAATGCAACGATAGCCACACAAACACAGGCCAACTCTAGAAAGACAAAACTTTCCGGTACTATCTCCACATATTTGGCTATAAAGTAGGCCAATGGCATGTATAACAAGTTGTACGATCCGATAAACAGACCGCCCATTCTATCGGTAACTTTCATGTATTGGCCGACAAACGAGTACAGACAGATAAATATTGATGAATAGCCAAAACATATGATAATTGAGCTGGCTAATAATAATTTATAGTCATACTGAGCGTAATACTGGAATATAAAGCCTACAAATACTATAAGCGTTTGATAGGTTATCATAACCCATGGCTTTAGGTAGACAGCAATGAATACACTCATAAAGCGGCCGATTGTCAGCGCAATACCGACATATGAGAACATTTCGGACGCCTCGCTGGCCGGCAGTCTGACCGAACAAAACTGGTAGAAAGTGGGCGCAAAGTCCATGTAAATCATTTCAGACATAATACCCGTTGCATTGAATATTACAATACAGGCGACTATTGTCTTTCGCGGCACATATTTACGATACCTTTCCTTCTGTTCCTCGCTCTCTAATGCCTCCACTTGAGTCTCTTTGTCAAAATGATACCGTTTTACAAAAAACATTGTAAAATACATGACAGCACCTATAGATTGTTGTATTAATGTAAAAGAAAAACAAAAATTGTTATTAAATATCACGATATAATTTATAATGTTATTATTCTACAGTAAATTAAATGTATTACTGTATTAAACAAATAGACAGCAAAATACCAAAAAAACTGATAACAATAATACAGTATAAGTGTTCACAAACTGTAAATATAATTTACTGTATTTTTATTATACAATTTTATTGTACAATAATTTAGAGTTTGATGTTTATATAAATAAATAATTATGAAATACTGACCTAATATTTGCAAGAGTCCGCCAATCAGTAACGGTATCTTTAGTTGCGGTCTACGATCATAGGACAGACATTCCTGATCGCACTTGCTTTCCGATGCATACAACTGACCCGAAAAGTTAGCAGTAATTGATTGACTCACTAACGATGACATTGTAGTGCCGATAGTAGTTGGACCAGTAGTACAGTCTTTAGGGAAAACCCCGGGACATATCTGTTCTCCCAACACAAAGTTACGGTCCAACAGCGGTCCCAAAACTGTACCCAAACCGTACATGAATTGCGAAAACTGCAAAACAGACGGACTTCTCGATTGCCATAATTCGATGATTATGACATTATTGGTACCATTCCAGGCACCGATACCGAACCCGTACACAAATATACAGACATACAGGTGCCACAATGATGTAGACCAGGGCTGAAATATTGTACCCAATCCTTGCAACACAACCAACGCTGACAGTAATACTTGACGATTGATGTATCGAAATATGACAGTTGCTAAACAATTGACACAATTATTAGATTTATATAAACTATTTGTTTATTTATTTATATAAAGTTTAATTACTAAATGATCCACAAAATATGCCAATAGCCTGAAACATAGGAAACAGTCCTATCATTGACATCTCTGTGTTCAATATCGCCCGATAGTCTACAAATGCCGGAGCCATACTCGACAGTGTTAAGCCCTTTAGCAAACATATAATTAATTAATTATTAATATTATTTTTTCAACATTTAACAAATAGATTAATTAATATTAAATATAACTTTTTAAAATAAATATTACTGTATATACTGTAAACAATAGTTACTTACAAACATTAGATGTACATAATTATGTAAAAGTGTATAAATAATTTTTTCGCGAAACGTTAATTTGCGTCTATCGTCCAATTTATTTTTATGGTCAATGTTCCCATTTTCAACATGCTCATTTTTAGTTTTGCCATTATTTTGGCCGGCATTACTATTTTTAGCGTAGGTCATTTTTTATTTATTTTATCAAAAAAAATTAAATAATAACAATAATTAAAAATAACAAACTAGATTAAATTTATAAACAACACACAAAAACTACTAAACAAATTAAAAGCAAAATCTAAAATATTTTTAATTTGTTTTTTTTAATATTTATTTGCAACTAAAATTAATTTTTAATTTAAAATAAACTTTCATAGTTAACTGATCTATCACATATATTATTAAAAAATAAATTCATTGAACACAAGGAATACCCTTTTTAAAAAGTTTAGTTTAGTTTAACACATAATATATATGTTTAGTTTTTATAATTTTATAAAAACTTTGTAATAAAATTTTAATTACTTTATTAGTGTATTTTTTTAGCAATCGCAGTTTAATGATAGGTATTTTATCAAAAATTAATCGGTTTTGTCTAATGTCAAAATTTCCACAAAAATTTTTATGTCTAATTTAATTTTCCATTGATTATCTTATGGATAATTTTATTATACATAATTATATAGTCTTAATTAAAAGCGTGTCACATCAAATTAGTTAATTTAGATTTGTAAAAAAAATTATCAATCTAGATATATCATATTTTACTGGGTGTCTATATTTTAGATCTTTATCATATAATGTACCAGTATATAAAGTTTATATAATGAATTACTTTAGTGTTAATTAATTTTATTAAAATTTACTAATTTATATCTTATGCATTATGCATATGATGTAGTTATATTTAAAATAATATAAATGTTACATAATATGTTTTAAATTAATAAAAATAGTAATCTAATCATTATCTAAATCTACTGTAATCATTTATGATATACATTTAAAAAAAATTATTTTATATTTTTTTAAAAAAGATATTAATAATTACATATACATATTACAATATATGATATTAAAATTGCATTTGCATTAAAAAATACTTATGTAATACATATATTGTTTACATTATTACAAAATTACAAACTGTCTAAGTTTCATGGATGATAAAAATTATCAATGTATTGTCTAGCTTACATAAAAATAATTTAACTACCTGTATAGTTTTTATTTTACAACAATTTTAACTAATAAAATAATAATTAGTAAAATAAGTGCATTTAATAAAAGAGTAAAAAATACAGTTACCTATTTATGATAGTGTTTGTGTACATGTATTAATGTATTTACAAATAATAAATTAAGGGTTATTAATTTTATAATGAAATGTCAATTTTTATTATTACTGACTTAAATAATGCACCGGTAGTTTTTAACACACGTTTTTGTAGTTAAAATATTTACCGAGTGATAAACTAAGTAATGATTTATTTTAATTTTATAAAAATATTTATTATATTATCGCTTTAAAATTAAATTATTTGACAAATTTTAAATATGTATACTAATTTTAAAATATAAATAAATGTTAAATGTAAACTAAAACATTATTAAATAATTTTTATTTAAAACTTTTATTATTAATTACTTCAATAATAATCTTATTAATATTATATATAATAAGTGCATATTTTATATAATTAATATTAATAACATATTTTTACTTACTAAATCAAAAATATTAAATTATATTTTATTATATTATTATGCAAAATAGTAGTATATCGTATCATACAATTAATACAATGAAAATAATTATTAAGAAAAAAATATTAAAATAATTATAAAAAAACAATCTTAAAATAATTATTCAGAAAACAATCTTAAAATTATAATGAAAAATACATTTATAATATTATAAAATATGTTATTATATGCATTATTTTTATAAGTTTATATAAACTTGTATTGCATAGAATATTTATTAAATAAATCAATATAAACAATAATTATTAGTAAACTCAATAAATATTGTTATTTATTTATGATCATTACACAATTATTAAATATCAATATATATTTTTTGTATTTATATTTAGAAAAAATATTGTTTAACTCAGAGTTAAATACAGTATTATTTTTACACTAGAATTTTAATATACAATATAAAATTTATTATTATTTTTAATATACTCTTAACTTCCAATACATTAGGTTAATAAAATAAATATTAATTATAAAAATATATTTTTTAGTTAAACATTAAAGTCTAACAGTATTTTTTAGTTAAAATAAATCCAAAATGTCTATCAATTTGAAAAAGCATCATAAATTTCATTCACATTTTGAAAACATTAATAATAGTAATAAAGATAATAAAAGTAATATTGATAATAATAATAATAATAATCATCTATTTGTTGATTTAGAAAATTTTCTATCAAATTATTATGTTCTTATGTCACCAACAATTAATAATTACAAACCTATACAACAACAACACATTATTAGAAAACGTAAATTAATTATATTATGTTTCAGATTGTGTGAGATTATCTATACATTGCGTTTTCTTATAATAATTTTGGTAAAAAATCAATGGATAAATGATGCCCTATTATCTAATGCTTATTATTTGATTATAAATTCTACATTAATTTCTAGTTTTATGTTTGTTGGCCATACATTTGTTATGATATGCGGTTTAATACTACTATATTTTGAGTATAATCAACAATTAACAATCGTTGACTATCTATATCAAATTAAAATCAATACCATAGATATTCAATTGAACCGTAAATATAGACACCTATTTGCAAAACTGGTAAAATTTTATCAAAAATATTTTTCTAGTAAACTGTTGGCAAATTTGATTTTGAATTCATATATATTACATTTGGCTCCACCAGTATATGCCTATATATTTGAAAGTAATCGCAATTTTAATTTATTAAGTATTATGATATTTATTTTACTATCAATGGTAGCCATTTACAGTTTTTTCACTGTATTCATTGGTATGACAAAAATGTGTTATTTACCATTAGCTTATTTGAGATATCAATTCATGCAAATCAATGATACCATTGTCCAGGCAATCAACTTACACAATATGGCCATGCTACTAAAATCAATTGAGCAACATAATCTATGTTATCTATGGGTTATCAAAGTTAACAAAGTAGTCAACTATCTGATAGTTATATTATATTTTGGACTAATACCTCCACTAAATATTTGTCTGTATTTGACTCATGCATCGGACACCCGGGTGTTTACTCGTATAGCTACTGGACTAATATTTACCGTATGTTTCAGTGTAATAGTTTCGTTGAATTTATTTTGTGCCTCAGTGTCTACCAGTGCTCACAAACCAGTCAACTATATATACAAATGTATGCTTTGGAAGAATCAGTCACTAAAATCTCGTTTGAAAATTATTAGTTTCATTGAGACGCTAACCGGTCCGACCATTGGTTTCTATTGCTATACATTATATCCGATGAATAAATATTATTTTTATAGATTTATCTTAACATCTGTTTATAATTATATTTTAATAATGAGTTTTATACTTTATTTTTAAAATTTAATTGTATAATACACACAAAATTGTTAACAATGTTAACTAAAATTAGAAATTTTAATACTAGTATTTCACTTTTAATATCATTTTGTTATATTCAACTATTATTAGATTTTATTTTACAATATTTTTCAACAATAAGTATAACTAATTTTAATAGATATATTCTGCTAAAATTTATTATTGATTTTACATATTTTGAGTATTATTAATATTTTAAGAAAATTTTTCTTATAAAATAGAAGTTCAATTCAATATACAAAACTACAATTGATGCAATTATAAAATAATAGTATGTTTTAAATAATACATCAAATTGATTTAATTTTAAATTTTTAGGATATTGTGTGTCCAATTTATTTAACAATTGTAGAATATCCGGGTGTTTATTATAAAGTTTAATGTATACATCATTTTTCCAATAATCAATAAGACCCAGACTCATTACTCAAAATATTCTATATAAATACATTAAAATGTTAATTAGTATTATATATATATTTACTAATTATAAATAGAAAATACATAAAATTTATATTTAACATACATATCATTTATTTGTTGTTTATATGGAAATTGTTTATCCATAGCAATGGCAATGAGATCTACGTAAATATTGACGGATGGCATATAATATGGGAATGTTATCCATGCATTAGAATCTCTATTAGATATTAAATAATTTTCAAACCGAGCCCTTTCAGTGTCATAAACATATTTTCCCGGTTTACTAATTAGTTGATCAAATAAATCATAATAACCATACATGTAATCAATACAGTCGTCTAATTTTTTATTAGTATAAGTTTCAAGTAATTTCTGTAAATAAATATAATATAATAAATAATTTAAGTTTATTTAAATAATTTGACTAGTTGATATTTTACCGTATTTTTTTAAAAAAATAACTATTAAATAAAATTTTGAAGTAATTTTTATTTTTACAAACTAAACACTTGCCTTTACACCAATAAACGATGCTGATCCATTAATTGCAAATTTAATTTTACCTTCCAATAAATTATATAATAGATCATCGATAGTTTCTATTTTGAATGGTGTGTCGGGTATAGACATCAACACAAATAAGATAGCCGAGTACATTTGTGTCATTATAAAACAGGCCATAATCCATGTAATTAATGATAATCTAACTGATCCTAAATCGGATATTTTAGAAACTGATTGTTCAAAAATAGAAGCTATATAATCTAGATAATCGATATGACATGTTTGTTTGACAAAATTGAGTATGGTACAAAATAAAAATAATAATAATAACGATATGATAATCAGTATCCAGACATTTGTATAAAAAGGTTTTATCAATGATGTTGCATACGGTGTTATATTAAATCTAGGTGTACCAAATGTTAGGCCATCAATAAAATAGGGATAACTATATGAAACTACTTTAGACCTTTCATATGTAATAGACATTGCACCGATACCTAAATGTACTGTCTATATATATATAATAAAATAATATATTATAAATAATTAATTGAAAATATTATATTAAATTTATATATCACTTAATACTTTATTTAAAATGTCACCAATAAGTCCATCATATGTTAACTGATCCAATTGTT